AATGCAATATTGATCGCATCATTACAGCACAAAAGTTCTTTCATAAAACTTCTCTAATTAGTACTTCAGGGACACTTAATAGCAACAAGGAAGCAAAGATCAGACTGCACAAATTCCCAGGACTCAACTGGCAGCAGGAGTGTTTCTGCCAATAATTACTATTTTGTATAAGTTACTATTTAATAAACAGAATTGAATTGTGCCTCCCAGACAGTGAACTCCTGCATTTACCTCAGGTGGATAACTCCACAAGCTGAGCAGTATCAGCAATGGTATTGCTCCTAACTGAATGGCTTCTTGTTGATGCTCATGTTGTCTGTAGAGATTGCGTGACTGGGCAGGGCTCAGACACTTTTCTACAATTGGCCAGTCTCCACTCAACTTAAATTATAGGAGAACTGAGTCCCACTGTGGGGCTTGAACCCACACCCTTCTGACTCAGAGGCGAGAGTGCTACCGACTGAACCAGACTGACACCATAGTGCTGTGGAAAAGCAATGACACAATTGTATTGCTGTCTGAAGGAAAGTGTCAAATTATTTTCTCCCTTTTTTTATTCTCTCTTATTTTGAAGAATGTTGTCGTTTCCAGTCATTTCTTGAAGTGTTTCACTTTATTAACTCTAATGATCAAGGATGAAACATTTATTTAAAAAGGCAATGTAAAAACAGACCCGCCTTACTCCGCCTCACTCCAGATCAGCCAAAACCAGAAGTAAATCACACTTCTACTGGCTCACTGAGTGAACAAGTATATTACCACATGTCACAGTAATACACCACATCACATGTAAGGAGGAAGGGAAACCAAGCAATGTTCTTGCTGCTGTTGACTGTTTGGAAATCTATAGTGATCCCACCCTTATTACAGAATGGATCAACTTAAAGATCCTCACACTGACGTACAAATTGCTTCATCCCTGGCGTCTCCCAACCTCTCCAAACTGCTTACACCGCACTCCTCTACCTGCCCTCTTTGCTCAGCTGGCTCTGGCCTTGTGTCCTTGGCTACACCATTGGCGGCCATGCTTTCACTATGGAACTCTTTGCCCCAATCCCTCTGCCTTGCCTACTCCTTGTCAATTTTCAGATCACACCTGAAGACCTTCCTTTTCAACCGTGCCTGTCACCTCCCTGCTCTGTGTTAAGCTCCGCCACCGTTAACTGTGTGAAGGACACTATTTAAATGCAGGTTAATATTGTCGTTGATCTCATGTGTTGGGCTGCTGAGTGAGGAGAGGCGAGGTTTGACTGCGAATAGCTTTCTAACACTAATTTTCCAGACTCGTAGCTAAAGAATAGTCATTTAGCTAAGGTACCGGATGGTTTCTACCTCTAAGAGCATTTAGCCACATCAGGGATTTCTGCCATGGAGACAAGGAAACAATAAGAGGACAAACTACAGTAAATTGGAAGAGAGGAGAAAAATAGAAGAGGTTATTTTTTATTTAACAATAAAGGTAAATGAAAGGCTTGTAATAATAATAATCCTTGCATTTGATATACTGCCTTATCATGTCTTCGAGAAGTCTCAAAGACTTTATTATATAAGTATATGTCAGTAACTCTCCGCCTTAAACATGTGATTGCTGCAAATTCTATGCTAAATGGTTTCCTAAGAGATAAAATGACCAGCCACTGCCCTCAAGTCTATACATCATTGCAGAATTGAATACAACTTAAAAAGGGGAACACACTTTTCTTTGTGTTTAATAGAATCTCTGACTAATTTGCATTGTGAACAGTGAGTGCTTTATTGTAAGAAGAGTGTGTTCTTATGGTGAGGTAATTTTACTTTTCTTTTGGATCACAAAAGGCACAATTTCCAATCTTGAATCTTTTGTTACAGTGGTGATACTCAATGTGATTGAGTTCTAAGTACAAATCTTTTCTCCTGGCTGCACTCTTTAGAAACCTATAATATTAACCCATATAGCACTAGTCTGAGCAGTTGATTCTGTCATTTAATACAGTTTCTTCACACAGCATGTGGCTTAAGACCCACTTAATATTGCAGTATTAAGGCCATACACTGATATGAACTGTCGGCTCCTTGTTTCGTTTTCTTTCTTCCTTCTCTTTTCTCTATTTTACCCTTTGTTTTTGGGGGTGACAAATACAGCTTCATTGAAATTGAACATCCATTGAGTTTAGCCGTTATCTTGTGATGCATTACACCATGCACTATGGACAATAACAACAATGTTGGTGACAGGTGTCTTTGGGTCAGCTACATATGAAGCATATGCTGGGGAAATGGCCTGGAGAAGGGCAGCCAAGGTTTGGGATGATGGAGTAATGAGCAAGGATATCGCAGGTGGACTGATCTCTCCTGAAAATGGAGATGGGAGTAGAGGGAGAGACATTTTGGGGATTACACTCTAAGAGGCTGAAATAATTGGCAGGAAATGATTGGCAGATCTAGGCCTGGTGGGGTGAAAGGAAAATACCAATGTGTCTCTGTTAATGTCAAATTGCTTTTCCCAGCTGAATGTAGGGTTTGTAGGTAACAAGTAACCAGTGTTGCATTTGGTTCAGTAATTGCAATTCAGGACCACCCTCAGTAACCTATTGAAAATTGAGATTTAGGTTAATATAGCTTGATATAGCTCCAAAGAAAATATATTCCTTCACTGGTTATTGAGCTAGTGACAACCTTGCTATGCAAATGAAGAGGGGCTCAAAAATACTAAATTAAGACCAGTTCTATATTTTAATAATAATAGCCCTTGCGTTTGATATAGCATACCTTATATCGGAAGGACAACTCAAAGCATTTCACAGGATTTTACTGTGAAGTGTAGAGACAGTACATTTGCAGGCGAATGCGGCAGCCCATTTGTACACAGCAATATCCCACAAATAGTCATGAAGTAAATTATCAATTTCATCTGCAGGATTGTATTGTGAGTATTCTATTGGTGTCATCAAATCAAAGTTACTTTCACAGCATCTAGTTACGAAATAGTTATAATACCACATTATAGTCTTTCACCCATTACAATAAATCAATGTCAATAAATCAATTCCCTTAGTTTGTTTGGAGAGCTTGTTTGAGAATTGAACCTTCATACCAAATAAACTTTACATCAGAGGTTGCCTGCTCCTCTGTATTAAAAATGACTTAAAAAATCAGACTGCAAATATTAAATGGTTCAATTCCCAGCAGGGTGAAACCTTGGGCAAGTTTCCTTACTCCACACACCTGATAATAATCCCTCAAAAAAAAAGCAATACAAAAATTGGTCACTTCAATCCACAAGTATTTGTGGGACACTGCTGTGCGCAATTGGCTGCCGGGTTTCGCCCACAAGTATACAAACAATTCACTTTACAGTATATTCTGTGAAGCACTTTTAGATGTGAAAAGCGCTATATCAAATGCAAGGATTATTATTATTGTTGGCCAGGACACGAGGAGAACTCCCTTTTCTTTTCGTATAGTGATTGGGATCTATAAATAACATCAATGTGAACAAGGAAATGGGGCCTCAGGATGTCCAGCAAAACAGCACCTCCCCATTATTGCACTGAAGTGTCAGTCTAGGCTATATAATAATAATAATAATAATAATCCTTGCATTTGATATAGCGCTTTTCACGTCGGGAGGACGTCCCAAAGCGCTTCACAGAACACACTGTAAAGTGAATTGACTGTATATTTGTGGGCGAACGCGGCAGCCAATTGCGCACAGCAATGTCCCACAAACAGTCGTAGATTGAAAATGACCCAATTTTTTTTTTATTATTGTTTTTGGTTTTTTTTGGAGGGATTATTATTATCTTGTTGATACTCGTCAACAAGGTGATGTCTCACCACTGTAATCATAGACAGACTGCAGACATGGTTGGGAAGAGAGACTGCAGACATGGATGCAGTGGGCATGGAGAGAAGGAATAACATGACCAAATCCATTTAAGTTCCGATTTGGGGCTCGAGCCGTCAACCTTCTGACTTGAAGGCGAGAGTGCTACCAACTAAGCCAGGTTGACTTTTTGTCTAAAAAGCAAGGCACTGAAAGAAACAACCCAACAATTGCATCTTTATTCCAAAGTGAAAGTTATGCTTTTCTAAACAACTTAAACATTTTGGTTCCATCCAAAGATCTTGTTACTGAGGGTTTAACAACCCACATTTATTTTACCCAAGGACGGATGATAGCCCCAGCAAAATGTTATTCAAATGGAATTAACTCTCAGATCTCTGAACCTTGCCTTCTCATGGAACAAAAATGGTATTACAGTTAACCCCACATCATCTTCTCTTTATTCTCCCTCACCCATAGTCTCAGGACAAAGGTATCGCCATTGTGAAAAAGCTGCTTCAATCTCAGAGATTGCCATTTGAGTGCAGCAGAAGAGGACACAGACTGAATTATGTCAATCTCCTCTTGTGTTGCATTCAGGTTCTGCCTCCTTGACATTTGATTCCACTTGTCCCATGACTAAAATTTCCAAGTGGTGCTGCAAATGTTGATAAAATGGCCAGGCTTAACCCAAGTAGGTCAGGAGGGAGGAAGGGCTACTGAGCCTGGCTATAACTATCGAATGGAAAGAATCATGCTGCCACTAATTGAACCCTGTTATTACATGTAAGAAATCTTTTGATAATTCTAGTTACAAAGGCAAGTTTCCAATATTCGGAGCTGGATTCTCACATTCAGGATGACATTTGGGTCCTCTGCAAGAGATTTATGTACTGAGAATTTTTTTTTNACCCAATGTTTCTGGGACTAGAAGCACTGCTTTCACTTCAATGGTGAATTGCATAACAATGTTTGACTATATTTCTTCCATCCACTGCATCATCAAACACACACAAAACAAAATAAACCATCAGTCAAAAATTTTACATCATGCAATAAATGAATGAAGTGAATTAATGAATAAGAAATGATGGACATAATATTCATTTCACTGATTCTATTGAATAAACGAGGCCTGAGAATATATTTTTAAAATTGATACAGTTATTCGTAAAGAGAAAAAAAAACATTAGTATAATATGAAGGTAATGTTTAATGTCTACAAGATACAGGCTTATTTTGGATTGCATGATTTTATCTTTGGTTAAAACATTTTAATATATTGCAAGCACTCTTTTCTCATGCGGGACATGTAAGGGGTTGAACTCCCTTGATCTCCACTGCCTTGCTGAAATCTATTTTCAGGGTCTGTGTGCCTTTTACCAGTTTGAGGTGACGTATGCAGCCTTTGAACCCAGTGTTTGTGGTCAATCCTAACTGTTTCACACCATCTGCAAAAGATACAAAGCTAATTATTTTATCTTCATTTGTGAGATTCTACTGTCCAAATAACCAAAGAGAAGTCAATAAGTCTGTTTCATTATGTCCATCCAGCTACCAATCCTTCGGGGGGAGGGGATAATAAGCCATGCAACTGAACTGGCTTCAAGATGACATGCTTCGCAACAGAATGTCAAAATTGAGTCAACAGTCTGTGCCAGTCTCAATCATCCGATTCCTGAGCCAGGCAACTCTGCAGTATTCCAGGGCACTCCTGATGACAGAGCAGCCAGCCTGGCTCATCGACAGGACTTGAAGGGGCAGACTGGGGATTTTTTCCTCTCTGCTCCTGTTAACCCTGAAAACCACAGGGATAAAAATATCCTACTACAGTTCTTAAGGAAGAAGTCAAGACAAGTGGAATTCTTCCCAAATCAGTCAGAACAAATACTTGACTTGTTCTCAATGAGAAATACTGTACAGCACAGCAGGGGACTGAGGTAGCCGACAATGCTTGTGGCAGTGCACAATAAGCACGCAACATAGCTTAGGCTGTGCAGAGGAGGAAATCTAATGAATATTTCAATGCAGGTACCAACTAAGCAATTGCAGCAACACTCATTGGTGCAAGTGGAATGTCAGTATAATGCTGCTGTAGTGACCCGATCAATGGCAATTATACCTCAATATGCCTGAGCAGATCTAGTAGATGTACGAGAGATCATCAATTTCTCCACACTTAAATGCAGATATGTTTCCTGCTTAACATTAATAATGTGCCTTGTTGCAACTCAAGATTTGTAATTTTGTCCTTAATGTGCAAATCATTCTATAATAATCTTGATAATCCTTTATATGGCAGCTTCTAATTGTGGGTAGGTTACAACTCTGTAGGACACCTTGACTGCCAGGGTAGCAAGAAAAAAGAATGAGTTAAAAGATTAAGGTTTACGTGACATATTGCAACTGCAATCAAATCTGAATTGCCAACTAAGATATGCTGATTTAACTTTATAAAACTGCATTTTAAGACTCCCATTTTCTTAAACATGTTTTTAAAATACAAATTATGTGATACAATACATTGACATAGTGCCTCAAAGCACTTCACAGAGCTGGCAGTGGGCACTGGGGTGTGGGGTGGAGAAAGACGGCTGAAAGTGCAGTTAAAGATGTACGTTTTGAGAAGTGCTTTGAAAGAGGACAGAGAGGATGCAACTTGGAGGGACTCCGGGAAATTTCAGAGAGCAGGGGTAGAATGGCTGAAAGCCACCCGGCCCACACTGATGATGGGGCAAATAGAGCAGAGGGCATGAAGCAGGCTGGTGCTCGTTGAGTGAAGGAAGAAAACAGCTTGAAGGAGGTCAAAGGAATCCAGTTGCGGGAAACCATGGAGGGATTTTAAAGTGAGAACAAGGGTCTTGAACCTGATCTGCTGGGGGATGGGCAGCCCATAGGCAGCCAAGCGAGGATGGGGGTGATAGGTTTGGGGAGCCCAATTAATTTTAAAAGGCCCAGAAAAGGAGTCTGAATGAGGAACTCAGCTTTGTTTGCATAAAACATTAACATTTCTCCCGTTTTATTTAACATGAGCACAAACCACCACCATTTCAACCAGAGCAGGTACTGAGGTTAGGATATGATTATACACGTGCTTAGATTTCTCTGATTTTTTGAAATTAGTTTGATTTTGAAGAGAACACAAGGATATTTGTAAAGAGACAATGGTAAAGATTAATTTTATACATACCTGGATAACCTCCAACAAAGATTGGGTCATTGGTATCTGTTGCAGTAGAGGTAGTGCTGGAGCTTTTGCTTTCTACTTTCTTCCCGTCAACAGTAAGTTCCAAACGGTATTTAATTTTATTAACCACCACAGTGTGCCACTGCCCATTGCACAAACCATTGAAACGTTCGGGATCATACACAGCTGTAAATCTGCCTGCTCCATTGTCAACATGAACCAAAATCTGCCATTAAAAAGACAATCTATCAGCCAATGTGACAAAGATTGTTCTGAAAGCCATTGAAATTCTCATCACTGTAAAATTATTTAATCCAAAAATTATTTAACTCTTGAATGAATATTTTTTGATTGATATTCAATCAAGAAATTTTTCTTTTGGCCGACCATAAAGATTGATCACCGCTGTTCTTGAGCGTATTACTGCTGTATATTCATTTTACATTTAACTTGATAACTCACTTTTCCGTTGACCAGTTCAATGCCTATTGCATCCACTTTCTGACTACTGATCCCCAGCAAGACAGCATTTCTTTGAGAAGTGCGGAAATCAAACTCGATTTGTAAATCCATTCCAACCCTGTAGTGTGCAACTGGAAGTGACAGAAGAGCATAGTACAGCATTACATGGTGACGTACACTCAGACTCAGCACAAAGGTAGTAATAATAATAATAATAATCCTTGCATTTGTTATAGCACCTTATCACGTCTTCGAGATGTCTCAAAGTGCTTCACAGAACAAATTAATTGAATGTATATTTTCTGGGCAAATGTATTCAGTCTATCAGATCCCTTCTTGTTATTCGTGATTTTGGACGCCATTATCAACCATGGGCTGCTCAGCCATTGGAAGTTCTAAGGTTTTTTGGAACCATCTAAACAATATATGATTATAAGAAAAAAATATTTTGCTATCTTATGTTACTAACTTATATTCATCTTATGACTGTTTATGCACAAAATGGCTTCCACATTTGCCAAAAAAAGTCACTATATTTGACAATAATTCCTGTAATGTTCCATTGTTATGACTGTGTACAAATACAAGTCCTTTCTTAGGGATACAAGAGAGGAGATTAGGATTAATTGGGTTGAATGGCCTGATTCCATGCTTTAATGTTCTAGTTTGAAATTCTTTATAAAAGCAAAAAAGGAGCAGAATAATCGTTTTGGGGACTGAGGGAGGAAATTCCTCAGGCCAGTAAAGATTTTTAAGCACATTCTCTTGAAGTCAGTAGATTTACTGCACAGCAGAAATTTATTCCTGAAACGAGATGTGAAAATAGATAGATGGATATCTGGTTGTATGGAAACGTAAGTAATAAAGTCACTATGCACAGCGATTGAGGGATACAACAACAACTACTACTGGCGCTTATTACAGTGCCCTCCACGCAGGATGGCATTTCAGAGCGCTTAACAGTGGCAGAGCCTGTCTCTGGGGTGGGGGGAGGTGGCTGTAAGTATGGTCGAGGAGGAAAGTTTTCAGGCGGGACTTAAAAAAGAGAGAGGTGGCGAGGCGGAGGGATTGAGGGAGAGTGGTCCAGAGTTTTGGGGGCTAGTGGCTGAAAGTGCGACCTCCGATGGTGGGGCGGAGCGTGTGAGGGACGAGCAAGAGGCTGGTGCCAGTCAAGCGGAGAGGATAAAAAGCAGATTGTATGTGTTCGATTTAAATGTTTTTTNGTTCCAGTCTTTCTTATGTCTTGCAGATGAGATAAAACTGAAGACCTTTCTGCCTGCTGAAGTGGACATTAAAAATCCCATGAGACAACATTTATTCCAAAAGAGAGTTCTCCCAGGTCTGTTCTGGCTAGGAATCTTCCAGAGTAATTGCTCTGATGGCCTTTTTAGGGACCTTATAATATGCAAATGTATGTATGCCATCTGTTTGGCTAAAATAACAGTCGCTGTACTTACCAGAAATCAGCTGTGAAGTGGTTTGAGATGTTTAAACATGATAATGCATTCTAAAAAGGCAAGTTCATACTTTTTTGTGTGCAGTGGTTCAGAGGTGTGCAGATGTGTCATGTTTTTGGAATACTTCACATCACTTCTAAAATTTTCACCTGGTTTGTTTAATATGTGACAAAATTATTTTTGATGGCGACCGTGTTTGTTCCAGGACCGATTTGATGGGGAAAATAAAATTGCCTTTGGAGCTAATCAATGACTAAAATTCAAGCCCAGCTCAGGAATGGAGATCAATGGATACAATTTCCTTTCACAAGTTGCTAAAAGGTCAGCAAAATGGACAAGATTGGATACAAGAAATAAATTCAGATATTTAAGGATAGTATATGGAAGAAAGAATACAAAATAAGGTAAATCAATGGAAATAAAGGAAAAAGATAGATCAGCAAAAAGCTGTTAACTGATAAAAGGATATTCCTTGGAACTGCTCTATGGGTTAATATGCATGCATTCTTTTCCTCCTCTAGTTGAGATGCTGATTCATGCTGTGGCACGGTTCTGCGGGAGATAGATAGTCATTCCCTGGTACCTTTGGACTAGATCATGGGTTTGAAAAAGCAATCGTTGTGTTATGTAAGGGATAATTGACTGGAGAGCTTGCTTGGAGAGTCAGTGGTTCCGTACTGGGGAGATAGTTCATGTTGTGAGACGTGAGTTTTTCTGGACACCTTTTCTTTTCCAAGGAGCAAGAGTTAGCAAGCAATTCAACTATGGGGCGCACTATAGTCAGGATCAATGTTGTCCTCATCCACCTTCCACAGCAGAGATAGTGATCAAGACCAGGGCTCCAGACTGACTTGTTTTCCTCCCTAACCCAAAGGCAATTTGACCAAGCTGGAGGATTTCCACTGTTGTCCTGACTCAGATCAGCAAACTTACCACACAGGCTGTACGTTTCTTTAGCAGAAATTTTAAAAAAATGAGTGTTTGAGAGTGCCATGCATGCATGCGTTCCTCTTAAGCCCTCTAGTGGTTGATTTGTGCTTTGTTCATAAGAATTCACACATTTCTCCTGGTGATTGGTAAAGGCAAGTGGGGTTCTACTTGGAAACAAGATGGTAAAGAGCACTGTAACCACCACAATTCTAGAGGAAGCTTCTTAAAAAAGGATGAAAGTGAACATTAAGCCGTGCTGCCCGTTAACAGGAAAACGAACACAGCTAATTTCAAAATTTGCATAAGATAGATTTAAAACATATTTACCTGGTTTAGCAAAACCTGTTCCATCAAAATAGGTTCCCTTCTGGCTATTGAGAAAGCAGGTACCGACATCCAAGCTGGATTCTGGGTTATCCATATCAAGAGTTTTGGAATTCAGTTTAAAGTTACGGATACAGGCGTTTATGCTAGAGATCACCTGTGTTACAAAGCAATAAATCAGCAGATTAGTATGAAAGTATATCTGATTGTACCATTCAGAACTTCACATTTTACTTGACTTTTAACCTTTGACAGCTACCCCAACATCTCTATTCAATCGATGGAACAAACCGATAAAAGATCCTCGTTTCAGAATGAATGTCTGTCTCAGTGTTGTTGACTGGCCTCTGGGATATCTTTTTTTGGTAAACATCAATGTTTGGTGAATTCTACCACTTTGTTAATGCCCAATGTTATGCATTGTATTGTGTGACTCATTATCATTCAAAGATTCTTTGGTATCTTACAGGACCAATTCTTCTTGTTGTATAGTTCTTTGGTAATCCTCCAATGTAGATCAACCCCACAACATCCAAAATGTCTGCATTTTTAGGACTGACTGTGGTTGCCATGCTGAGACCAACTGTGACTGTAGCTCTCTTCTTATCCCGGACAATTCGGATCTGTGGAAAGTAAATGTCAGTGTTAATAATGATATGGACAGGTACACTGAGGAGCAAGTCCAAAAAGAGTAGGCTTGATTCACATTTTTTTAATTCATTTAATTCATTCATCCATTGCTGTTTTCCTTTCGTTTCCTGAGATTTCACTCAATCTCAGATAGTTAAGTGATATAAGACAATTTTGCACATTTTTGTCCGTCAATATAATTCATTACTCCATCACTGATGGTTATCCAAGAAATAAAAGGTGACCTCTAAACCCAAGGACTGTGCTGCTCATAACGCATATAGCTCCTGTTCAATCTCCAGCAGTGGCTTGAGACTGGTCTAGATAGTCTCCACTATCGCAGTGGAGATAGTCATTGGCAAATATAGAGAAAATATATAACTACTTTAAGAATATAACTTCAAATATATAACTACGTACGGTGAATTTTCAGCAAGCAACATGGTATAGTACTAACAAGGTTTCTGATAATGTAATTAATTTCTGATGTGGTTTTAATAGAGCAGCAAATGTGTGGTACAATTATTCACAATAGCTATATAGCCAAATGTTTATAAAGCGAAAGCCTACACTGAATTACCTGAAGATAATAGTCAATTTATGTATTTGTAGATTTAAACTATCACAACATTGTCTCATTATGCGCATATTTTAATAAAAACAATCTTGTGTTAAAATAATGCTAGTTTGTTTTTACCTTGTGCCATTCACCATCATTAATCTTCTTTCGAACAACTACACTTGTATTCCCACTTCCAAGGTCGTAGCTGAAATGAGGCATTCCATCTTTTATCTGAATAGTTGCAAAATCTGCATGATTTATTCTGGCAATGTAAAATACAAGGCCAAACATTGCTTCTGTTCGGATTTCAAACTCAATTATTAGCCTGCAAACAAACAAAAATAATTATCAATAAAATAAGCCTGCGACATGCCAGGATCATAGTGTTAAATAACACTATTGGTATTGGAAAATTTGATCTTTACCCGGTATTTTTAAAGCACAAATGTATACAATGACCTCTTATCAAACAAGAATATTTTTACAATACAGGTTAGAACAGAAACCGCAACTGAAATTGGCACCTGACAGGTGTGTGATGCAAGTCAATATTAATACTGCAAATTGTTGCCCTTCACCTTACACAAGCTGCTATTGTTTGTAGCAGTGGGTCTTTGACTCTAGGTAGTCCCATTTCTCATAAATGAAGACAAACAGATTCAGTGAACAGTGCACTCATGAGGCTAGGCTCTATACTTGCCGGTTGTATCCAACACTGCATGCTACAACCTAACAAGGTATTTCACAGAGAAATCTATGAGCTTCTTTCAGCATTGTGAACTCAGGTCATTGGGAATGATGCATGTCACTCAATATAACTTTTAACCCTAATAAATATCAGTGACTGGAGTCTAAGCGAAAATCAAGAACAATTAGAATTACTAATGTAGGCCTTGTCTGGCTGCCTTGAATCGTGGGAAATGTAGTCTTCATCCATCGATGCATGTGTAGAAGAACTTAATTTCCTGTGATTCGATGCAATTTGCAGCACTTGCCGGTAGGTGCACATGTGGTGGATTAAATTACGCATGCGAGTGTAGATTATTGATTTAATCGGATTTTCTATGATTTCTACTGTTTGTCTGCAACTCGGATTGCGCATAACTCATATTATATGTTATGGTCCAACTGTTATGACTTGTGAGTTTTACTGCATATGAATTTTATTGGTATGAAAGGGAATCCAATGTTCTCCAACCTCTGAGGGTATTACTGCATGAAATGTCTTACCTGGCTTTAACTTTGGTGTCATCAAACCCTATGGCAACATGGCTGTTCTTAGAGAGGCCAAACTGCTTGGCTTTCAGTATTGTAACAGGAGAAATGTCAGCAGCACATGTTTCCTGCATATAAAGCAGCAAAGGCTTTAGGTTCAATACAGATTTCACAGGAACACTTCATTTCTATTCTAAAACAATAGTTCATCCGTACAATGTGAAAAATAGTTGTTAAAAATATTTGCTCAGTTGATTCCAAATGTCAGCCTGATGTCACAGAGTACAAATTATCAAAGATATTGGAAATAAAAATAGTAATATTAGTTTTATACTGGTTAATTCGGCATTTCTGGTCTCTTTTAACATGCAATACAGTATATTTTCTGGCTCTTGCCCTTCTCTTGAATACTCTGACTTCCCAAGTAACCAGCTCTCTTCAAACACTTTTAAGTCCTCCCAACATGACAGGAATATAAAAAAACTAAATTTGTATTACATTGCATGGTAAGTTTTTCAACGTCTCTCTTGCACTGTAGAATCAAATATAAGCACCTCCTCCTGGATTTTACCATTACTTCTTTGGGCAATATTGTACAAAACATTCCCCTCTTCAAATCTCTCTCAAATCCTTGCTTGGGATTCAAAATGTACCTCTAACCCCACTTTCAGTCATCTTTTCCCTTCTCCACCTTATGGCTCTCACCCTCCAGCTTGGATGTCCAGCCAGTAGTGTGAAGCACTTTGTGAGATGTCTTCTAACATGGAAGGGATGCGTATCATATTGTATCATATTAGTGTGTACAATAGATTTGTCAAGAGATTTAAGAATTACTTTTATGTTATATAATTGTAGAATTACATTGACATAGATTTTCAGAGTCTTACACTGAAGAATCAGGTAATTCGGCCCAACTAGTCCGTGCTTGTGTTTATATTCTACTTGGGGCTCCAGAATTTTATACCCCTCTATTCCCTTCTCTCTCACATACGTGAAAGGTGTCATATATCTAGAATTTGCTCTAGTCCCTGTTCCTGTATCCTCACTGTATTATAATAACAACTCATCAAGCAAACTGCTGTAACTCATTCTTCCCCAGGACCTCAAGACCTGCTTCCCATCTTCAGTTTTTCCTTTCTCGGACACATGCAGACTTTTAAAGCTGAAGCCTGGAGTCACCTAACCCTTCTTGTTTACTCGTTTTACTTTCTCTGCTACTTTCATCAATCTTGGCAATGTATTTGCACTATGGGTCTTGGCCCAACATTAAAAAAAATCCACACAAAATAATGCATTGGCGATTTCCACTGTAAAACGAGTAAGGATTAGAAAACCGTGTGGAAGAACTATCACAGCCAATCCCTGCTGAGATCAGGTCAGTTAAAGCAGGAGAGCCGAGGAAGGATGCATTCAGTGTAAAATATTCTCACCCCGTGTATTACTAAGAATAAATGGAATAACAATTTTCTTACTTGTTAAGTAGCTTTCAGTCATCTTTCCCCTCACCCCACCCCTCTTCAGTTCTCTCCCACAGCTTGGATACCCATCTAGCACTGTGAATGGGCTTTGAAACCTCCACCCGACATGGAAAATGTTATATAAATGTAAATTTTAATTGTATAGTACCACCGCAAATTCATGATGATCATCCAGGGGCATTTTGGATAATAAATACTGTTATTAAACCTGACAGGTGTCCTACATTATTCTAAATTATAATTCCCCTTCTATCCTGATAGAGTGATCTCACCGGGGTTTTTTTTTNGCTGCGAATAATCTCTTAAAATAAAATAGCAGAGCTGACCTTCAAAACTCTTGAGATGTTTTTGAGTTTGTTTTTTGATCAGATTAATTCTAAGGAATTAACTTGCGTAAACTTAAAAATAAATACCGGATTTACAATGACTAGGGAACAGAAGGCAGTATTAGTAATATGCTATGGATTATGAATACTGTGTAAATATTATAATTAGATGTCAAAAGGTACCAGATTAGGGCCATGTTCAGTAGCAAGCCTGCCGCTCTTCAGCTCAGCGGGAAGCAAACCCTGAGAAGCAGTAAATGCAAGTAAACAGCATTAGAGACTGAAGCAAACAATGGAAGCTTACCTGTCAGCAATTGGATTGAAAGAGAATGTACAAAAAATGTGTTGATGCTATACGGCTGAGATATAGCATTCTAATGTATTCCAAAATTGTCAGTATAACAACTCATGCTTTTGCAAAACTATTGCATAAGTAGGATGTATCACATGTCTAAGTCACTGTACCATTAAAATAGCAATCCATATTTGCAGACAATCTTCAAAATAGCAACAGAAGGAACAAAGTTTGCTGCATTAGTCAGCTTTATAACATTTTCTGTCAAACGATCACAAGTCATGATAATTGAATAATTTTGTTTTGGTATTTGTTTCCTGCTTTTTAAATTTGCTTTTATTTTCTTCTTCTCTCTTTAACTTTTTCTTTGCCACAGCGAACAGGCAGGCAACTCACTCTGATCTCATTGCCAATGTTGTTCTCTCATTGGCCACTTGAAGCACCATGATAGTTTAAAACGATGACTCGCTGTTCAGTTCTTATCTCTCCATTTTGAGAACTGTGTGGCCTTCAATTGGTATTTGCCAGTAAAGACATGTTTAAGGTTGACTGGTTGCTAGATGTGAAGTCATGTAGCATAAATCCACATCCTATCGCAGTGTGCAGCACTACCAAAGCACTGAACCACTATGTTACCAGCAAATAATTCACTTTAAGATGCTTATTCTTTAAGCCATATTCATTTTTGCTGAACCAACACAGATCACAACTCTCCTTTGGGTGCGTGGGTGTGAACACTAATTTCATTGGCAAATCTAATCTCTATCCCAAAGTACAGTAAATGCAATTTCAAGACAGTCACAAGTGTCAATATTTCAAGAATCAATTATTTAGAATGAAAATCTGTGTATTTTTAAATATAATTTTTTTTAATGTATATTACTCTTAAATAATAAGCACACCTCCAAATATTTCAATAGGTTTGCACTCTATGTAACTTTGCTCCCCCATTCCCCTTAATCTATTCCAACCCGCGTCTCCTCAGCTCCACCTCTCTCCTCTCAGCTTGAGTGCCTAGTCAACTGTGTTAAACACATGAGACGACCTCCCAACATGAAAGTGCAATATAAATGTAAATGTTATTGCATTTTGCACTATATAGAAACTTTTGTATTTTCCACTTTTGTGGAATATAAATATCACTAATAGCAGATCATTGTGATTTAGAGGAACCTGCGCTCACTGGCGAAGGAAGGACCTGTCCCTGTTTTAATACCTTTTGCATAATCCCAAAGAAGCATTAAGGAGGTAAGAGAGGGTGGCTTTGTTTCATGAGAGCCCTACCAAGCAGTTTTTGCAACTTTAGTTTCCCTAAACTGTTACACCTAGAACCATATAATAATGATGACAATAATAAGGGTGAATTAAGCTGTAATAACATAACAATAAACCTTGTATTTGATACAGTGCCTTATCATGTCATCACACATTTCAAAGTTCTTCAGTAGATTTACCATAAATTGCACTGACTCTATTTGTAGGCACACAGTTGCACACACCAATGTCCCACAACAAAATGAAGTGAATGACAAACTTTATCTGGAGGATTTATTGGGAACAGCTTCCTTCACTTCCGAATAGTGTTGTGGGATCTTTAAGGGAAAGCCATTGTTAGACTATTATCACTCTCCGACAAGATGAAATGCGACAGTGCATCTCTGGGAACAATTTTTTTTAATTAGATGAGACAAATAATCTAGAAAAACACATTTCAAGAGACAGTAGGGAATTTATACCCACATTTTAACAAAGGTTAGAAATTAATGATTGCAGAGAAAACATTCTAAGTTTTCGTGAGGTTTTCGTGTTGGTTTAGGATTAGAAATTGGAAATACTTGGAAGAAAACATTTAGATGGTTAAAATAATATGGGCCATATTAACTATAGCTAGCAAAAAGTTAAAGTTTGAAAATATCATTCACTTGATTTCTTCAAGCAGACTACAGATGCAGCATTTCTCTAACAGGAAACCACTTTAACTACGCCACGTTAAACACGCAAAATATAGATTAATAATACATATAGAGGAGCTCATCTTTCCTATATATATATTAAAAAGTCTATAGTATTTTCAGAGTTGTTTTTTATTTTATTTTAACCTTGAAAAGAGAACATTAATAAAATAGTAAATAGACTGTTTGTGTGAAGGATTCATTAACTCCAGATACTTGTTGGCAGACAATTGAGGGTTCACTAGTGGCAGTATTAGTAGTAAATGAGGCATAAACAGACTGTAAGAAAAACAGTTTCAACAATAACTTGCATTAATATAGTGCCCTTCATGCAAGGTAGCGTCTTGGAGTGTTTCATGCAATATGGGAACATTAAAATCGTTATGCAAATATACATACAATGGACCTTGCTAATTCAAGTTGTCACATCTGGAGTAGAGAGTTAGTCTATATTAGGCACTCCCATAGAAATGATAATTTATTCAACCAAATCAATCGAATAGATAGAGTGAACTGATTACAGGAAATTTTCTTTCTAGCACCTCTGGACTGGGCTCCTTAAACACTGGCAGTGGATCTTTATTTTTTGCTCTCTTGCCCTGTCCTCCCGACATGAAAGGCGCTATACAAATGTAATTTTGCTGTTGTTGTTGTTGTTGAAAGCATAACACAAAGTAGCTAAAGAATGAAAAAATGGAAGCAAAGGCTTTCATGTGCAATGTATTGTGCACATGACTTCAGGGAAGGAAATCGGCCGTCTTTACCTCTCTCTATACATGACTCCAATCCCATCTTGTGTGGTTGACTCTTAACATTCTGTTAGATGGCCTAGAGAACCACTTCGCTAAGTGAAGGCCTACCACTTAATGGGGGAATCAGGGAAGGGCAATAAATGCTTGCCCTGCTAGTGTGTAAAGAGCAAGTACTAGTACTATGGAACAAAATAGTTATTTTTTCATACATTATTGTGGTGAGGCGATTCCACTAATCATTAAATAATAAACCCCACAGACCAGTAATTTTATTTTAGTTCTATTAAAAAAACCTAGTAAGATACCATTTATCTACATATTCAGTAGAGTTCACCCTTAAATATATTATGAACACTGCAAAACAGACATCTCACAACAGATGATGCTACTTGTATAGTCTGTTAAATGAAAAAAAATAGTGTCAGTGTTGATATGCTTACTAGTTAATATTCGGAAGTGAACTTACTATATTTCCTGTTGCTGTCTGACTCGACAGTCAATTACTTTATCCTTCAGATTATTGCCCGAAACAAAAGACTATTTTGTTTATTGTTTTGTTTATTCTCTATAAATGGAATCTTGTTGTTGTTGTTTGTCCCTCTCCTCACCATTATATATTGTGACCAGAAGACAGTTCACCTTTAATTTAAATGTGGGAATGATTGCAATTAAAACAAAATAAGTAATCTAAAAAAAAGTACTCACAGGAGGCGTGGGAACCTCCCACTCTTCTGGGATGGGTTTGGGTGTGATCTGAGCTGGAAGTCTTGTTGATGTCTCAATTTCCTCCTCTTCTTCATCAGGTTGCTTTGGTGGCTCCAGCGTGGGACACTTGCCAATGTTTGCATTCTCAAAAGATACTGGTTGAGCAAAATCTAGAGGTCTATTGAGAAACACATATTATACGAAGTTGAAGTAACAAAATAGCTTGAAGCACAGCAAGTATTTTACATGTTATTCAATTACAGAAGTTACAATGTATAGTTATCTTATGGTCATCATTGAGTGCTGTGATTGGCAGCAAACTTAATTTTGTGTTAACATTAGACTATTCAGAGCCATATAAATTGCTTGGGTTAGAGATAATAAAAGCTATTTGTAAACTGCAGAATCATGATTTACTCAACACTGACACTACCAATAACATTAGTGGGAAAAGGGCCAACATTAAAGGAAATGTCATTAGATTTGGGAAAGTATATAAAATGTGGTAACATACTTAAATATGAATATAGAAGTTAGAGATAAAGCACACTAATACAAATATTTGCATCTCAATAAATTTAAAGGTGCCATTTATTTTTATTTTTCTCTAAATGTTTCCTTTTTCACAGACTCATAGAAATTAATGATAATCATAATAACTCTTGCATTTGATATAACGCCTTCAACAGCAGGAGGATATCTCAAAGTGCTTTACAGGGCTCACTATAAAGTGCAGTGACTGTTTTTTTTGTAGGTGAAACGCAGCAGCTAATTTGTGCATAGCAAATTACAGACCTGGAAGTGATTGAGCAATTTGTCTATAGAGCATATATTTGGTGCTAGCTTATTCACTGAGGCTGGACTCCACGACTATAATCCTCTTGTCTGCTCTTTCCCCCATACATGTATATTGTTCCTCTTCACATGCTGTTATGATTCCCTTTTACATGTTATGGGTTCATTAATTCATTAACACGTTGTGGCAAAGTGTCCAACCTTCCCATAACTCCCTTCCAGTGACAATGCTGGAACTCTTGTTACCTATTCACCAACCGAAGAGTTATCTTCAGCAATGAATCTTTACTCACACTGAATTAACAACTACATTCCATATGCAGCCATAAAAAGGCATAATGCTTCTGAGAGGGTTGGGCTGGAAGGAGACAGGAACACCACCAACAAATAGTTGTTTAATATGGAGAGAATGATCATTTGGCAGTCGCTGCATGTGAATCCTTTCTTCATCCATTTGGACTCTGAGGAATCTGACAGAGGAAGAACAATCTAAAATTACCTCAATATTTATGTCATTTGATCAACACAGCAGAAACAATTGATAATAAAATAATAATCTTTGCATTTGATATATACATCATTGACTAGGAGTCTCAAAGCGCTTCCTAGGATAAACTGTAAAATAATGTGACTGTGTGTATTTTGGGGGTGAACACAGCAGCCAATTTGCAAGTGGCAATGTCCCAGAAACAAAATCCAGAGTGAGTTAGTGATTACATTTTATTTGGGGCATTTTGACCAGGACACCAAATCACGCTAGAGTGAGGGTATTATAATGTGGTGCCTTGTTACTGGTCTCAGTGATCCCATACTTGGAGGGGGGGAAAAAAATTATAGACAGGTTTCCTGATCAATATTACAAGCACATCGGGTGACAACGGGATCAGGATTGGCAATAAGGTTTGACCTATTTGCCAAAACTCACTGAGTGACCTGACACATGAAGATTAGTCTTTGAGCAAACAGATAAGAGGCTTACATGTAGTATTGTGTTCATGCATGAATCACTATTCAGAGGAGAGCAGAGGACAGCAATGGATAGATAATAGAAAACTTACTGGTGCGCTTGACATCACGTGAAGGATCACAGTTTTATTTTCAGTGCAACAAATCATTACAATTCGTATCTGTGAGGATGCTGATAGGGCTATTAAAAAGAATATGAGGAAATAATTTTAGAACAGCCGTACCCCCTGTCTCTCCATATTCTAACAGTATGCTCTTTGCCATCGTTAAACTCTCCAGACTCTGGCTTGATTGTGACTCGACGGGGATCCCTAGCTCCAGTGGAAACATGCGCTTCTAGGCGTCCTCTGTTTAGAAAAACTGCATAATAGACCTGTTTGGATAGAGAATACAGTGTAAGTACATAGGAAGGACTGCACGACTAATTTGACTTGAGAACTTGGAGAGCATTTGCAAGTTCATATTTGAAAAGCAGAATTGCATCTCCCTATTGCTAGATTCTTTACTAATGTTCTTACCGACAGGAACACAACGGGTGATAAGTAAGGACCCGACATCTGACAATGCAGTGTTCCTCCAGTACCTCATTGGAGTGTCAATCTAGACTGTGAACTTAAAGTCTGAATGTGTGGATTGAACCCACAATCTTCTTTCCCAGAGGCAAGAGCAAATGAACTGGGTTAAAACCAGACCAACAACAAATATAATTTGTTTAAAAAATAAAATAGCTAACTGAACAAAAGCTGAGCTAAGAATAAAAAGAGAGAATTCATTGCTTTTTTTAAAAAAAAAGAACAGATGGTTGCTTGAGGAACAATATCCAACATGGGTTTAAACTAAATGATTTTCTAGGCTTGCTAGGCACTAAATCTACAGAAATCACATATGCTCAACAGCTATTTACAGATAATGGAGCAAGAATAAAATTAATATTCATAGGATGTTACAACTAACAGGTGGAAGTGTAAACCTAATGTAACCATCACCTGTCCACTTTGTCTGCGTTTTCTCCTGGGTGAAGTGCGAGCTCCACTGCCGTATAGTATCATTCCAGTTTCGTTCTTTGTACTGAAGGAAAGAGAGATCTCTGTGCTTACGTTCAGGGATTGTGGCTTCAGCTCAATAAAACCAGGTTTTTGGAAGCTAACAGTGTGGACATTCTGTCAAAACAAATCACATAAATCAAAATCCCATAAAATAAAATAATTTTTTCAAGACTGTTTTGTGTCCTCTGTTGTCTTGAATGACTCCCTTTATTCTGCTATTCTGAAAACAAAGATACTTGTTCTGAAATGTATATCCTAAAGTTTTTGAAAACATACCTCCAATGTGCAGCCCTTTGTCAATCCCAGGTAATCTGTGCCACTCAATAAATTGTATGGCGTTCGTGAAACTTCTATATCTCGGAGACAGCCACTGTATTTCTTTAACACAATTTCGGATCTGCAACAATAATAATTTTACGTTAATTTAATATCATGAGTGTTTTTCTAATGTTTCAGCTAAGAGTAACAGTGTTTAAATAAAGTTAAAGAGTAAATATTAAAATACATGTTCATTGCATAAAAATAATTGTTAAAATGAGTCATTCCACATAGATGCTTGTCTCAGTTTTGCCTCTACTTGTGGGGAGGGGGAAGAGGATGTTTGGGATTTACTATTGGCTACTGTTGTGTGCCTCTTTGCAGTTGGACATCTTCCCAACGTGAAAGGCACTATACAAATGCAATTTTGTGGTTGTTGTTAACTCAGGAACACTGGTGAAGGAAAGCTAGCAAGCAATTCACCCGCCTGCTGTCTTGATTGCAAGCGATATCTGGCCCAGCAAGACCTCAACAGGAGAACAAAGGCAAAGAGAATTCCTCTACCATTGTCCTCCTAGTACAAAATATTTCCTATGGAATAATAAAACATTAAACATTTCTTTGGTAATGTATTATCAGCTTAAAATTTTTTTTCCCCCCTGTTGTGTCACCTTTAGCGTTTAAGTAACTGAAATCCATACTTAAAGATTTGGAAAAAAGAGAAATTTTCTTCTGTTGATCTTAGACAACATTAAAGGAGAAATTGGACATTAAATAGTAAAAGTGTTTTATGTCAGAGCCATGTCTTGCAAGTCTGTCTGGCGTGATGCCTTCCTGGAGAACACGCTGTTTACATTGAGGGTATATTTGCCAGTGGCCACATAGCTGTTACATAAAGCTACAAAGTCCAGTGGCCCATTAAGTACAATCTTGGCACCATCCCACCACTTCATCCTCCACCCAATAAATAATAATCATAAATGTACCAAAGAGTTTCACGGCTTTTACTATAAAGTGGAGTGACCGTGAATTTTGTAAGCAGCCCAAGTATGATAGCAATGTTCGACAAACAACCATGAAACGAATGTCCAATTTTATTATTGTTGGCTCGGACACTGGGAGAAACTCCCTTCTCCTTTCACCGAACTGTACTCCTGTTGCTCCTGTTGAATTTAGGGAAAACTGTTACATCCCCAGAGTGCTTTTTAGATACTATTTTAGGAGTGAACCCCTTTCAGGTCTGATATACCATCTAGCTGATCATTACAATCCATACATAAAACCTCATGTGCACTACCCATAATCCAACCCATTAAGGATGAGACGCTCACAAAGAAATGGAACTCTTGTTGTGTGTTCCTCCATCTGTCTGTCTGTCTGTTAAAGTAAGTGATGCTCCTGGCCTTCTGAATGGGTGCACATGGAGTATGCCTACACAAGCTGCAGCCATAGCCTGAAGGAACCCACATTCTATGTAAGTTGAGGCCTGTAAAGGGAGCCAAAGCTGTAACAAACACTCTCTAATCACATTGTGCACTGAGACCATGGATAAATATCCCATTTGTCCCATTCCTCAGAGGCTGAGGTAAATTGTACAATGCCTGACTTGAATCAGCTGCTTACCTCAATTAAGACCCTTAACTGTGATTTTCTATGATGTTTCCTATGATGTTTCACTAACCGCTTTCTGCCACTTGTTCAGCTAAGAGGAAAATTGCAGCTTTTATTTTTAATGAATTTAAGGCTATATTTTCAAATTGGTGTTTTGCTATAAGTGAAAACCATTAAGGTCAATAAATTTACTGAGAAGTGAAGAATAACGCCAGTAATTTATGTACAGCATATCCCCCGTATTCCACATATTCCTTTTCATGCATTGTTTTACTGATGGTGGAAAAAATGCCCCTTTGAAGTAAGTCTCTGTTCTATACAGAATAACCAACAGAATTTAATTCATTCCAGGAAATGTGAAAATCCTATCCTTTTTTTCTGTTCACTACTGATTATGTTCACTACAATTTCTAAATCTGACATTAAGCAAATATTATTCTAGATATGATTTCAGATATCTCACTATTTATTGGCAGACTTAACACTGTCCTTGCTACTTTTGCCAGATTCATTTGGGGTACTTAGTTAGAGCGATGATACAAGCATTGAGAAGAAAATGTTGTAATTAAATAGTTTTGTCTGGAAATAGTTTCACCTTCAATGGGAATGCAAACTGTATAGAATGATAAATCCATTCAGCCACAGATCATAGAAATGTGTGATAGAATGGGAGACCATTTGGCCTATTTTTTACTTTATGTTGCCGTTGCTCCTCCAAGAAGTCATGCATCTTAATCCCAATTCTCTGCTCTTTCCCCGTACCCTCTAATACCTTTCCTCTCCTTGTGCTTGTCTGATTCTTTTTTTAAATGGCCAATTAACTCTGCTCTAACAGTCAGCCTTGGAAAATCATTCCATTATCTGATGACAAGAACAACAAGAACAATAAAACTTGCATTTGATATAGCACCTTTCATGTCAGCAGAATGTCCCAAAGTGCTTCGCAAAATAAAGAGAATGAAAATTATATGATTGTTAACACAGTTCAGATATCCTGGACTGTGACTAATTTATTCAGGGAATTTTGCAATTAGTTCCTCATTAAAATCAGAACATTTACATTATTTTCCCAATTTTTGATGATTGTTTAACTAGTAAGTGATTTTCTGCTGGCAATTTATCCTATTTTGCATACTCAGAAATAGATTCCTTCAATAAACTTCCCAGTAATATCATTTTCTCATGGATACTTCTACTGGTGCCATAGAAAAATATTTATGGATGATATCAGGGCTGGAGGTTACCACTGTAAGGATAGACTGGTAAATTTAGGCCTTTTTTTGCTAAAGAAGAAACTTAAGGGGGACCTAGTAGAAGTGTTTAAAATTATAAAAAGGTTCTATAAGATTAACATACATTGTCTGTTTCCACTGGTTGGGGAGTCTGTAAACTGGGGACACAAATATTAAGATAGCAACTAGGAAATCTAAAAGAAAATTTAGGAGGAACCTCTTCATGCAGATGGTAGTGAGATTGTGGAACACCCTGGTGGCTGAATCATAGTATAGATGCATTTAAGAGAGTCCTAAGCCTTTATAAAGGGAACAGAATTGGGTGGAAACTCAAGTGAAGTATAAACACCAGCACAAACTGGTAGGGCCGAGTGGCCGCTTTCCGTGCAATCTTTCGTGCATCCTTTGTAAATACACCTGCAATGTAATCATCTGTGAAATACATTTGTGAAACAAAAAGTAATACTTCAAGTAACAGCACAATTTTCCATCAGAGAAGTATTTAACACAGTTGGTCATACCTTATATTTTGTCCTGTCGGTAGACCACCAAAATAAATCTTGTCTTTATCCTTCAGGTTAAGGCCTGAGTTAGTCCCTTTAGAAACTGTGACTAGTGTTTCTATTTTGTTGTCATTTTCATCAAGTATGACAACATTTGCTGCCAAAATATAACAAATACACAATTAGCCATTGTATGTATGGAGAGTGGTCTTGTTAGATGAGAAGAATTAACCGAGTGAAAGTGAATATATTGAAACAGACAATAAAATGTTTTATTTTGTTAGTTTATTCATCCCGTTACATTAGAAATCTAATCTCTGATGTCATAATTGCTTATATAAATTCTTCACCTATAATAATAATCCTTACGTTTATTACGTCAAGAGGATGTCCCAAAGCAATTCACAGAATATAGTAAAGTGCAATGATTGTGTGTTTTGGGGGCAAATATGGCAGTCAATTTGTGGACAGCAATGTTCCACACAGCCATGAAGTGAACAACCAATTTTATTTGGGGGATTGTTGTCCAGGACACCAGGAGAAAGTCTCTTCTCTTTCCGAATAACACCATGGCATCTTTAAGGTCCACCAGAATAGGCAGATGGGACACTTGGTTTATCGTCTCCAACACTGTATTAGAATGTCAGCATAGAATATAAGAGTTCAAAGTACCTACATGATGCTTGAAGCCACAACCTTCTGATTCAGAGGCAGAAGCACTATCAATTGAGCCAGACTGACACACAAATTATAAGAAATTAGATGCAATGTTTGTTTGCTATTACAAATACTGAAATTATTTTACGGCAAACCTTCACTGTAACACATTCCTTGGGTTCAGAAAATTGAAACCCACATTCCAATTGAGACATTGAAGAGCTGCTGGGTTTCCTGGCATTACTGGCAATGTCATTGAGTCACACTGTATACATGGGCAGAAAGCTATTCGGCTGCTCTCACAATGTACTGCACTGCTCTTGCGATGCACAAAACCATTAATTTCACAAAATTTAATTGCCTTGATGTGCAACCTAACTTACAGCAACAACAACAAAAAATTGCATTTGTATAGTCCCACAGTATTGGACAATCGAGGATTTGCACCGAGTTGGGGGTTGGATTTAGGAGGGGTGCAGGTCAAGCGGGTGGTGGTCAGTGGGGGAGGGGAAAGATGCCTGAAGGCACAGTCAAAGAGGAAGGTCTAGAGTCAGACCATCAAGGAGGCAAGGAAAGGGGAGAAGCCAAGGGACTCCAGGATGAAGATGTAGAGATTGGGTCAGACAGGCTGAAAGTCCATCCAGGCCAGTGTCTGCTAGATTGAAAGTTGGTAAGGTTTTAGAAGACCACAGAAGTAGGATAAGACTGTGGAGTGATTTAAAAGTGAGGACAAGGATCTTGACCTCAATCCTCTGGAGAATGGGGAGCCAGTAGAGCCGGGCGAAAGTGGGGATAGTCTCACAGATAATACTAGGGACTATTCTTGTGAATTTTAGTGCTCTGATTTCACAATACATCAGGAGCTCAACTTCTAAGACAGAGATTGGAGGCTGTTATTATGGGGTTTCCCAGTTGTTGATGGTGGGAGTGAAAACAGAAAGGACTCAAGTTTTTGTAACATCCTTATCATGCCAGATCATACCAATGCACTTCTCAGGGAAATATTATCAAGTGTAGTGACTGAATTTTTGATAGGCATCCGAAGCTTACCTTCTTTCCGAATTCTTGACAGCGTGAACACCTTCCATTTCCCATCATTGTGATGTTTGATGCCAGTGACATTAGCTGTGCCTGAGCCAAGGTCATAGCTGACCTTTATCTGCCCATTCTTGAGTTCAATGCTCATGAAATCTTTCTAATAAAAGCAAAGTAAATGTATTGAAAATAAAGTATTAAACATAAAACTCAAGCTGAAATTTGCTCAGCTATATATCTTGTTTTTTGTCAACCTGGTGTTTGACACATGCAGAAACCCTCACTATGCTTAAGAGTATTCGAATCAGATTGAGAATTCCTACACATGTAAATTCCTGTGTCTGGAGAGGAATACTTAATCTCTCCCTGCAAGGATGCATCCTGCTTACCTAATTATAGAGAGTATTAGGCGCAGGTTGGCAAAAGCCAAGGCTTGTGGAATGTTTGGCTGCTGCTGGAGTTTAACTCAGAGGTGAAAGGTATGAAAGAATTGTTTTCAGTGCATCCCTTACAATGTATTTACCATGTCTTTTGTTGCAAGGTACATGAGTAGTGCATCTGATGAAAAGGTCTTGAACTTGAAAGTGATTGCCGACACATTTGGGTTCCAGCGACTTGGGCGGCTAACAGCGGCATAACCTTCTCCATCAAACTGCACTGTGCCTTCAATTTCAAGGGGCTGTGGACTGCAAAATGAAAAACATCCTCAATGAATTTTGTGAACTATTATATTTTGAATGCTTCCTTCAAACTTTCAATAATTAATTCATTTGGGAGCTGTCGGAATATGTAAAATATGTAGTCAGTGAATGCTTACACATTGTTCATGATTGATGCAAAATATTCCAAATGAAAATACAAGAATTCACAAAATAACTACTAATTTATACAAGCTGAATAAGCTCCAAATTTTTGGTGCAAATAATGCAGCTGTCACTTTGGTTAAAATGTTCCATGATTCGGGCAGGTGGAGAGGGTCATATAGGAGGACTCAATAAGTGTCAGCAGGTATTTCATCCCACAGGCACTTCCTCTTCTATCATGAACTACTCAGATCTGAACTAGAACTGACACAACTTATCATATTCAATGCAGTTAGATTTGATTGACAGGTAGCCCTGGGACTTGGGTTGTAAAATGCATGCTTCTATCACATTCTATTGGACTTTAGTGAACCGTACCTTACAACACATCCTTTGCACTCTCCCTGTCTGTCCTTGTAATTCCACAATCCAATAGGTTTACCGTCCAAGAAGGTTTCTCCCATGCAGCCAGAGAATGTGGTTGTTTTGACTGCATCTGCTTTCTATAACATTAAAAACAGATACTGAATGCAATTACAATAATGATAGATTTAATCGCTGTTTTTTTTCTGGTGACAGTGTTTTAAGATACTATCTTTTCACCTCAGGGAATGAGATTTGAATCCAGTATCAGACAGATGAGGTGGGAAGTCTGTTGTGCTCTTAAGAGTCCTGAATAAGAAATAAGTTTGGACACAGTGGTGCCACGAATTATCAGTCTTTTTGCAATCTCATTCAGATAACCTAAGGTTACAGATGAAATTAAAACATCTCACTACAGTAGGCATTGAGTTATATAGTAGGAAGAGCTTGTGCTGAATTTAAGGCCCCATCATCCCTGGTTAAGATTACTGAATTTTGTAAGTGGATGTATGTTACACTTAGTAATCAGTGATATGCCTTCAGCAATGGAAAGCAAATGATTCTAGTTTTTTTTTGTATCCCTGTTACTGTTGATCCTTGTAAAGACACAACTAATTCAGTCATCAAATTCTAATTTGCAGCAAGACTTTCTATTTACTTCTATGATTAATTTAAAAAAAAACTTACATTTGATATAGAATATTTCAATTAAGACATCTCAAAACCCTTCACAAGATTTACTGGAGTGACTGTGTATTTTTAGATAAATGTGGCAGCCAACTTGGGCACAACAATGTCACAAACAGCGATGAAGTGAATGACCAATTTTTATCTGGACATTGGGAAAAACTCCTGTTTATTTTTGAATAATACCACGGGATAAAATAATAATAAGTAATAATAATCCTTGCATTTGATATAGCGCTTTTTCACGTCTTCTTGATTTCTCAAACCGCTTCACAGAATATACTGTAAAGTGAATTGACTATATATTTGTGGGCGAAAAGCGGCACCCAATTGAGCACAGCAGTGTCCCACAAACAGTCATGGACTGAAAATGACCAATTTATTATTGTTTTTGTTTTTTGGAGGGATTATTATTAGGCATGTGGAGTAAGGAAACTTGCCCAAGGTTTCGCCCTGGCTGGAATTGAAACCAGGTTCTCGCTTGCAAGGCGAGTGCTCTAACCACTGAGCTACAGGACTCCCCAGGATATTTAACACTTGAACAGACAGATGGGACCTTAATTTAATGTCTCATCTGAAGCTCGGGACTTCCAACAATGTAGTGCTCCCTCAGTACTGCATTAGAGCGACAGTCTGTGAGTTTAAAGTTCCAACATGGGGCTTGAACCCACAAACTTATGATTCAGAGCCGACAGTGTTACCAAGTGACATTATGCATACCATTCCTTCAGTCACCAACTTCAAAGTTCTTAAAACAGTAAATAGGCCAATGAACATACCAATCCTGCAAATAAATTCTGTGTCTAACTGGATAATTGTGCAATGTTATTTTTCTTCATTTTTCCATTGCTGAATGGTTCAATATTGATTAGATAAAAAGATTTGCAAATTCATTAGTTTTTATCTACAGAAATCTTTACCTACATGTAACATAACATTCATTGAGAAACTAGTTATGTCTTTATTAGAAATCAATTGGACGAATGTATTAAAAGGACAGTGAAGCTACACATGAAATGAAAATACATTCTATGTTGTTAACCTTTATGTTCATGAATTATTTAGTTACAATATATTTGGACAGAATATTTCTGGCTTGATAATCAATTTTTAGTTATTTATTGATGAGGTTAGAGTGATAATGTGCTAACCATTAATCCATTGCCATGGATATCACCACGTTTTAGTACAATTAAATATTACTATATATGAAACCCGTAAGAGGCAGAGACTGTCAGGATCCACACTGAGAACCTGTCTGCAAAGCAAAACATAGATCTAAAAGCTGAAATAAAAAACCTTAATTTAACATATTAAAATTATAGTTATTCAGCTTTAGGTTTTAAAGCCTAATTTAGACTTTAATCTAATTTTGGGGTTCAGCTGACTGTCCCATTATCACTCCGGGGTATCCAATATTTTCTATCATGAATTTGTAAAACACTCCATAACTAAAAAGACAATCTCAGCCTTGGAGAGAATAAATCAATCACATACAGAATTCGGTAATAATATTTCAGTCTGACTGTTGCCTTTGAATTCACAGAGTCTATGCTGGTAATCAATGCAGTGCTGGAGGAGTGCTGCACTGTTGAAAGTTTCATCCTTTGGATGAAAGATTAAACTGGTTCCATCTGCCTATTTAAATGGATATTAAAGATCATGATACACTATCCACAAAGAGTGTCCCTGTGTTGCGTCAACAATTCTCCAGATAAAATTGATCGTTCACTTCATGGCAGTTTGCTGGACATGGCAGTTTGTAGGACATTGCTGCATACAAATTGTTGCTGTGTTGGCCTACAAAATACACAGTCACCATACTTAAATAAATAAATCCTGCAAAGTGTTTTGAGATGACCTATTAACGTGAAAGGCAAGGGTTAATAAAGAATAATTCCTGAATTATATTTTTCTGTAAATTTGTTTCCAATCCCCTGATCGCCTTGTATCATTTAGGACATGCAGTCGAGAGGCAGGTGGCTGATCTACTGGCAGGTCACACTTCATGCCTCTGTGAAAAGATGACTGTGAAGGAATGGGATTAGAGTAGACAGCTCCAGTGGGCGAGTTAACACGAGAGTAAACACAATGGGCTCAATTACCTCCTTCTGTGTTTCAACCTTTCTAAGATTCTAATGACAGAGAGCAAATATGCTAATCTTCATGCAAATGTTATAGTATACCTTCACTTTTTCCGTTAGACCACCAACAAACAGGTAAGCATTTGTATCTACATCGAGTATAGTGTAGCCTTCTGGTGATACTGCATGGTAAATAGTTGGCATGATGCTTCCCCTGGGCCCTTCCAGGGCACGTACAGAAATTGTCCCATTTCTTTGAAACCTTTTTGTAACAGAAGATTTGTTATTAGTTAACTCTTCAAATAAGCAAAGCAGAATAAAGTGAAACTCAAGACTCAATTAACTGGGTCCGAATGTTTCTTATAACCAGCCTTTAAAGCCTTTATATTATATTCTTTCCTTTTAACAGATGATTATAAATATGACCATAGTGATAAGATACTGAATACAGTAGATCATCCTTTATTCACAAGCCAATTATCCACATCTATTTTGCACTCCAAAGAAGAAGTGGTGCTGGAATACAGACACAAAGAAATCTTGTTTGACGCGTGTGCAAAGATGCTCGTGCAGTTATTAAACTGGATCTAGTTTCTCAGCAGCATCCTTAGTACATGCACACAATTTAACACGTGCATACAACAGGATTTTACCATATAATCCTTGCATTTGATATAGCTCTTTTCACGTCGGGAGGACGTCCCAAAGCGCTTCACGGAACACACTGTAAACTGAATTGCCTGTATATTTGTGGGCGAACGCGGCAGCCAATTGCGCACAACAATGTTCCACAAACAGTCGTAGATTGAAAATGACCAATTTATTATTGTATTTTGGTTTTGGAGGGATTATTATTAGGCGTGTGGAGTAAGGAAACTTGCCCAAGGTTTCGCCCTGCCTGGAATTGAACTCAGGTCTCTCACTTGCAATGCGAGTGCTCTAACCACTGAGCTACAGGACTCCGAATATCTGACAAGGTAAGTATTGCACAATACAGTACTTTTACACAGTGTAAGGTTAGGGTCAGAAGAAGAAGAACAACAACAGAAAGAGATACAGAAAGAAAGTTAGAGACTCAGAAAGAGAGAGAAACACAATCAGAGGAAGAGAGACTGGCAGAGAGAGAAGCAGAGAAAGAATTGCAAAGAGCAGCAGAGAAAGAAAGAATGGTAGAAGGAGAAAATGAGAGTAACAGAGCGAGAGAGAGAGTAGAAGAGAGAGAGAGTAGAAGACAGAGGGAGGCAGAGAGAGAGAGAGAGAAAGAGAGAACCAGAGATAGAGACAGTAGTAGGGAGAGAAAGTGAGAGAAAAAGAGCGTGTGAAAGTGTCAGTATTTCATTTTATCAGTGTAACTCCTAATGGAACAATTATTTCGTCGGCGCTGTAGCCAATTTATATTTTATGTGATGTCCAATTATTTGCACTGTTTGCTTATCCATATTGGGGCCCAATTAATGTTGATAATCAGCTTTCTACTGCAGTAAGTTGTAGATTATTCAATTGCAGTAAAATGCTTTTACCATTTATCAGTCCTTCTCCTAGTTTGTAACATTTGTCTCCTGTTTTTTAATTCCTCCACATTATATTGACTATTGATTCTGCCAAACTAGCCCATTCTCTAACTAAAATGAGGAGCAAGTGATCTCTTCCTTGAGCTTGCTCTCTACCATCCATCGTGGTTCTGGTAATTGGGTAATTGCCAATTTATGTATACCAAACAGCTTCATCAGCAAGCTTGATCAAAAATATAGTACCTACCTGGATGCTTCAATTCTATACCAGTAAAAGTCATTAATGATCAAGTCCGGATACTCAACACGTCCAACACCAGATCCCACATCCCATAGGAAGTTGACTTTGCCCTTGCGCATCTCAATTGCCAAGAAATCAGTCTGTTGAATAACATAAAAAGAGATTTGGGGAATAGTTTTAGGAAATGTGCTAAGATTGTAATTAATTATCCTTCACTGATGTTCACATTTGAAAGCATTATGGATGATCAGTATTAATAGTGGTGAAATATACAAAAAGGTCTTCAAAGCATACTTTTCATAATACAAAATAACTGGTTCAAGGCCAGTTAGAAACATTCACATTGTCCATAATAGAGTCATTGGAAATATCAGCACAAACACCAATAAATACAATACATTTTAAATATAATAAATTTTGGATTTATACCATGATGTTCCAGGGCCTCTTAACCCTTTTATTACTGACTTCTCATTTACATTTCAAAATAGAATTTCTAGCATGCTATGAATTTCAAATGCTGAATATTGTGAACTAGAAATAAGATAACGTGTGGAGCATTTATTTTCCAAATGTTACATCTTGCTTTTAATAGCTGAACTGTAGATTTTTAAAGGTTAAATAAAATAATCTTTGCAATTGATGTGGCCCTTGCAGTCCTTGTGACACAATAGGCTGAATGGCCAGCTTCTGTGCCATAAATTTCTAACGTCAAAATGAGTTTCACAAGGAACTGCAAGTAGTATTTGTATGGAAATGCAACAGTCAATTTACACACAACAATGCCCCACAAACAGTTATGAAGTGAATGACCAAGTTATATGAGGGATTGATGGCCGGGAGACCAGGAGACACTCCCTTCTATTTTTCAATAGTGTTATGGGATTTCTAACATCCACTTGAACAAGCAGACAGGCCTGTGATTTAATGTCTCATCTTGTATGGCAGAAGAACTGGAACACATTGCCAGGAAAGGTGGTAGAGGCCAGGGCATTAGAGCAATTATAAAAAGAAGCTTTTTAAAAAAAAGCTCAGCAGGCTTTTTTCATCCAGACAAACCTTGTTACTTTACCAAAAATTTAGCACTTTCACCAGAATTCTATTACGAGTGTCAGTTAAGACTGAGAGCTAGCATGCGGCTCGGACTCAGAAGCTGATGTGTGAAAGAGAATTATTTTATGTAAAAAAAAGTGTATTTTTCATGGTTGCTCTCAATCACAGATTTCTTAATGGTATTGCTGTATGTACTGCGCTGTGGCTTTGCAAACTCTCCAGCCCTCTTATGTGCCAGTCTGCAAAAGGCAATGACAGAAATCTCATTTCTTGCATTGCACTTGTGCTGTTCAGTCAGAAGGTGGTGACAAATAAACTTGTAAAGCTGTTGTGTTATGGGTTCCTATAAATTTGTTCCAAATCATTAAACATTATGACCCAATTAAAATGGGCTGCAGTATCCCAGAACAGCATGAGCCTCTGCCTGCAGGGATTTTTTTCTGAATGATGCTTTTGTCGGTTATTGAATGTTTTTAATTTTTATATGGGAACAATCACATTAATCCCGACAAGATGTCAATGGCAAGAACTAGAAAACAACAAACCAGATACAGTGAGAAGAGAAGCAAATGAAAGAATCTGTTCAGAAACACCTATAATGCTAACTCCAGGATTTGGTTTAAAATCTGCTGAATGGAATTAAATTTGTTAATTAAATGCTCTCTGATTATAATGTTTTTAATGTTGAGGGGGAAAAAGCAAACATAGTGGAACAAGCAAAATACATGTTAACATCATGCTGAGTGTACTTTATTCAAATCCAAATATTTGTCTCCTTGAATGCCAAGATTTCAAATGATTCCTTTGAATAATAGTTCTTTATTGAATAAATATTTCAATAAGAAATAGGTCATGCTGGTAATTCACCAAACTGATTTGTTGCTGTTTCATTCTTTTGGTAAGTTATTATTTTCATTTGCCACAAGTAGTTTGCCAGAAAGAAGTTCAGTTCCTTCAAATTTGTTTTCTGTTCTCTTGCAGGCACTGATTCATGCTGGAGTATTGTTCCATGGGCACCCTTCACCCTCCTGTACTATATCCAACTAGCTTTAATTAATCTCTGTGTCTCAATAATGTGTATTGGCAACCAGTTGCATAGCTGAAGATTTGAGTTTGATGTTTTGGTTCATAGTTGAATCCAAGCACTAAACCCAAACCTGTCCTCACCAATCAACACATCCTCAGTTTCTAGCAGGGGTTGTGGGATAATGATCCAGAACAGGAACCCTGGCTGACTTTTTCCCTCTCTTTTCCAGTTGAACTGTGGCCTATTGTATCTCACCTATTGCAGTTATTCCAGCAGAGATCAGTGTCCTTGTGGCACAGTATGGTTCAGTTCTACCTGGGCAGTGGATTCACCAACAAACTATTTCGAGATTGTTCAAAAAATATACATTTTGAAAGTCGAGTATCCCACTCTGGCTAGTTCAAAGTAAGCAGCATAGCAGAAGTTTGAGCTGTGTCCAAACGTTGTTACATATGGCTTGAAGATGTTATTATAGCTGGGAACAAAAGTTAAGAAGAAATGAACTTACGAATTTTGCACTGCCAAGGTAAAATAACAGGTTCTCAAGTTCTGATGTCCTCACATTCAGAATAATAGAGTTCAAGGTGCCCTTCTTAATGTCAGGCCGGTAAGTACGAATGCAGTCCCCACCAGATGCCACTGATACTTTAATCTAAGGAATACGGTAACAATTAGATTGGAAAATTGGAGAGTGGGAAAAGCAAAAGAAATACTGAGCACACATCATTTCTGTTTTAGAGATTACTTACGGAGTTGGCGTGCTTTCTGGCTTGATTTATAAGTTCCTTTATGTGGGAGATGTTCCTTCCCACAGTGTCCTGAAGGTTCTTAATAGGTTTTAATTTATCCAGTAACCGGTCAGTCTCTTCTTCTAGTTTCTTAACCATAGTATCAGCTTCAGAAACTTCACAACAAGGAAAAATGGGAGTGCATAAATCAATGAGTTTTACTACAACAACTTGCACTTATGTAGTGCCCCCCCCACGCAGGTAGCATCTCAGAGCGCTTAACAGTGGTGGAGCCTGACTCCAAGTCGGGTGGGGTAGGGGATTGGTGGCTGTAAGCACGGACGAAGAGGAAGGTTTTTAGGTGGGACTTGAAAAAGGTGAGAGAGGGGGCAAGGCAGAGGAATTCAGGGAGAGTGTTCCAGAGTTTTGGGGCATAGTGGCTGAAAGGGCGACCTCCAATGGTGGGACGGAGGATGCAAGGGATGATTAGGAGGCTTGCGCCAGTCGAGCAGAGGCTCGAGGTGGTGGATTGGAGAGTGAGGAGGGCGGAAAGGTAAGGAGGTGCCAGGGAGTGAATGGATTTGACCATGAGTGTGAGCATTTTGAAGTTGATCCGTTCAGTGATGAGGAGCCAGTGCAGCCTAGCCAGAACTGGTGAGATGTGGGTACGGAGGTTGGTCCAAGTCAGTATGTGGGCGGCAGAGTTCTGAATGAGCTGGATCTTTGGAATACTGGAGCTGGGGAGACCGGCGAGGAGTGAGTTTGAGTAATCCAGGCAGGAGGTGACAAACACATGCACAAGGGTTTCGGCTGTATTTCATGTAAGGTACGGTCCGAGGCAGGCAATGTGACAGAGGTAGAAGAAAGCAGTCTTGGTCAGGGACAGGATGTGGGGGAGGAAGGACAGCTGGGAGGGAGCGGGCAGGATGGTAGGGGGTTAGGAGGTCGCAGAGGTAGGGGCGAGTCTAATTACCAATGTATCAATTAGACTTTTTAAGAGGTTGTTATGATGAAAATTAGAATCTACAAGATTGTCTATCGTTCCCTATAATCTTAAGAAATAACGATTACTCAAAACTTTTTTTGCCTTTTCCAATTGTTTCCTCCCCTTCCTACTCTGTTGAAGACATTTGTCCTGACATGAATGTCAGGTAATGGTCTATTACACTTGAATTCTGGCTCCTTCAGTCCAGTAATAACCCAAATAAACATTCAGGAATATAATCCTTAATGCCAATATGCTTCGCCAAGGTTCTAGAAACAATATTTGGAAGTGAACTCAAATTTAATTTTTTTTATGAAACAAATAATCTTCTCTACATACTCAGCACACAAAAAATCACCACCATGCTTAAGAGAATCCAAACGAAACTCCTGCGAGTTCTTGAATTCCAAAGAAATTTCATCACAACACCCTGCTCACCTAATCCCAGAAAATATTTGGTTCAGATTGGCGAAAGACAAGACTTGAGGAACTCAGAGTGTGCTATTGGGAGTTTAACCAACTAAAATAGTTTGCCATTGAGAGGAGCGCTGACTGGTTAGATTCCTCCCGCTTGTCCAGCTAGTCCCATCCTTCCAATTAGGATTAGAGCACGGTACTGTAAGGTTGCAGGGTAACAGGAGCTGAATGAGCAAAATTGCTGCCTCCACTGACTTGTCTATCGAATTCTGCCAATGATCTAGATTACCTGGTCTATTATCAATAGAGCTTCAAAGTACCTGCCTGACTCAGCAAGTGGATTACCGAGGTTGCCATAGAAGATTATCTTGATTTGGATATTTCATTGCGATATGCAATCTTTTAGAGTCAATTAAACCTGAAATAGACCACCCCCCATCCCACCCAAGGAGATTAGCCACTTTTGTGCAAACAAACATATGACAAGAGTAATTTAACCTACTAGTCTTGGCGGGGTCTATAATGGCAGAATTTACTTTGGCAACATCATCTTCCAGTTTGCTACTGTTGTCCTGTAGTCCAAGCAAATTCTGGTTCAGATCTTTTATTTCCTCCAGCACTGCATTTGCTGTGTCATTCGCTTGCTTAGCCTTATCCTTAGCTGCTTGTAGCTTCGTGCCTGCATCTGTTGGTTGCAAATAAATGTACATAGCAGTCTGCTGCATTCACTCAAACAAGACTAGCATGGTAGTGATTAATATGATTAGACCTGATGATGTGGAATACACTAAACACAGTGTAGACCCATGTGACATACAATGTTCAACCTTGCACTTCACTGTCTGGTTTGATCATCAAGAGGCAACAACAATTAAGACGAGTGAATCGTGTCACAATAATAATAATAATAATCCTTGCGTTTGATATAGCGCTTTTCACATCTTCTAGACAACTCAAAGCGCTTCACAAAATATGCTGTAAAGTGAATTGACTGTATATTTGTGGGCGAAACGCAGCAGCCAATTGTGCACAGCAGTGTCCCACAAACAGTCGTGGAATGAAAATGACCAATTTATTATTGTTTTGTTTTGAAGGGATTATTATTAGGCGTGTGGAGTAAGGAAATTTGCCCAGGATTTTGCCCTGCCTGGAATTGAACGCAGGTGTCTCGCTTGCAAGACAAGTGCTCTGACCACGAGCTACAGGACTCCACATAGACAATATTGCAAGCATATGGCTTAGTTAGGATAGAACATCAAACTTTGTTCAAAGGTAACAGATAACACAGTGATTAAATATATAGATTATGATACTGCACCAGTATAGTACCTTACTGGATTTAATTCATGAATGGAAAAAACTGATAAGGCAAGGCACACATAAATATGTAAATGAAGATGTAACTCAGGAATGGGCCACTATGGTGTGATGGTCCATTTATTTTATTGACACTGTTATTAAACATTTGAAATGTTTTAAGTGCCAGATTTAGTTGCATAAACAGCAGGCGACTGGCACCAGCTGTTCACATCAATTGTTAAAGGTGTGAATCTGCTATGATTGGGTGCCAATTACTGTGAGTCTCTGTGATAGGCACTGAGAGCTAACTGATGGATTCATACCTTCAAAGCTTTAAATGAGAAACCAATGCACAATTGTAGGTGAATCGACCTGATGATGTGAATTGACATTTTACTTACCAAATCTCATAGCTTTAGAAATGATAGAGAAAGTCATATATCAAATGAACTTACCATTGGGAATAGCATGGAGTTTAGCAAGAGTATCATTTAAGGCCTTCAGCAAATTTTTGTTTTTTCCTGCACCATCTTTTAGCCTGTTTTGTAAACTGTCCAAGTTTTCCTCATTCACTGAAAGAGAAGAATCATGAATATTTAGCTACCAAGAGTTGGCACTCACAGTGACACAGAATTATGCACAAGTAAATGTATTATTCATCATACATTTGGATTTTCCTTCAGGGTTTATATACAACAACAAAATTACATTGTATAGCCCTTTCACTTCAGGAGGACGTCCCAAGGTGCTGGACAATCAGTGTTTTGGACCCGAGCGGGGGTTGGGATTAGGGAGGGTGGAAGGCAGGGGAGTAGGAGGGTGACTGAAGGTACGGTCAAAGAGGAGGGTCTTGAGACGAGTCTTGAAGGAGGCAAAGGGAGAGGGCAAGGTGGAGGGATTGCAGGATGGAGTTCCAGAGGGCGAGGACAGAGTGGCTGAAGGCTCGTTTGCCAATGGTGGAACGGGCAAGGTGAAGGATGTAAAGCAGGCTAGAGCCCGCTGAGCGGAGGGAGCGGGCAGCTTAGTAGGGGCTTATGAGATCACAGAGGTAGGGGGGAGCAAGGCTATGGAGGGCTTTGAAGGTGTGGACCAGAATCTTGAACTGTATCCTCTGTGTGATGGGAAGCCAGTGGAGTCGGGCAAGGATGGCGGAGATAGGGTCGCGGAGCCTAGTGCAGGAGAGGACATGGACTGCAGAGTTCTGGATGATCTGCAGCCTACGGAAGGAGGAGTTGGGAGGCGAACAAGCAAGGTGTTTGCATAGGCAGTCTGTAGTGTGAGACAGTGACAGAGCTGGATGATGTTACAGAGGTGGGGGAAGGCAGAGCAGGTCATGGCACGGGTGTGGGGTAAAAAGGACAGTTGAGGGTCAAACAAGATGCCAAGGTTCCGGACTGGTAAGGTGGAGTGTCCATCCTTGGATGGTGATGCTGTTAATGCCTGAGGTTTGGAGGCGCTGATGGGAGCCAATCAGGAGTTTGGTCTTGTTAATAATAATAATCCTTGCATTTGATATAGCGCTTTTCACGTCTTCCAGACGTCCCAAAGTGCTTCACAGAATATACTGTAAAGTGAATTGACTGTATATTTGTGGGCGAACGCGGCAGCCAATTGCGCACAGCAATGTCCCACAAACAGTCATGGATTGAAAATGACCAATTTATTATTGTTTTGTTTTTTTGGAGGGATTATTATTAGGCGTGGGGAGTAAGGAAACTTGCCAAAGGTTTCGCCCTGCTTGGAATTGAATGTTCAGCTGTAGAAAGTTAGCTCTCATCCAGGACTTCTGTCAGGACAGCAGTGGCCCTGGAGTCGAGGATGGAGGCAGAGAGATAGAGTTGGGTGTCATCCACATACATGTGGAAGTTGACCCCATGTCTGCGGATGATGTCACCAAGAGGGAGCATATAGATATTGAAGAGGAGAGGACCAATATACACTATTGCTTGTTGACTACGTAAACTTCCTTCTTCCACTATTAAATTTGCAGAAGCAAATTAACAACAAAGATGTGAATGGCACTGAGAAGGAACTGTGAACATCAGATAATTATGTAATGCATATAATTATGCAATATTAAATAATTACGATGAATATCAAATTCACAAATATTAAATATTAGTCTATTAAATTAATGTTAAATGAACTGATTCATTTATATATAGAGAGTAAGTTATCCTTCATGGTAACATGCCCAAGATTAATGAATCAACTTTCTCGTTCTGCCTTTAAAGAATCATAATTTGTGCAGAGGTGCTGTTGTCTGGTTTGGGATCGTGCTCAACAACAACAACAACAAAATTACATCTATAGAGCGCCTTTCACGTCGGGAGGACATCCCAAGGCGCTGGACAGTCAAGGGTCAGGACCCGAGCATGGGAGAGAGGTGGGGTAGGGGTGAGGGAAGGCAGAGAGTTGGGAGAGTGTCTGAAGGCATGATCAAAGAGGAGGATCTTGAGACCAGCCTTGAAGGAGGCAAGGGAGGAAGCGAGGTGAAGGGATTGTGGGATGGAGTTCCAGAGTGTGGGGGCAGAGAGGCTGAAAGCCCGGCCACCGATGGTAGGACGGATCGGGTGGGAGACATGGAGCAGGCCGAAGCCTGCTGAACGGAGGGAGCGGGCAGGTTTGTAGGGAGTTAGCAAGTCAGAGAGGGAGGATGGCCTTGAAAATGAGGACAAGGATCTTGAATTCGATACTCAGAGGGATGGGGAACCAGTGGAGTTGGGCGAGGGTGGGAGTGATGGGGTCACGGAGCCTGGTGCGTGAGAGTTTTGGATGATCTGCAGCTTGTGAAGGGAAGGGTTGGGAAGGCCAATGAGGAGGGCGTTTCTATAATCAAGCCTTGATGTGATGAATGAGTGAGTGAGGGTTTCGGCAGCCTGAGGGGTGAGGCAATGGCAGAGTCTGGCAACGTTGGAGAGGTGGTGGTCGGCAGTGCCGGTCATGACGCGGATGTTGGGAATTGTCAAACAAGACACCCAGGTTCCTGATTGGCTTAGTGAGGTTGAATGTGCTGCCATGGAGGCTGATGCTGCCAGCGCCTGAGGTGTGAGGCATGGGCGCGAGCCAATCAGAGGGCCCTCGATCTTGATGTCGGACAGGGGGTCCGTCAGGATGCCTGTAGACCTGGAGTTGAGGGTGGAGGCAGAGAGATAGAGTTGGGTGTCATCCGCATACATGTGGAAATTTACCCTATGTCTGCGGATGATGTCACCAAGAGGGAGCATTGTAGAGGGTGAAGAGGAGGGGTCTGAGGACAGAGCCTTGAGGAACACTGCACGAGATGGCGCGGGTGCTGGAGGAATAGCCGTTTCCAGAGACCAAGTGGAGGCGGTGTGAAAGGTAGGACCTGAACCAGTCAAGGACAGAACCTTGAAGGTTGAGGTGGGAGGAGAGGTGGTGGAGGAGGATTGAGTGGTCCACAGTATCAAAGACGGCAGAGAGGTCGAGGAGGATGAGGAGGCAGAGGGAGCCCTAGTCACACATGTCAGGATGTCATTTGTAACCTTGACCAGAGCAGTTTTCATGCTGTAGGCAGCACGGGAACCTCATTGGAGGGGCTCATGGAGGGAGTGGGAGGAGAGGAAAGAGTAAAGCTGGGAGGCAACGGCTCTCTCAAGGACCTTAGACAGAAAAGGGAGGTGGGAGATGGCCGGTAGCTGGATAGCTGTGATGGGTCAAGGGAAGGTTTCTTGAAGGTGGGGATGTTTTGAGGATGGGGTAGGAACAGTGCCAGATGACAGGGAGAGGTTGATGATGTTGGCGAGTAGTGGGGCAAGGAGATGGAGCTGGGATTTAAGGAGAGGGGTGGGGATAGGGTCCAGGGAGCAGATGGTGAGCTTCATGGAGGATATGGAGGTGATGAGAGAGGAGGGGCTGATAGGTTCAAAGGTGTGGAAGGAGGGATGGGTAGTGGTCGGAGTGTGGGGGAAGGTAGGGAGCAGGTGCAGTTGGAAGGGCAGCAGCAGCTGAGCGGATTCGTTCGATTTTGGAATCCAGGAAGTCCAGCATTTCCTTGCAGTGGGAGTCGGAGAAAAGACTCTGCGAGGTGTGGCGGGGAGGGCAGAGGAGCCGGTTGGTGATGGAGACCAGGAGCCTGGGGTTGCCCTTGGCCTCCAGGATTAATCTGGAGTAGAAGGACGATTTGGCTGAGGCGAGAGCAGAGAGGTAGGTTTTGATGTGGTCCAGCCAGATGTGCCGGTGGACCATTAGGCCGGATTTGAGCCAAGTGCATTCGACAGCCCGCACCTGGCCCTTGAGCGAGCGGAGTTGGCTGGTGAACCAGGGTGAGGATCGGGAATAAGAGTCAGTTCGGGAGGTGAGTAAGGGCAGTCAGTTTGCTGTATCACACACTGAGCACAACGTTGCCAAGGGTTGAGTTTTGGACGTCTTGGTAGATTACATTTTGGCAGGGACAAGAGCTCTGAAACATTGCAGAACACATCAAAGAATAATTTTAGATAATCAAAGATACTCAAATTGAGGAATGATTGACAGAATCCCTGTATCAGCAATATTTACTGTTTATGAACAAAGGAACTTTAATCTTTTATTATTTATTATTTTATTATTCGTAACTTACCTTCTAAATCTGTTCCTAGTTTGTTGGCCTCATTCAACAGTTTGAAGCTTTTCTGCAGTGAACCTTTTGCAGAATCCTTCAAAGATCCCCTTGGACTAGATGCCTGATTTGATTGGAATTGAGAACAGTTATTTAAATAACTCACAATTAAACATTATTTAACATTGTGTTGTATTTTGTTCAAATTGTTGGCATTAATTCAAATACATTACATTGTGTACGTCAAGATTAACTAGAATTGATCTTCCACAATGTTCCAAAAGATTATTAAAACATTTGCATTTCGATTTGCAAAAATCATGAACAAACAAAGATTTAGGGGATTATCCTCCTTATTTCACTATAAATGTAGCAAATATGTTGATGCGCACCCGAGTATTCTGCTCTAGTCTTTTCAAATGAACCTTTATAAGTAACTGTAATGTCATCTTGAGTTATAAACAAAATAATAAGAACAAAATAATTTCCTAAACATCTGTATGCAAGTTATTATTTTTCTTCCTTCCTTGTCTGGTGCAGTGAATTCCTAGCTGAAAAGACAAGCAGCTGATCTGCACTCAACTCTCTGCCAATGTGTCTGTAGTACATAGAAAGCAGATGTGGAAGCACAGCCTTAATGCAATCATTTTCAGTCTCCCCCAGCAGCAAAACTGAGCCTGGGATCTTGGCATTAGAGATAATTATAAGCTCTTGTTCTACAACTCTGTGTATAGCCAAATGGCCTGAAAACATTTAAAATCGTTCAGTGAAACAAACTGCATGCGTAAGGAAAAGCTGTGCAATGTTTTATTTATCTAACGCCTGACATTTTTGCAGAAGTTACAACAGCGGATAAAGCATTGTAAACTGCTAAATATTGGTACAACCTGTTTGCCTGAGCAACATTTCGTTCCAGAAAAGTGCATTAAAAATATATGATCCACAGTCAGAAAATTAATTTGATTTTTATGCACAAGCCTGGATTTGTTTTAATCATTTCACACGTTAGTGTGGACCTCATTTTGCACAGTCTGAGAACGTTGATTAAAATGTGGCACACTTGTAAATAACATCAGCAGGTGTATAATAAAACTAACTGTTGTGAAATAATACCCTGTTCCTGTTGTCATATTAATTTAATTCTCTATATTCACAGAATGACTATTACTTTCCACCACTGCAGGCTGATGTGTTCAATTTGTATTGGGTTACTTTGTATTAAAAGTATGTTTAAGAAATTGTAAAAGTGATAATATTTCCCTATAATACAGTAATTCCAGAGAACAAAACAATTCAATGTAACATCTCTTCAAAAATGAGAGACTTGCTCCTTACCAGGTGAAGAGCTTGATTGGCTCGAGTCTTAGCCTCTTTAGCAATTTTTTCAGCTTCATCAATGTTATTTTTGATGTTGGTGTAAGCTTTGAAAGCTGCTGTCGCATTAAAGGACAGATTTTTGGCTTCAGCAAGAATACTGGTTTTGGAGGGAACAAAATATGTTAATAACTGTAACATTTTCACATTTGTTGAATTTTACATTTTTTTTGCCGTCCATCAGTTTTTCTCCTCCAATTTTCTTCCCCATTCCCTAACGGCAATACGGATTCTCCCAATTAACTTCTTTTTCTGTTCCAATGGCATTCAGTTTCATGGTCACCATTCAACCTCCAGTGACACATTATTCATATGCTTCACAGTGAGTGTTGCCATCACAGCTGAGCCCAGTCATGTCCTTACCTGATAAATATCCACACACATCTACTTTCCAGCAGGTGTTTCTGAAGGTGTTTCTCTCTCTATCACCCAGAATCACTGAGGCCAACTGGCGCACCAGATAAGCTGAGGTCAGCAAACAGCACAGACCACGAATGAAAACTGCAACTTTCATTCTGTAAGATCTAGTATTGCACCATGTGGTCCTTTAGCTGATATTTCTTGATTCTTAACAGTGTGTTAAAAGTAATTTTTCCTTCAGATTATGCTACCTGTTCGTAAAAGCACATATCATCTTTTACTTCTTTTCTCCCTTTTCAGGTTCTTTCCAAATCACACTATTTCTGTGCCTAAGAGGGTGAGTGTGGTAACTTGCTCCCAGATGACCAGCAGTGTTCTTCTTGAATAACTACAATGCTAGTGGCTGGTGGAAGTATTAACGTCATCGCAACATCTCAAAGCACTTCACAGGATATACTGCAAAGTGGATTTGACTTTATTTTGTGAGATGCGCACAGCAAGTACAGGAGAGCGCAGGGAATATGATTGGAGGAGTTAGCTCCAGTTAGAAGCACAATAGCTGAGGTTTATTGGACCAAGTAGCCTTCTCCTGGGCTGAACTTTCTATGTTTGTCTCATGTAATGTAGCTGTAACATTTGTTTCATGGCACTTAGGCCTATTTGCAGGCACTTAATGTGAAAAATTCTTCCCATTACTAAGTGTTTTGACGCTGATGGTGAGCACTACAAGGGACAGAGTGGTGTATATTGGTGTACATTGTTAATGCTGCTATATTTACGAAAATAAAGAGTTTGGGGCCTCAAGAGCTGAATTTGGAAAATACAAAATGCAATACTAAGTCTATTTGTTCTTATGTTGCACAATTTTTAGTCTACAAGTTTGTTATTTTCAGAGAACCTTTGTGAAACCTCAGCTTTCGGTATGATTATAAAATACTCACTGTAAATCACAGGGCAATGAATCAAATGCCACAGGGTTAAGCTGTTAATATTAAGATAAAGGTAAAAGTTTTTTAAAAAATTGAGAAAAAAAAGGATACTGAAACAAGTCACTATAGAGCTAAAGCATTAAGTAAGAATGATTGAATGTAAAAATTATGCCAATCAATACAAAGACAATATAACTCCTATCTGAAGGAAGCAATTGCAAAGCAATTTGCAATGTAACCCATCTGCTGAGACTACCCTGAGGAGATGAGTTGACCAGGATCCAATTCAAGCCAATGCAGTATAAATACAGGTGATGTGAACTGATTCACTCTCTGTTTAAATTGGGTCTAGACAGATAGTCCATTATGATACCCAAGAACTTTTAAGGGAACATTTTAATGTTATTTAAGAAGCTGACTGTTTCATGATGCTGGTCAACAGAGCCCTGTGCCTGCACAAAGCATTCTTCACATTGCTACAGCAATATAAAATCAACATAGGGAAGAAGTGATCCAAAAGACTTGGCATAGTTGAAGACTGTTGAAGAAACTTGTAGCAAAATCCAGTGCTCATTACTTATGCGTTCACTTCATGTGTTTGATGATGGTTTGGAGAACATTTTAGTCAATACACCCTTTATGATAGAATAGATTACTTTTCTTTCGAGTTGTATTCCTTTCCTTGTTTATAACACAATGGGGCCAGCCATTGATACACTGTCTGTTATCAAATAATAAATAATAATCCTTGCATTTGACATAACACCTTTCATGTCAGCAGGACGTCTCAAAGTACTTCACAGGACTTACTGAAAATGCAGTAACTGTCGATTTTGCATGTGAATGCGGCAGCCAATTTGTCCACATACATGTTTCACAAACAGCCATGAAATAAATGACCAATTTTAACTTGGAAATTATCGGCTTTAACAACTTATTGTGGAGTCGTGTAGCTCAGTGGTGAGAGCACACCTGGGTTCAATTCCAGCCAGGGCGAAACCTTGGGCAAGATTCCTTACTCCACACGCCTAATAATAATCCCTCCAAAACAAAACAATAATAACTTGATCATTTTCAATCCACGACTGTTTGTGGGACATTGCTGTGCGCAATTGGCTGCTGCGTTTCGCCCACAAATATACAGTCAATTCACTTTACAGCATATTCTGTGAAGCACTTTGAGACGTCTAGAAGACGTGAAAAGCACTATATCAAATGCAAGGATTATTATCATTATTATTATTATCCAAAGGACTGGCACCTCAAATAATGCAGCACACCCTCTGTACTGTAATAATAAATAATAATCTTCCTTGCAATTGATATAGTGCCTTATCGAGACATCTCAAAGAGCTTCACAGGATATGACTGTTTGTGGGACATTGCTGTGCGCAATTGGCTGCCGCGTTCACCCACAAATATACAGTCAATTCACTTTACAGTGTGTTTTGTGAAGCGCTTTGGGCCGTCCTCCTGACGTGAAAAGCGCTATATCAAATGCAAGGATTATTATTATTATTATTATTATTATATTATTATTATTATAAGGTAAAGTGGATTGACTGTAATTTATGGATAAAGCACAGCCATCCAACATTCACAGAGATCAATAAATGTTGTTTTGTGTACCATAATGTGACTGATATAAGCTTTAATTACAATTTTAATAACCTATAGTGCTCAAGAATATAAGGTTCTGAAAGTTTACTAGAAAATAATCTGGTCGCTTCTTCTCAGCCTATTTTTCATGAAGCACAGATTGATCAAGAGGTATATAAACATGCAAAATATGAGAGCAGCTGACTTACCCGTCTAGGATGCTAGACGAGTCGTTTAGGACTGCAGCATGATCCTCTGCACGATGCACAAGATCTGGGAGGTTCTCTACATGAATGTCAATGGTGAGTTCATTTATTTTGTTCTTCAACTGTCTCGTCAATGGTTCCAAATTGTTTTTGTCTTTTAATTCCTGTAAATCATGAGCAAAATGTACCCAGGATAAGAAATGTACCCAAACAATAAGCCCAGTTAACAGGATTCAGTGTATTTTAAGCACAACTCTCTTTCCCGCATTTCCCATTGCTACACACCCATTGCTTTTTACACATGCAACACACATGTAAAATATTTCTCTAGGTTAACAGAGTAAAATCAAACATTGTTTATTGGAACTCTGCTCTAAAGTGATCAAGGTTTGGAGTGGAGGTCCAACGATTCAATGTAATGTACATGAGGATCCCTGGAAGAGATGTGTTTTATATCCTTTTTCCCGGGTGTGTTGAGACACCATGGATGAATTTCCCACCAATTGTTTTGTCAACCACAGTATAAATTTTTAAAAACTATACCGAAAACCTAAATAACAGTAATGTAATTACATCTAATCCCAGAGTAGCAGCTTCCAAAAGACGCTTGGCTTCAGCTATAAGATGTTGACCTTCTGTCAGCACATCTTTTGTATCCTTTTTACCACCTTCTACAGCTTGTTTCCTTGCCTAAATTCAGAGAACAATAAAGAGAAACACCTATTAAATTAAGATCACACTTTTCCACATTGATTTCTATTACATTTTACACGTGAAAATGCACTGTTATATTTAAGAAAATTACTCTCTATCACAAAAGTGTGACAGCTCCAGTGTCCAAACTCCTCAGATCATTCATGATCATACAGATAAATAATGTTCCAACTACAGTGTAATAGATCAACAGTACATCAATTCTCGTTGGTATCCAAGAGAGATTTATGCGGCTGTATTCAAAGCTTTGCTCTAGAGTTAAAAGGCGAGACAATTATTTAACCGCTCTAAACATTGGGTCAGAAATCTTGGCTGTGTTTTAAATGAAAATGGATTGCACAGCTCAGGAATGAGAGCAGAGCACACTGCAACTGGATGACAGAGCACTGGGTGTCGTAACCTATCAATTGTCAATTAATACATACATGAGGGAGAAGGGAATGGATGGGTATCGGAGAAGGGGCATAGGAGGGGTCAGACTTCTGTGGAGTTTTAACACTGCCACGGGCGAGTTGGGCCAAAGGGTCTATTTCCCTGTCATATTAACTGCTGACATTGAGTTCTACCTCCAAACCACCAGGGCAGTTTTTGAGGGCTTTAATTATAGATATGACACTCCCTGCCATAATAACAGAACTGAATGATGTTAATGCTGTCCTATTGAATACAAAAAGGTGGCAGCTGTATTCTAATCAAAAGTGGCTAAATTCAACTTCACAAGATTGATTTGCTACTCAGCGTCTAGGGAACAACAGCACCAAGTTACATTTGTATAGCATCTTTCACGTCAGCAGGACATCCCAAGGAACTGACAACAGTATCAGTGACTGGCCACAAAATGGCCACTGAACCACCCACAAATATTGATGCAGTCAGTTCCCAGTTATAACATGGTGGTTTGGATCCATAAACTTATAACAGAGTTACAAAAATGGGTACTAATCCAGTGTTCCAGGTCATCACGTCTCAGCTGACATCGCAATTGGGTACTGTTTTCATTAAACTACCACCAATTGGGTACAGTTTTCCTTTTCTCAGAATCAAGGTCTCATGAGTTGGTTTGAGTACAGGAAGTTCGCTGAAGAAAATGTAATTAATGTCTTTGGGCAATTTTCTGGTACAAAGGGCCAAAAAATGGCTGTTTTAATGTTCAAGCTGTGCGCAATTGGCTGCCGCGTTCGCCCACAAATATACAGTCAATTCACTTTACAGTGTGTTCTATGAAGCGCTTTGGGACGTCCTTCCGACGTGAAAAGCGCCATATCAAATGCAAGGATTATTATTATTATTATTATTATTTAAACCTTTCTATCCAATACTCTGCTAAAAGAACTTGGAAGTGCCTTGGTGGAAGTATCAAAGATTTAGAGGTATTAAGCAGTATGAGAGATATTAAGTGGTATGGAGAACAGCAGCACATTGGGATTAAAAGATGTGCCAAGAGTTTAAACGGTCTATTTGGAAGAATATTGTGTAGATATATTAAAAGCGACATGTTTGATATCACTCTAATAAATTGGTGGGTGAGGCGAGATGGGCTGAATGGCCTTTTGTTTCTGCTTTCCTATAAAAAGAACTAAGTACACGAAGGACAAAAATTACTGTCTGTATGCAAGTATGAGCTATTAAGCATAGATGACAGAATGCAACAAAAATGATGACAAGAAGATTCATGTAAAAAACATCTGGCTAATGTACAGTCTTTTACATCTAGTTAATGTTACAGGTCACAGGTAACATTAACAACAACAAAATTATTGTTTGTATGTTGTTGTAACATACAACAACAACAAAATTACATTTGTATAGCTCCTTTCACATCGGGAGGACGTCCCACGGTGCTGGACAGTCAGTTTTTCGGACCTGTGCTGGGGGTCGGGATTGGGGAGGATGGAGGGCAGGCAGGTAAGGAGGGTGATCGAAAGCACAGTCGAAGAGGAGAGTCTTGAGATGGGTCTTGAAGGAGGCAAGAGAGGGAGCGAGGTGGAGGGACTGCGGGATGGAGTTCCAGAGGATGGGGACAGAATGGCAGAAGGCTCACCAACCATGTGTGGGGCATGCGAGGCCGGGGGCATGAAGCAGGCTGGGGCCTGCTGAATGGAGGGAGAGGGCGGGTTGGTAGGGAGTTAGGAGGCCGCAGAGGTAGGGGGGAGCAAGGCCATGGAGGGCTTTGAAGGTGAGGACCAGGATATTGAACTGTATCCTCTGTGTGATGCCAGTGGAGTCGGGCGAGGAGGGGATGATAGGATTCCGGAGCCTGGTGCGGGAGAGGCCATGGGTTGTAGAGTTCTGAAGCCTATGGAGGGAGGAATTGGGGAGGCTGACAAGCAGGTTGTTTGCATAGTCAAGCCTGGATGTTATGAATGCATGTATGAGGGTCCAGGGAGGGGTTTTTAAGGATATCAGGCGTGTGGAGTAAGGAAACTTGCCCAAGGTTTTGCCCTGCCGGGAATCGATCCCAGGTCTCTCGCTTGAGATATTAGCACTCTAACCACTGAGCTACAGGACTCCACAAAACTACTGACATTGGTGGTGCCACAGTTTACCTCTAAAGAGGTCAAGTTTCTTTGGTTAACTGTTGATAAGCGATCGGCCTCTCTGATTGTTTCTTCCGCTTCTTTCAGCAGCTCTTGGGCATTGTCCAATTTGCTTTTGTAATTGGTTATTTTGTTCATGACTTCATTCTTCAAATCGTGAGTCCTCTCATGAGGATCCCCAAACATCTTTTTCACTTTTGCCAAAAGTGCATCAGCAACCCTGAAATCCCAAACCGTTATCATGTTAGCACAATGGAAGAAGCAGACCCTTTCTACAACCATTCGATTTTTTTGCGCTAAAATTTCAATCAACCATTAACTGAACAAAATGGTTATATGCAAGAAATTTTTCGTCAACTTTTCCGAGAAGTAAGATGTCTAAACACAGACCCAAGTTCATTTTCAGCTATTTGCTCATGTTTGTCAAATGAGCGCTTTTGTAACTCTGCCATCATCTTCTCAATATCCTGCTGCATGTCTTGTAGATTCTTGTCTGTAACTCCATCTTTGATCCCGAGGGTTTCATTTAATTTTTTGGCTTTTAATTTTATGTCTGGTGAGAGGAAAAAAAAGCAATACCAATTTACCCAATTTGAGGCTCGTTTTAACAATAATATTTATGCTTATTTCTGATCCTCAACTGAAAAGTTATAAGGTTATTGATATTGGTTGGTTCACTATAATTGTAAAAAAAGTAATTATGATTTCAGGTTCTAATCATAGTGCTCTCTGAATTGAAGTGAGTTTCAATAGTTCTCAGGGGAACACATTTCCATAGGATATCAACACACCTACAAAACACAAACTGAATGAATGGCTTACTTGCAAAGTTAAACCCACACGTATAATAATAATATTATTATTTCATGTCGGGAGGATGTCCCAAAGCGCTGGATATATATAATCCTTGCGTTTGATATAGCACTTGTTGCAGGTCTCCAAATTTCATAAGATATACTGTGAAGTCTAGTAACTCTGTATTTTGTAGAATGGGGCATCAAATTTGCACACAGCAGTGTCCCACATGAAGTGAATGACCAATTTTATTTGAGCTATTGCTGACCAGAACAACGGGAGAAACTTCCTTCTGTTTTTAAATAGTGCCATGAGATCTTTAACGTCCACCTGAACAGGCAGACAGGACCTCAGTCTAATGTCTCATCTGCACTGCACTGGAGTGTCAAAAGAGGCTTTGCCTCTGCAGAGCTTGAACCCAGAACCTTTTGATTCAGAGGTGAGAGAGCTACCAACTGAGCTAGGTTTACACAACCATCAGAATTAAGCAGTCATACACATGGATTAGGGCATAATCCAGAACCAAAATGTTCTAGTGAAACAGAACCAATGCTAAAGAAAGCAACTAGATTAATTGCCGCCTACCTTGGGAACCCATTACGGTATCTTTGATGGACTTTTCTATCTCCTTTGCACGCTTGTGAGTTCTCTCAGCATCTTTATCAGTTTGTTCGCCATCTGCAGAAATTTTTGTTGCCTAATTTTAGTAGCAAAAAAAAAGGTGTTTCAATTAATTTATTAGTTTTGAAATTCAGTTGTGAATGTATTTGTGGTCAAATTTAGTTTTAGAAAATTACAGGACTGCAGGAGATTTTTGTATATTTTCCAGGGACTAATGTATGTAACTATTGTAAATTTTTATTTGCAGTAAAAGAAAAGAAAAATACATTTGATTTTTTTAAAAAAAATTATTTGCTCAATACAGCAGTGCAACATTTTTCCCCCTGTAGCTTCCTTTGTAGAAGATATAAACAATACATAGACTCCCCATCAGTGTTCAAATGTGTACCAAATGTAGAGCCTAGTAAATGCAAAGCTTCAGTAATTCCTTCTATTTTGACATTAACTGTATCGTTTCTATACCCTATTCAATAGCTCATCCATCTCCATGACCAAGGTGTTCAGGCTACTATCTGCCAGCTGCAGAAGTCTCTCGGGAGCTCTCTGAGGTGACATTAGGTACTGAAAAGATAAGAAATAAATCAATAAATACAGGAGGCATTTACAGCACACTCAGCAATAAAAGTGTATAGTTTCTCATGCTGGAGTTTTTCAAAATATATTTTTAATGAGTCAGCTGAGTCACACAGTTGAGATATGAAAGATATGGTTGCATATACCATAGCTTTCATAGTCTAAAACCAGTTGTGATGAATAACAAATTAATTTGACATTTCTCAGTGACAAGTCGATCTAATGGTTAAAACTAGTAAACTTATATTATAAACACACAATGAAATGTTTAACAAATGAGCATTAACAAACAGCATATTTTTGATCCCACAATCAAAGATAAATACCAAGCAATCCAGTTTGGAATAAATAAATGATTAGGGTGAATTATAACTATCATAAAATAATAATAAATCCATATAGTTGATACAGCATCTTTCACGTTTGGGAGGATGCTTTCACAGGATATATTGTAAAATGAGGTAGGTAAGTGTATATTTTGTAGGTGAACCTAGCAGCCAAGTTGCACAGCAATGTCCCACAAACAGCCATGAAGTGAAACAGCAATTTTATTTGGGGGATTATTCGGCAGGACGTGAGAAACTTTCTTGTCTTTCAAATAGAGGAATTTTTAACATCCACCTAAACAGGCAGATGGGACCTCTCATCCAAAGGATGGCACATCTGACACTGCAGTGTATCCCAGCACCTCAATGGGATGTCAGTCTAGACAAATGGTGGCCAACCCATGGCCCAAATGTGGCCTGTGGGACATCAAGAAGTGTCCCATTGAACATTCGCATTAGTCTAGGTAAGGCGGTGTTAAATGATATTGAATTTCCAGTAACTATTGAGTATCAATTAAGAAATATTTAATGAAGAAAAATGTATTTGGTCAGGCATCCAAAAAAGGTTGGCTACCACTGGTCCAGATTCCCGACATGGGGCTCGAACCCACAACCTTCTGACTCAGAGGCAAAAGTGCTATTAATTGAGCCAGGCTGACAAGTATAGAATTCCAATTGATGTCAGTAGCTTTTAGATTCAAGTCCAAAAAACAAAGTGAGGAACGAGAAAAGATTATTCAGTCCATCAGGCTGAAATGGAAAAAGAAATCAGCAGGAAGAGAGGAGGGTAAGTGGAGACTCACCCTGAAATGTACCTTGAGATATAAAGCGCTTCTCCTTCAGGGAATGCCAATAAATCTCGCCGAGCAAGAACTTGCCTCTGATGAGGTTTTGGGTCAGAGCTCAGATCTCACCAGTTGGCATGACGTGCATGACTCCCTGCAGGAGGCGCACTTTATACCCTGAGGTGCAATTTATCTCCCATTTCCCCAGCTAGGACTTTTTCAGCCTCAGTGGTATCAATACAGTGCATAACTTATTACAAATAATTGAAAGTAATGAATTATGTTTTATCTTTGTTCTTTGGTAAAACAAAGCCCAAATCTTTGTTAGGAAGGATGTACTTCACAATAATGCAGTACACTTTTTATGTATTTAGCACTTTTCAGGTTGGGAGGACAGCTCAAAGCACTTTACACTTTTAGTTTGGCATGCGAGCCAGGGGGGAGTGAGCTGAAGAAGGTGGAGATGGGAAAGAAGCATGGGTAGAATGGCTGAAAACCTCTCCATCGCTGTTGGGGCAGATAGGGGGACATGTAACAGGCTTGCTGAGTGAAGGGAGTAGCAGGGTCCGTAGGGTTTGGAGGAGGTCGCAGAGGTAGGGATAAGGTGAAGCGAAAGGATGGAGGGTTTTAAAGATAAAATCAAGAATCTTGAATTTGATTTGCTGTGGGATGGGGAGCCAGTGAGCCAAGCGAGGGTGGGGGTAATTGGCTCACGGAGCCCGAAGCAGGAGAGGCCATGGCCTGCAGAGTTCTGCATATTCTGCAGCTTGGATTAAAAAGAGCCTGGGAATCCAGTAAGCATAATGTTGGCATAGTTAAGCCTGAATGAGAGTCTTGAAAGCCCCAAGGGGTAGTTGGTGGTGCAGAAGGGTGAAGTTACAAAGGTGAGGGTAAGCTGAGTGAGAACCAGGATGTGGGGTTTGAAAGTTAGCGGCCAAACAAGACACTGAGGTTCCACACAGTGAGCATCAGTACAGGTTGAGGTGTGAAGGACAGATACCAGACAGGCAATTAATGATTGGAGTAGGTTGTCAGGAAGGGTAATTGAGGCTAGCACTTTGGACCCATTTAAAAAAAGCTTGATGTTGTGATGCGAAGATGGTATCTTGGGTATTCTGGAAGGATGAGACCAAATGGACGATGGGCCTCCTTCATCCAAACTACTCACTGGGACAGGAAATCATCCTATTCAGCTCCCGTTAACCCTGCAAACCAAAGCCCTAACAGGTACTAGCTGGACAAGCAGCAGGAAAGTTACCGGACAGCAATATCAATGACAAGTTATTTGGGTTCAGACTTCAGCAGTACCCCAATGCATACTCTGGGATCCCCAAGCCTTGTCTCTTGCCAACCTGTGCCTACTACTTTCCAGAATTAGCTAAGCAGGATGTGTCCCTCCAGGGAGAGAGTGTTTGCATTCTATTCTAATCTATCTCTGAGATTTCCATGTGCAGGTGGGATGCATGGAAAGCTCAGCTTAGTTTGGATACTCCTAAACATGGTGATGGGTTTCTGCAGTGCCAGCCGAGATTATTGGATCTCAAAGTCCTTATATAGTCATGGAACTTGATTCCATGAATATTTATATTATTCTTTGCTCTGTTTCAGCAATAATCACTTGCCTTTAATTCCTGAGTCACATTTTCATATTTGTAGAGCACATGGTACGGGGGAGGTAGAGGTCCAGAGAGATTCAAACTTGTAATCATCATATTAAGGTGTTGCAGGTCATTTAGAAGAAGTCCGGTGCATTCATCATCACAAGCTAATATAGGACACATTAAACATTAGTACAAAAAGCATTCTTCTTATCTCTGTGCTCTCTTCATGCTAATTAACATAAACCAATGCTTTCTCATTCACCAATATTTTGAAATATGATTTAAATTACAAGGTTACACCACTCTGAGCTTAGAAATACTTTCAAACCAGTATAAATCTCGATAAGAGCTACGATCATGAGCATCCCTATCTTAATAATAACAATTTTTTATTAAATATAGAGGTTTTTTTCTTTGATATCAAACGAAAATCAATGCCGATGGATCATTTAGAAAAAAAATTGCTATTAAAGCAAAGATTTATGATGACACTTTTTCGAAAAATAACTATTTTCACTTGTTAATACAAAATACAAACTTGAGTCTCCATTAAATGCAACTGGCATTCCAAAATGCATTGTAACTGATGCTAAGCTACAATTTCAGACACATGGCCCACGTCAAATCCACACTTCATGCACATAATTGAAAGTTGTTTAAATCCCCTTACCTCAGCGCATTTCACCAAAATTTGGAACCATAAAGTACTGAATCCGCATTTTGCTAAATTGTTGCAGTGTATTATTTCTCTCAGAATCTAAAAATTCATGAGTATGCAGTAGAAAGATAAGGGATTAAATGCGTAAAATGTGCTCAGTCTTGGAGTATGCTGAGTGAACAAGGCTGAGCATTCACATCAGCATCAAGATGCAGAACTAAAGCCACCTCTGTAATGGTAGCTGTGCAAACTGATGCATAAAGCTGGACTTCTAACCACAGAGAAGTCAGACTGTGATAGGAGCTGTATCATCATTTTGTTGGAAGATTGCCTTTAATAGATGCCTAGACCAATATAATAATATAATTATGGAATATATAATAATAATATAATTATGGAGTATATAATAATATAATCATTATTACATTATTATTATCATTTTTTTGCCTTTAATAATGGATGCCTGGACCAATATTTATTTGTTTGAAAAGCCCAAGCAACTGAGTTTGGTTATGTTATAGAAAATATACAGCAAAGGAAAATTGAAATTTGGTGAGAAATGTTTGTTGTTAATATACGTACAGATACATTTCGTGCCCACACGAACATGCCAATCCATGCATCCATCACAGGTCTGGCCCATCATTCCTGGAAGGCATCTACACTGACCAGTGACTGTGTCACATGGTACGGGTAAGGAACCAAGAGGATCGCACTCACATTGTACACAAGAGCTTCCATCAATTGTTGGATTACCATAGTAACCAGGTGCACACCTAAAATTAACAGAGCCAACTTTTACAAAAAAGCAAATTGTGGTTGAAGCAGAAATCATCATTGCATTTAAGAGAAAACTTAACGAATACATGAGGGATAATAGAGGGGATGGGAAGGAGGTTTGGGAATGGAGATAAGGATGGGCAGAGGCTCATGTGGAAAATAATATAATTCTATGTAATAAAGAAATATATTGCTAAATACATACAATCAGTATAAGAAACATTAAGCAATGTTTAAACAACAACAAATTACATTTGTATATCGCCTTTTATCATGGGGATGACGTGCCAAGTCGCTGGACAGTCAGGGATTTGGACCCGAGCTGGGGGTTGGGATCAGGAAAGGGTGGAGGGCAGGGAAGCTAGGAGTACGAGCGAGGCAGAATGTGCGGTGGGAGAGGATGGTCTTGAGATGTGGTTTGAAGGAAGCAAAGGAGGGAGCAAGACAAAGGGACTGCGGGATGGAGTTCCAAAGGATGGGGACAGAGAAGCTGAGAGCCCGACTGCTGATGAGCGGAGGGAGCTGACAAATTGATATGAAGTTAGCAGGTCACAGTGTTAGGAAGAAGCAAGGCCATAAAGGGCCTTGAAGGCGAGGGCTTTGAATGCTATCCTCTGGGGGAGTGGGGAGCCAGTGGAGCCGGGAGAGGGTTATAGGGTCATGGAGTCTGGTGCGGGAGAGGACATGACTGCTGAGTTCTGGATGATCTGCAGCTTATGGAGGGAAGAGTTGGGAAGGCTGACAAGCAGCAAGTTGGTGTAGTCGAGCCTAGATTTAATAAATGCGTGGATGAGGGTTTTGGCGGCCTGAGGCAGTGGCGGAGCTGGGCAATGTTTCACCCACAAAATACAGTCAATTATAATTCGGTATATTCTGTGAAGCGCTTTGAGATGTCTTGAAGACGTGATAAGGCGCTATATCAAATGCAAGGATTTTTATTATTATTATGTTGCGGAGGTGGGGGAAGGCAGAGCGGGTCATGGCACAGACGTAGGGTAGAAAGGAAAGTTGAAGGATAAACAAGACGCCAAGGTTCTGGACTGGCTCGGTGAGGTGGAGTGCACATCCAGAAAATGTATGCATGCTAAACATTTGAAGAAACATATAAATTCCAGTGAAATCATTTAGCAGAATTAATAATGTGCCCTTGTAAACAAAAAAATTCTTGGATTCTTATATTACATACAGACGAAGACAATATATTTACCTGTCACAGTATTGTCCCTCATATCCTTCCAGACATGCATTGCACCGATAATCAGTAAATTCATCCACAATGCAGGTTGGACTGAAACTAAAGCAGATACACAAGTAGTCAACTGCAGTCAAGTAATAACAAAGGATCCTGAATGTATTGTGCGTTTATCTGAAATGAATGGTATTCTAGTCAGCTCACCGTGCTCAACTATATGTGGGTACGTAACAGTGACATTTAGAAACACAGATTGCTGGTCTCGGAAGCTACTTGTGGTGCGTTGGGGCTGGCTACAGAATGTCTCAAGAGATTTATTACTCCTTAGAAAGGTCGCACAGTGGACGGATCAACCTGGTGATTAACTTGGCACAATGCCTATTGATCAGTTTGAGATTGATCTCAAACCCACTTGCTGCCAGGTTAGGTGCTCCTCAGACTGACTGATCTCTGCGATGATACTATAGTACTGGAGTACCAGACCTGCAAAGGACTCAAAGTCTTTTTGGTCCTTGCTGAAGCAACAGTAGACAATTATATAAAACTAGATCCTGAATAAGTTAATGAGTTAATGAAATGTGGATTCCCTCAACAGTCAGAAGTAATACAATGTAGTCGACTAGCTAATGCCATCAACTTAGCTCATCAGCAACAATAAATGACATTTGTATAGTGCCTTTCACGTCAGGAAGACGTCCTTTTGGTTTCAATATTATGATTTTCAAGAAGTCTCTGTTGATCTACTTTCAAAGATAAAAATAAACTCCATGAGTTGAAGTAAAATGAGTTTTGGGGAAAAATATTCAAAAACGAATTACGACCTGGATATTAGCGACAGATTGGTTGAAACATCAATATATGCTCCTATACATTTACTTTCATAATTCTACATAAATTCTTCAAAAATGTTAAATAAAAGGATTTTATAATAAATTATTTTCCATAATTATAGGGAGGGAGAAAGGAAAAAAATTGGATAGGAAACTCAGTTAGATACTGGAATTTCTATTCTGGGACCTAAGGTGAAATGCAACTCAGCACTATGACTTAATTTAATAATAACTAGTAAGCAATCTCTTGTAAAGATGCAGGTTTGGAAAGTAGAGATTGAAATCTTGGTGCAAAAAAGTCATCAGAGCAGAGAGGTGTGGGTACTTGCGTCTGAAACAATGGAGTGATGGGTGCTCACTTGTTGTTTGGAATCTGAAGAGGACAGGCACAAGGTCGACAGTCATTTGGAGATCCTCTGACAATCCCATAGTATCCACGAGCGCACACATCACAATGATCACCAGCTGTGTTGTGCTGACAGTTCTGCGGGGAAAAGGGTATCATAAAACATTTCTGATTTCACTATAAATTGCAGTTGTACATCTAAGCATTTCAATTCAAGCGCTGTTATCAAATCATTTTTGGTCCAAAAGCCAACACCTCAAAAAGTAATTTATATTTTTGCTTCGAATGCACATGTCCAAACAGTTCACATGAAAATGGTTATGGAAACATTCAGAGATATTCCTTTTGACTGGTTAAAATGGAAAATACTCTGAACTGCTCACAGCATCTAAAGTACCAAATTTCTTTCTCATTAGCTCTGCATACAACACTTTCACTGTCAGAAGCATTGCTGATCCAAAGATTTAGTGGTTTATAGAGAGAAAGACTGTCAGAATCCGAATACTCAAAATCCAGTTTAGTAACTTCAAAAGTTACAACTGCAGAGCTATACTAGAGTTTCAAAGCATGACAGTTTTGTAATCAAAAGGATTGTCTTTTATATGAACACTGCAGTAGGAGGGCTGAGATCTACTTTAGGGACAGTCAGTTTCCCTTCAGTAACAGCATCAAAAGGTATTATGGCTCTTTACAGAAAGAATGATTGTTAGTTGGTTGGAAAGTTTTAGAAGAATTCCATCAGATCCCATTATGCATCGTGTGACCAAATAATGAGGCAGCAAAAGTAATTCAAGTTGATGCGTGTGACTGGTGCCGAGTATGCAACATCAGTCCCAGCTCTACAAAGATGAGCACTGTGGGGATATTTCTACTTGATTCCCCTGTCTTATAATAATAATAATCCTAGCATTTGATATAGCGTCTTATCACGTTTTCTAGACGTGTCAAAGCGCTTCACAGAATATACTGTAAAGTGAATTGACTGTATATTTTGTGAGCGAAACGCGGCAGCCAATTGCACACAGCAGTGTCCCCAAAACAGTCGTGGATTGAGTGACCAAATTATTATTATTTTTTTTTTCTTGAGGGATTATTATCAGGTGTGTGGAGTAAGGAAACGTGCCCAAGGTTTCGCCCTGCCGGGAATCGAACACAGGTCTCTTGCTTGCGATGCGCATGCTCTAACCACTGAGCTACAGTACTCCAGCTCTGCTCCACCAGCGGGTCTGAAGTTATGGCAAGTATAAAAATGCTACACAGAATCTTTCTATAATGTTGACCCTGTGATTTACAACCAAGACTAACATTGTGGTCAGGAAGCATTTCTTCACACAGAGGGTTGTGAGGATGTGGAATGCTCTGCCCTAGAAAGCTGTAATAATAATAATAATCCCTGCTATATCAAATGCAAGGATTATTATTAATTTGATATATTGGTTTATCATGTCGACTGACAAAATGCCTCAATGTCTTCATAGGATTTACTGTAAAGTGTGGTGACTGCGTACAGCTTTTCAATAGTGTCACAGGATCTTTAACATCCACCTGAACAGACAGACAGGGCCTTGGTTTAATGTCTCATCTGAAGGATGACACCTCCAACAATGCAACACAGTCCCAACACTCCACTGTAATGTCAGCCTAGATTATAGGAGCTTCAACCTCTGACACCCATAAAATTCTGATTCAGAGGCGAAAGTGCTACCAACTTAGACTGACACACAGATAGGAACTTTCACAACAATAACAACAAATGTCATACAACTGCATTATACATTCATGACTCCTTGGCGGAAATAAATCTGTTAGTTTGATAAAAGGATAATTTGAATGTTTAGTACCTGGCAGATGGAGGTTTTAGAGTCACAGATGTCGCTATGGCTGTTGCACTGACATGCTACACAGTTCCACAGCATTGGGTTGGATCCTCCGATCGCTGTCAATGGTAGTCTATAATATCCTCGGGCACACTCCTGAGACACAAGGAAAACAGGAGCCATCTTTAACATTACAAAATGTTATCATTACTTTCATCCTTAACTCTTAATTTTTAGTAAACATTCTGCTGAATTTGAGGTACTGTGAGCTGAAAACTTGGGCACCCAGTGGCTGGGTAAAGAACTTTTAGATTGTGTCCACCCATGATCAAATTCAGAATAAATCTCCCACTGTTCTGGCTATAACACTATAACACTTAACCTTAAATAACTTGTTTTACTTTACCACTGCAATTTTTTCTTTTGCCATCAATACCTATTGAGTGACACTGCCACTTTAGTGCCAATTGTGTGGTGTGCAGTGATGAATAGTCATTTTCTAACCCAATGACTCAATGCATTGCTCAGTCCTTTCCATCTACTTTGATATTACTTTCTTCATTTCTCGCCACTCTTTCTTTTTCTAAATTCTGGTTCTATTCCTGGTCGTGTTTGCCTCTCTTCTGAGTTAACCTATTTGCAAACCATCCGTTGTGTCTTTTTAGTTGTCTTTTCCTTGCTCTTTTGCTACATTTCTTCCTCTTTTGTTTTCCTCGTTCTTAACAATTTATTGGAACGATAATTTGGTTCTCTTAGCACAAATACAGCAAGAAACAAACTAAGTGAGTTTTCAACTGAAACAAAATGTCAAAGTCGGAGTTCGAGAATTAATGAAATCTTATATTTTTACGACTAATTTATTTGTATTTACAAGAAAATAACTGGCAAAAATAAATTGTTATTTCATCACTAATACAAATCACAATATACATTGCTTTACTGGTATCTCAGTTTAATTTAAAAAAAGTTACATTGTGCTATGTAGCAAAATAACATAACTGAAATAAACGTTTGCAATTTCTCAAAACTTTATGATAGAAAACTAATACGAATTTGAACAGACAGTATCAGCCCCATTAAATGATCATGAGCAAAGCTTGTAAATAATGATACATGCTTGTCATAATAATAATAATATGTAACTTTATGGACGACTGGTTTAGGCACTATCTATTTAAAGGGGGCATTCTCCCTCTAACAAATGGTCTTTACAGTAAGTCACCTATTGCTGATCACATCTTACTACCATTTAAAAACATAATTTGAGATTATAAAGATTGAAACTGTTGATTTGATAAAAGACTGAACATGAGAATTAACTTCTTATGAAGATATAAAATCATTTATTTTCTAATTTTAATGAACATCTTTAATCATACTGTAACATACTAAAATGTTTTTGTGATCAATAAAGGAGCAAATTAATTTTCATTGACACACACTCTCCTCTTGCTAGCTGCCCTGGCTTTGCCTCTCTATCATGTGGCACAAGGCAGATGGTAGACATGGATGGCCAATATCACATCAGCAAAGACAAACTGATAGTAGAAGAGGAGTGTGTAAACAGGGTGGAAGATGGGAGATAGCTCTAATGAACAAAGAAAGAATATTGAAAATTTTCTGGAATATAAAATGCCCGTGAGTAAATACTGCGGTGTCAGAATTTGGATCAAGACTGTAAATCATTCCAAGTTTTGTTTGTGTGTGTTATGTCAGTATACAAAGTAATTTATTATTCTCAATATATCAGCATTTTAGTTACTCTTTCTTGTTTAGTAAGAAACGGGTTAGCAGACTATATAATAATCCTTGCATTTGATCTAATGATTTATCACATTGTTGAGACTTCTCAAAGCACTCTAAGACTATGTATCAGCATACACATGTATAATTGGAACCAGGCTTAAATCAACCACAACTAAAACTGATGCACAGTAACTTTTCAAGTCCTAGAATAAAATAGATGGTGTAATTACTTATACAACCCTTCTTCATTACACTGTTACAAAACAACACATCAAGTTACATTTTTACTTGGGTTATTTTCTTCAGTATCTTTCAGACCATGTCTTCAAAAGGTTTTTTGACTTTACTATTAGTTTCATTGTACAATAGAATAAGAACTATTGAATTTACCTGGCAGGACAAACCGGAATAGCCTTCAGGACAATGGCACTGCTCAATCTGTCGTGCACTTTCAAGCACAGAGGAGCTCTCACCTCTTTCACCTACTTCTAAAGAGATCTCAGAGATTCTGGATCACCAACAGAGAAACAATGACATTGGTTACATCCATTCAGGCAACAACTGCACCTGTAAATTTTGAGACTTTCTCTCTATGCCCGCAATCACTGAGTGTACACATTATGCAGAACCTTCACGTTTATACCAAGAACACAAGAGCTGCTGCATCAAACCCAAAGAGCATGATAAAATACTAGTGATAAAATTTCACACATCACATCTGAAGTTAACGTTGCTTCCCCTCTCACAACTCAGAATCAATAAGGAGGCAAATCTCTTCACTGTTTGTCTGAAATGTAGGGAACCACCTTCTATTAAATAGGTTGAACATGTTGATTAGTGCTGATCAATGGCTTATAAGGATGGATAAACTCCCTGTGGTAGGTGATGGTTTAAGTCTGTGCATTTTCTATACGTAACAGCACAACATAAGACAGATAAATCATGCTCGATAGAGAACTGTTTGTGTCCCTGTAAAGGAAAATTACCAGTAGATGGCACATAACATTCCATTGAAACAAGCGGACAATGAGGACTGCTGGTGTAACCATCACTGGTGCGCTGTAGTCAGATGTCAGGAAGTACAAGCCATTTCTAGATTAAGCTAAGCAGTTTTATTCTTTACTCACTCCAATCAATTCCTCTTAAAAGAGCGCACTAGACTTTTACTCTCAGTTCCTCTGATATCCAGAAATAAAGTTGGATTGTTCCAAAATGATCTCACATGGACTGGATAGTCTACATGAGTAAAAGGGACTCAGAGAGTCAACTCAAAAAGATGGACACATAGATGCATATAAATAGGTGCAGAATATTGAATGAGGAAAAAAAAGGTAAAATTTTTGGTATGATTTCCCCCTTCTAACATTAGAAACAAAATGGTGTGTGAATGGTGACTCTTTATGAGATAGAGGACAGTAGGGCCAGACCAAGGAATCCAAGATGTTGGGAACAAGTTACAGATACAATACAAATTTACATTTACATAGCAATTTTCACGTCGGGAGAAAATTCCAAGGAAGGTTTAAGGTTTCCACTTGAGCTGGGGATGGAGGTAAGGGGGAGAAAGTTGGCTGAAAGCATGGTCAATGAGGAAGCTCTGGAGGCAGACCTTGAAGGAGACAAGGGAAGAGGCAAGTCAACGGGATTCCAGGATGGAATTCCAGAGAATGGGGGCAGATGCACTGAAAGCCCAACCACTGGTAGGACAGGTGGGGTAAGGACCGTGAATCAGGTTGTTGCCCAATGAGCGGAGGGAGCTGCCGGGTTTGTAAGTTTTGAGGAGGTCACAAAGGTAGGATGAGACATGGAGGAGTTTAAAAGTTAGAGTGAAGATCTTGAACTCGACCTGCTGGGGGATGGGGAGACTGTGGAGCCCGGCAGGGATGGGGATGATAGGCTCACGGAGCCCAGTGCAGGATTTGCATTTATATAGTTCCTTTCACATCAGGAGGACATCTTAAATCACTAAGTATTACATCCACTAACCACATACCAAAATAGGCAGCTAGGAAAACATTACAAGACAACGTGAGAATGAAACAGTAAAAAGGGTGTCATTTTGGTACACTTCTGTGAAACAAAAACCAAGCGTAGGGGGTAAGAAAATGACTAAATTTAGAGGAGGAAAAAAAGCTAGGTATGGTTTATCATTATCAGATTATCATTATTCGTTTGCATGATTTATCTCCCTTATGTTGTGCTGCTATGTATAGGAAATTCACAGACTAAAACATCATCTACAACAGGGGTTTTATCCTTCCTTATAAACCATTAATTAGCCCTAATCAACATGTTCAACCTTATATCCATTATTCAAATATATTATTCAATTGTAAATCTCCCCCCTCCCCCGAACCCAGGGCTGCAAAACAAAACAAATTAGGATTGACAAGATACTAAATTTTCTTCTGGACATAAGTGTGCCTTTTGTTTGTCCTGGGGGTGGTGGTGGGGGCGTGTGGGGGGGCAGATGTGTCCAATTTTCTTCCAAACATCAGATTATGATTTTCGCTTTGCTTCTCTTTTTCAAAACAAAATTAGTTTCACAGCTGTTACCACGGTCAATTGACTCATTACAGTAATAAAAATAGCATGAAATGCCATAATTGAAGATGCTTCCTCACTGGTCCCTTGGATCTCATTTAATCAAATGCCATCAGCATTATCATGCCAGATATTACAAAATATCAAGGCTGGGGACATAAGTAGGACTGACTGGGTTATCTGGGAAAGTATTTGAGGCTGGCACTAGTTTCCCGTAAGAAACTGGTTGCTGCTGTAATGATGGTCTGGAGGGTGGAATGATGAGTTCAAATCGTCCAAAATCTAAAGATCCACAAATAGCATTTCTCTTATTTCTTAGCAATGTTACCCCAGGATGATTTTGAAGGTGAGATTTGTTGCTGTAATTAAAGTTCTGTGTCTTAACCAAATTTTTGGAGATGGATTAAGTGATAAACTACAGCTCTACATTTGCATGAAAGCTCTGTTTCTACCTGGTTTGCCTCATGTAAGTCCCATAAGAAGCTCTGATGAGGATACAATCAATGTCATACAAGATGTCCATAAAGTCCTTGCGAGACACAGGGCTGCCATCTGCTGAATTGTAGTATCTCCAATCGTGCTAGACAAAGAGTTGTTTACATGTTAGCTGATGTTTAGGCTGCAGATTATTTTAAGAACAAGTGCTTTTATTGACTTTTATTTTGAAAGAACTTTTAAAATTCCTATCAACTATTTCGAAACCTTTTCAAGTTTTATTTAAAGACTAGTAAAATGGTCTGTCCTGGATGGGCAATGGGGAGGAGGGCTTATGAAGCAATGAAGGTTTGTAGGAGCTGTTGGTAGCAAGGATAAATGCGAAGTATTTTGTGAATGAATGCCTGCCTGTCTTTTATTTACCTCCAAGTGTCTTTCTGCCTTTCTCTCCTCATGTCCTGTCTCGGTCCTACTCTCTACGCCTATTAATTCTCCCTCTGGGTTTGGTTTCTTTGTCCACGTGTTCACTCTGTCTTTCCGTCTGTCATTCTGTCGCTCTCTTGTAAATTTCTCTTTGGGTTTTATCTCTCTGTCTGTTGCAAATCACCTTATGCTCACTCGCTGTTTCGCATCTCTCTTTCCTCAAACTCACTCTTACCTCTTTCACAATGAGTCTGCCACAATTCGTATATCAGTCTGCTCCCTGTATCTTATTTATGTGTGACATTCACTGTCTGATGTCCCAATAACATACTTCAAACTCCTCAAAACTTGTTTTCCCCCACCTCCTCTTCTCTTTGTCTCTCAAGTCACTCTTCTCTCTCACTCACAATTGCTTTCCCTCTCTTCCCCTCTCTGTTCTCCTTCCACTCTCTCACTTACACATTGTCTCCCAGTCTTATAACTCCTTTCTCTCTATCCTCTCAATCTTAATATTGTCCTCCACCTCTATATCACACTTAAAACTACTTTCTGGAGACGTGCAGAAGCTGAAGTGTTGGAATGGTTCTGAGTGATGAGGAAGGTAATCCTGCTCTGTTATAAAAATTAAAAATTTAGACAATTGTTCATTAAATCATATTATTTTGTGGGTGTGAAGGATAATTTCACAATCCAGTGACATAATTCACTGTAGTGAAATTAAACATTTAAAAGAATACTAACTTACTGCAGCAAATTATCACTTGATGCTTTGATTCAATTATGCATTTCAAACTTAACAAGAGTTTTTCAAATGCCAACTGGTTTCACTGACGATTTCTTCAGTCGTGAAATGCTTGGAAAGTCCCACTGGAGACAGCGTGTCTTCTAATGCCAATAAAGCTAATTGTGACACACACACAAATAATTCTAAAGGATCAAGGCTAATATTCATTCTAATATTTCTGCCAATGTTCAAGTGTTTCATTCAAACAGTGCAAGTGACTGAAATCCACATCTCCCATAGAATAAAGAATCTGTTGACAGTGTCTTGTTGGTGTGATTTCACTCATATCATTCTGGTTTCTTACTTTATGTATTGTGAACACTATTCACATAAAATATTTAATAAGATTGTAACTGTGATTCAATAAAAATGTGTAGAAATCACTAAAAATGCATACCTCAGTGAACTCGATCTCATGTCTGGTCAACTGACCAATCTGAGGTGCTGATATGTGCCTTATGATAGCCATGTCCTTTGTGGGTCCGCCTCTCATAATGACCTGTGGCTCATATGTGGATCGCCCGACCTCTTCTCTTGCCTCAAAGTAAATGGTATACCTGAGTTTGCCTCCGTAGGCTGTTAGCTATGAAAGACACAATAAAATGAGTAATATTGTATATATAATATGGATCCTTTGCTTCTCGAGTTTAAAACACAAGTCAGAACTTGCATTCTTATTCTGTCTTATCACATAAAAATGTCTCAAAGCCTTTCACAAGTATTTACTATCAACTGTTGTGCAGGCAAATAGAGCAGCCATTTTGCACTAGCAAAGTCCTACAAACAATCATGAGGTTATTGTTGAATTAATCTGGAAGATTATTCATCAGGAGTCACCTACACTTTACAGTAAATACCTTGAAGTGCTTTGAGACAGGCACCTAACACGAAAGGCACTATATCAAACACGATAATTATTTTTATTATTCATAAATCAAAAAATAACTAAAAAAAAGTTATTTGTGCCAGTGACTAATTAAGATAATCTTTTAAATATTCCAGCTTGGTGAGATACAAAACGATTGCTGAAGAACTAATCTGGTCGGGGTTGCAATAGTACTTTGTGCCCTGAGAGGGCACTACAGTGTAAATGTAGGAAGATGCTACTGGTTTTAGACCAAGCAGAAACTGGCTATTTTCAAATTACTGAAAGTAATGGCACAGAATCTGCACAGTTCCACAGCTCACATGGACAGTTGCCACATTTGTGGCACAATGCAAAATATCGTGAGGGATATCGTATCTCCATCATTCTAGCAACAATCCTTCATTTGTTGAGCTAGTCAATGATTTTCTTCAGCCAGTTGGACGAGGATCTGCAATCAATTTTCTTTGTTCTAAAAATCTATCAGCTGAAGTTAAACAGTTAATTACCTTTTCCCCTTCAAACTGCCCTGAAAGTTTCCAATAAAATGGTTCGTAAAGAAGATCAGTGATCACTCTATCCACATTGGCCACTATTTCTGGATGCTGGTAGAAAACACCACTGGTTGTTCTATGGAGGTTGAGTTTATCTACGATTTCCAATGTAGTCTGATCATGGGTAAGTGTTATCTTTAAGAGAGAAAAAAAACACACGCATAGTTCCTTAAAAGCTCTGTTGCATGTAAATTCCAGTTAAATTCTTTCTGTGATTTCATGTGTACTTTGGAAAAGTTGAGGAAGAAATTCATGCTTAACAACTTAACAATGGTTTGTAGGCCAATGATTTTTCATAATATCTTACATAAAACGGTGAGGCTATGTAATTGTTACTGAATATTTATTGTCACATATTAAAAANGGTTAATACTTTCCATGGCAGTGTGGTAGCACAGTAGATTACAATACTATGATATTTTGTCTATTAATAGAGGAATCAACAAATTGTGGTCTGCAGAAGAGAGTTTCATATTATAGAAATATAAAAAAGTTAACTACTCTGTCCCAGGTAGAGAAGCAAAGTGCATATCACATGTCAAAGCAGTTTTTCCCTTACTCTCCTGTAGATCAGTCCACTTGCTTCCGTACAGTGTGAAGTCACGCCAAAACAGTAGCAGTTATTGCATCCATAAGGATTGTTGGAGCGCAGTGCAAATGTGCCGGTCTTGCATCTACCACAGAGAATCCCCTCCACATTCACCTGTGTGGCAAAGAAAATGAGTTCTTTAAGAAGTGAATCTCAACGCTTCATGTGAACATTGCATTTAATAATAATTTTATGCTGGAGAATGCTCTACTTTAAGTTATCATGACATTTTGAATCGATGAAGAACATATGTGGTTGTGTGTGCGATAGTCTTCTATGCTTTCTGAAAAGTTGAAGAGGACATGTGGTAGTTCAGATGAGCCTCATCAATTGTCATTGAAGCCAAACCGGTTTGAATTTCAGCCATTAATTTGATGGTCACATTAAAGAGTTTGCTCAGTTGGGTGCATTTCTCAAAGATGGGATGACAAACGCTAAACTATCTCATTCCATTTGAATTGGGGACTCCTACCAGTCCCTATACAGTGGCATCGATGTTTGACATGCAGACTGCTTCAATCCATAACCTGTCACCTCTTGTAAGGAAGAGGGTATATGATGGTGAGAAACCAGAAAAGAGAACAGAAAAATAAGGAAATATCTCTCAAATGTGCAATACAAATGTTATTTTAATCTTTTGCGTCCTCTTTAAAAACCTCTGCTTGACTGTATAACAGAATCCAGAAGGTAAAATGCATTAACATTTTGTGCCACAGTAAGTTACAACACAGATTTATCTGCTATTTTCCAGAGGGTGAATCTGTCAGATAACCGGAGAAGATGCAAAGCAGGTTTGAGGAAGGAGGGAACAATGAAAACATCAATCATTCTGAGACATTTATGTACAAATCCAAGGGGCTGTGATAGAGTAACATTGTTTGAGGCTTGAAGAAAGTTTCTTATCCAACAACTACAACAAATTGCATTTATATAGCACTTTTCATACGAGGAGGACATCTCAAGATGTTGGACAATTGGGGGTTTACACCTGAGCTGGGGGTTGGATTCAAGAGAGGGGTGGGGGGTGGGGGGGTGCTAAAGGGATGTGTGTAGGATGGTAACGAAGATATGGTCACAGAGGAAGGCCTTCAGTCAGTACTTGAAGGAGACAAGGAAAGGGGACTCTGGAATGTGAAAAATGATCATAATGGGAGGGGACTACAAAAAACAAACAAAATAAATGTACTCTGGTCTTTTATTCTGCCCCCCCACTCTCTGGAATGCCATCTGCCATTCTGGAGTCCCTCCCATCTTTCAAGGCATGTTTCTAAACATAGCTCTTCCAATCATCTTTACCTTCCCCACCTCCCCTTGGCCCCAATCCCCACCTATTGTGCCTATCCAGCACTTTGACCCAATGTTCTGTGCAATAGTTTTTAAACTGTGTGACTACAAATCAAAATCAATAGTAGCCAATGAGGGATAGAATTAACGGATAGAAATGACCAGGAGAATGTATCAAATTATCTAATTTGCTAATTATACATTGTTTTTGAAGCCTACCAAATACCAGGGTTTTCTAAAATGTAGTCTTTTTTGTTTTATTATTGCTCCTATAAAATACTGCCCTTGGTAAACACAAAAATTCTAGCTTGATGATATTCATAAAAAGCTCTGGAATGAGAATGGAATTCTTGCGACAACGAGCAGAGAATTGTCGGCCAATTCAAATGAGGCCCCATCTGTTGTGAAAGAAAACCTTACCTTACAGTCACATTGTCCATTGTTTTGTTCACAAGTGCATATTCCCATTTCGTCACAGCTCTGAATCTTTGTCCCTGCCAGATCACAGTTACAAGGCCTGCACAGTGGATATTCCCAGTAACCTGCTCTGCATCTGTCACATTTATCCCCTGTGAACTCCGGGTGGCAGAAGCAGCAGCCAGTTTCCTCATCGCATTGAAGGTTTAAAGATCCTACAGTTGTGCAGTTGCAGGGCTTAAAAACAAAAACAAGTAATATATTAGGTATATTAAATACTTCCATGAAGAGTCTAATAAATGCACACCACATTGCACATCTAAAATCCCGCAATTCATGCAGCGCTCTGCTCAGAAACGTTTCTGCTTTAGGAATGGAAGAGCAATGGGTTTGTGTTCCTAGACTTGTCCTCTTTGAACTGATGTCTTGTGCTATAGACATCCATTTTGACTATTTGATTTTAACTTTGAAAGAAATTCCACCACTACCAATCTTTCCATTTTAGCATCAAACGGGTTCTTACATGAGTCTTGTGTCTGTCTTTAAATAAATGCTCCTTGTATCTGTCTTGAAATTGTCCTTCATAACCCTAAACTTCTGACATCTCGTCCTGCTGCCTTCACGTATCTGACAGTATTGTTCTAAGCTACTTAACAACTTATGGAACAACTTGCGTTTATATAGTGCCCCTCACGCAGGGTAGTGTCCCGGAGCGCTTTATATATAGCCCCATAAGGTTCTGTCTAAGAAACTTCTTTTCAAGGCTTAAGTGTCTTAGCTCATCTTTTCATCTCTGATAGCTGATCCCTCTGAAACTGGAAACACAATTAACATTTCTATAGCATCTTTCACGTCAGAAGGTCATCTCAAAGCACTTTCCACTGCTGGCTGGACACCCGAGCCAGAGGATGGGAGCAGGGATAGATCTAGAGTTAAAGGATTGGGGGTGGAGGGGGGGAGTCGAGGTCCCAAATTGGCTGATTTGACTCCACCCCTCGGCCGGTCAGTCAGTGGTTGGGCTGTGGGTAATGTCCAGCCTTTCATTGGCAGTTGGTTGTCAATCAGGGAGGGGGCTGAGGGACTGTGCTTGGCAGTCAGGGCTGCTAGCCAGGCAGTGGGCAGGCTGTGAGCCGGTTGAAAATGACAACATGATCGTGAAAATGTGCAGGTAAGTGAATCAGTTTTGGCCAACCTCAAGGGTCGGGTTCATGAGCCCCCTGACCCTGCACTGGCTCTGCCAATGTGTCGGACCTGAAGAGAATGAATGAGCCTCCAGATTCAGACAACTTGAAAATGTTTTTGCTGAAAAAGCAAATACCTTTACTATTTTGCCCAGGTTCTTCCTCGTTTGTTAAATGATACAGAAAATAGCAGATACGTGGGATTGATAGCAGGGGTTCAGATGACAAGCACATTTTGAGAGCTTTATAACAATCATGTGTACCATCGACTAAGATTATATGCCATGCTGGTATCTCTGTGGTTTGCAGCTATATTGTGTACTGTTGAGTCATTCCATTTTTGTTTTGCATTTTGCAGACAAGAGGTGCCACCGGTAGACAACAATTGCCACAACTCTCCATGCAGCTGATATACAGCAACATTCACACTGAAGAATAACAACTGTGACTTAATCCCCTCACTCAATAATAATTCAGTTTTTGTTATGAAACCACTTGATTCTAAATAGAAGAAATCCACTTGCTTGAATATATAATTCTTAACAAAAGAAGAATTTCATTTTAATTTATGCTGCACACAGAGAGCACAGGGAAAGCACCAAGAGTTGTTAGCATCAATGTGCTCCAGCATTGAAACAGTTGAATGGTCTTGATTATGCAGGTTTACCACTCTCATCACCAGATAACCTGCCATTGCTTTGATGCAGTACATCATGTTGTTCAGCACTGCCATGGCAATTGTAGATACAGAAAAACCTGCCTTATTTCATTTAAACCAACATAGAGCGCCACATGCAGACAGTTTGTCAATTTGTCAAGCTGTTGTTGCCAAGTTGCAATGCAATTACAAGATAATTGTGTTGGAACCTGGGAACATTTCCTTAACAAATTTCGCAAACTTATTTGCAAACAGATCAGAATACCATCTCAAGTTGTGTTATTGGGTTAAAGGCACTGATGAACAATGCTTTACATTTGGTCGCATCAACATTTTCTACACATGCTGGAATTATGAACGCGTATATTTTTGTGAAACTTCTGTGTGGACTTCACCCAATTACTCTGTCATTGAAAAGCTGTGAACATTAATAAATGAATGATGGGTTTCTAAAGAAAAGTCAAATGCTCAAAACAAAACCATGTACATGCACTGTACTAGATTTACAGTGAAAATCAAAATAATAAAATACACAACAGTAAGACTGTTTTGGAGCATTGCTACGAAAATAAATATATTATAAATATATTATTAAGTATTATTAAAATTAAATATATTTTTGCCTAATATTCACTGTTCAAGCCAACTGCACATTTTCTGTCCAAAATAAAGAATTTATACGTATGCTATAACAAATCATTAACTAATAAATTGATCATTTATAAGAACTGTCTATTTAATGTTCTGCCCTTACTTGGTTATAATTCCAAGGGCCTTAGTAGCCTTCTGTCCTTTTTTCCAATTGTCATTTTTCATACTGTTCTGAACACTGATTAATTTAACTGTGAATTTGGCATCACAGCCAGCCCTGGCCCTGTCCTGCTCTGGAGGGCAACATTTCACTGCTTGGCAAAGTTACTTTAACTGACCAGCAGAAACAGATAACACTGATGTCCAGGCAGACTCAATTTCCACCAGCGGCCATAGGATAAGAGTGAGAACCTTGTGTTAACCTTCCCCCTTCTCCATGACTCTGGAACACTGAAGATAAGTTCAATATTCTATCTCTACACTAACCACCATCAATTAATTTGTCTTAGACCAGGACTTAAATCTGGGACCCTCTTAACACATCATACCGCAGCTTTTATAATAATTATAATTCTTCCATTTGAAATAGCACCTTATCAAGAGTTCGAGACATCTCAAAGAATATATTGTGAAGTGAATGGACTGCATATTTTGTTGGCGAAATGCAGCCGCAAATTGCACACAGCAGTGTCCCACAAACAGTCGTAGATTGAGTAACCAAATTATTATTATTTATTTACATATGGAGTAAGCTTTACAGCTTTAATTTATTTTGTTTTAGGTGGTGTTCAGTCTGAACGTTCTTCTTCTCTTCCCTCTTTTCCTGAATGGTGTTCAGAGGATGGCTTTTAACAATGCAAAAGAGAAAGCAATTCTCCTCTCCGGGGTTAATTGGCTTTATTATGAATAATTAAACTATTGAGCAATGTATTCATTCTAACCAAAAAGCAACTAAAACAAAATAAAAAGGAAAATGCATTAAGAGGTGACCTGAGTTCAATAACGTTGAGTATCTTGACATATAATAATTGAGTCTATCATTCATGAAATAATAAATCAGAATATGGATTAATGAAAAAGTAGAAGTGCAAACACTTATCAACATGGGGTAAGGACAAATAGAGAATGATAAAGCTATCTCGACTATAGAACCAGAGCATAGATTTAAGCGGTAAAGACCTGGTTAAGCCAAATTGTCTTTTATTACTTTGTAAGATAGTGCTACCTTTATGCTTCAATTAATTTAATTTGAAAACCTTCATCTTGCCGTTAAATACATGATTTGCATAACAATATAATGGCATGAAGTGCATTTATTGGTGCAAATTCAATCCCGCGTTCATTGAAACTGAAATGAAGTATACAACCAGAAAAACATCCTTTCTGTGTGAACTCTAGTAATATCAGAGCTGGTAATCCACCAGTCATTTAGCTGAAACTACTATAAATGACCAGTCACACAGATCATTTTTCAGTATTTAACAATGGGAAACCTAATTTATTTTTAATCAAGCTCATAATTTCTTTGTAAAATAAACACTACATGGGCAATGAATTAGGCCTCAGTTTGAATCAGTCGAATGACACTCATTGTCAAGGCTCTCAGATACCAAATGAACGAAACAGTGAACCCCTGGGGGATGAAAACTGATCATGGAATCCTCCCTCAGTAAAAAGAAATATTCAGCATATTCTGTGAAGCGCTTTGAGACCTCTAGAGGTCAAATGCAAGGATTATTATTATTAGAAATGAGAGAAGGTGAGGTGAGGGAAGAGGAAGATGAGGAAACACTGAGAAAAGCAAAAGTTTACAAACTTATATTCAAAATTATAATTGAGATGAAGAAAAAGGCACTGACCTATTATGATAGTTGTAGAGAGACAGATGTGCAGGAGAGTTGAAGCCACATAACCCAGAAATAAATGCAATGATTTTTAACATGGATATAAAGATTTATTATGATACATTATTTAGTTATAAATTGAAATCCAATGATCCTTTAGGAATGTCAGGCTGCTATATTGCTAATACTGAAATATGCTTATGGAATAAGTTCTAATGAGTTTGTATTGAATGCAAAGTTCCATAAGAAAATATCAACACATTCCTGACTACGGAAATGCCGTAACATGCAAAACTGAGTCACATTAAAGTATTGACATTCTTGTGAAATCTATATTAGGTGTTGACATGTGTGGGATGTTAGCTCAGCGGCTGCCAATGCAAATCTGAAACCAACAGAAGACACACTAGTGGGCATATCCCATTACCTTTTTGGCAGAGCAAGATAGAATGAAAGAGCACAATCATTACCAACAGTGATGTAACACAAACGAGCTGGCTCCAATTAAACAAAGCGGTGTTAGACAGTTAATTCTCTGGCAAGCTCCTGCAAAGTGCGAAAATTAATGCAAGCCTTTCAAGGCCGTCTTCAATGGGCAGTTCCAAAATGGGAAATATTGTCAAAGTCTAGGCACTGTTGGGCTGCTAGAAATGACTTTTTGCCACATAAATAGGCTGGCCTACTCTTGGTATACAATATGATATTCTAAGATGATGTTTCTTCCACTGGGTGGGAATAGAGCTTCTGCTCAATAGATTTATGGAGTCCTGTAGCTCAGTGGTTCGAGCAGTTGCCTCGCAAGCGAGAGACCTGGGTTTGATTCCTAGCAGGCATGTTGGTTGTTTCCATACTCCACACGAAATGTTGGTCAGGTTTCCATACTCCACACGCCTCTGTTTATCTAGCAGTAAATAGGAACCTGGTTGTTAGTCGATTGGCGTATTGCTTTTCCGGGGGTGATAATTCCTTAAAAAATATTGGTCACTCAATCCATGACTGTTTGTGGGACACTGCTGTGTGCAATTGGCTGATGTGTTTCGCCCACAAAATATACAGTCAATTCACTTTACAATATATTCTGTGAAGCACATTGAGACGTCTCAAAGACGCAATTGAATTAGTTGAAGTAGTTCTCACTCGTCGTTTCATACCTATATTCTGATAGATAAATAAATGCATTGTAGATAAACTTACTTTGCATCCACTGACAAGGTTATGTCCCCAGAAATTCAGTGCACATTTGTTGCACTTTTCACCCACTGTATTCGGAGGGCAGATGCACTGGCCAGTGTTTGGATCGCAATGATTGCCGATGTGGGCACAGTCACATGCTTCACAGGAAAAATAACATACATTTAAAATTTATTACAATGCAAATTTACATTTAAGTAATGCCTGCCTTACATGTCGGGAGGACATCCCAAGGCACTGAGCAACAATAACTTGGCACCTGAGCTGAGGTTGGGAGCTGAGGGAGGTGGGGAGGACAAAGATGACCTAAAGCACAGTCAACAAGGTAGGTTTTGATGAGGACTTTGAATCAAGTGAGGGAGGGGAAAGTCAGAGGAACTCCAGCATGAAGTTCCAGAGACTGGGGGCAAATAGGCTGAAAGCCCGTCTGCAGATGATAGGGTAGGTTGGGCAGAGGACATGAAGTTTGCCTGCTGATAATTTATGTTATCATAAAAGGTATAAAGAATGACAGAAAGAAAGTACTGAAGGAGGCTGTTTAGTCCATTTTGTGTGCTCGTGCTTGCTTCCCCACAGGAGCTCTGCTAATACCTGGCCCTACTCTTTCCTAATATTTCTTTAATATTATTGTCCTGAAATATTTATCTATTTCCATTTAAATACTATTATGGACTCAGTGTCAATAGCCATCTGTGGTAAACATTCCACATTTTTACAATCTAGTTTTCTAACCTCTTCTCTTTTCATCTAAGACCTTTACATCATTATTAGGTGTATCGCTTTTGGCGATGTCAGCCACTAATGGGACTTTCCATTGTAGTAATGCATCTCCAAAGGTATTGTATGTGACACTGATCAGAATTGTTTTTATCTGCTTTAACCTAGTCTGAGCAATTATTTTTTTAGAAAAACTATAATGTTGCAGCTCTAAGGCCCAAAGTACCTCATCATCTTAGCCTATAAGACCATTTTGTCTAACAATTTAAGATTGTGCAGCTTGTGGAAAATTTCGATTTACTTTAGAAGCTGTACGTCTTTTAAGAACTACAGGAAACCGTTTAAGATTGAATTTCAAATGTTTTCAATCCACATGATCTTTCATTTTAAGATAAAATGGTTTTGCAGGTTGCGAGAAGTTGGCATTTCAGGCCTTTGGTGTTAGTTTCTGGCCACCTTACACTTGCCATTTATTATGTCACATATTCCTTGATCTTCACTGATAATGACTTCCTCATCTCCGCGTGAAGGGCGCTATATAAATTCAAGTTGTTGTTGTTGTCATCTGTTCAGACCCCTCAGTCCTAACCTTAAGCTATCATACATGAAGGAAAAGTAGGGAACATCTTGTATACAGTATAAAGAGCGACAGATTGCTTGGTGAATTAGATATAAACAAGGCATCCTTTCACTTTGAAGTTGTAATCAAACCACAATTTAATATTCATCAGTAATCAAATCTAAACCACCTGTCATTTTATTAATTATGTATTAATGTCCGATAATATATTTCAGTACTCTTGATTAACTACTACTCTGCTCATACAATTCTTCCTGTCACTGTTGATAGCACAATCCATTAAGATATATCAGTAGGATCAATGAATCCATTCTTGAACTCAAAGACATTCAATCAGAAACTAAGAATATGCTTTACAAGGCTACCGTTCCACGATTGACTCAGAGGTCAATGAATTAACTAATAATGTATAGCCTCCTGTAATGTACTTGAAATTGAGAATAGACAGGCAATCTGAAAGGTCAGATCACTGGTCAACTCTTTCAATCCTCAAGTCCCTAGTATGGGTCAGCTGCAGTTTATTAATACGTTTCAGTTTCTTTTATTGTTCGAGCTACTATCCTATTTTTCTGTTCTTTTGCAGATTTCAAAACGCTCTGAATGTGCTTAAAAGTAGCAGAAGTCACATAGCAATATAGAATCAACAAAAACTATTAAAGTCTATCTTGTCAGTCCCACTTTTAAATACCATCTCTCACCAACGCTAAACCCTGAGGCAATGCACTAGTCATCCTGCTAGTGCTCAATAAGTGTTAATAAAGGGCATTGATGGTTAAAGGAATAGTAATAGGAATCCTTGATTACTGTGGGGGCTGGAAAGGCAGCGGAACAACCTTACAGTTAATGCACCTACTTGGATGTTGATGTCACTCAAATCTAACTGATATTGGTGATCGCATTGAGTTCTAAAGGATCAGCCATCAGACGTCCAGGATTTGCTATTTAATAATTATAATAATAATCCTAGTGTCTTTTCAATGCCAATGGGACAGAAAGGGATCAATTTTAAATGCACCCACTGCAAGTAAAACAGCTTTGAAAAGGTCTCACAGAATCTGCATTGAACTTATAAAAATATATTCTTGGTTATATTAATAACAATATATTAATATAATACCTTATTAATTTGTTGAAACACCTCAAAGCGGATCACAGGATGTCACAATGCAACAAATGGCAGAGTGCTTAACAGTGGCAGAGCCTGACTCCGAACTGGGGTTGGGCGGTGGACGTAAGAATGGTCAAAGAGGAAGGTTTTAAGGTGGGACTTGAAAAAGGGGAGAGAGGGTGGAGAGTACGAGGGACGAGCAGGAGGCTGGTGCCAGTCGAGTGGAGGTGCCAGGTGGTGGATTGGGGAGTGAGGAGGTCGGAGAGGTAGGGAGGTGCTAGAGAGTGAAGGGATTTGAACACCCCTGTGAGGATTTTGAAAGCGATCCGTTCGATGATGGGGAGTCAATGGAGCCTGACCAGAACTGGTGAAATGTGGGTACGGAGCTTGGTCCAGGTCAGTATGCAGGTGCCAGAGTTCTGAATGAGCTGGATCTTGTGAAAAGTGGAGCTGGCGGGACCGGTGATGAGTGCGTTTGAGTAATCCAGGCAGGCGGGAGGTGACAAACCATGCACAAGGGTTTCAGCTGCATTTGGGGTAAGGTATGGTTGGAGGTGGGCAATGTCCGGAGGTGGAAGAAGGCAGCCTTGGTCAGGGACAGGATGTGGGTGAAGAAGGACAGTTGGGGGTCAAACCGGATGCCTAGATTGTGCACTAGTTCGGTGAGTCTAAGGAGGAGCCCTGGAAGGTTGAGGAGTTCAAATCCGCAGGAGTGCAGACAATGGTGGGAGCCAAGGAGTATGGCTTCCGTTCTTGTCCACATTCAGCTGCAGGAAGTTTGCACTGATCCAGGCCCTGATGTCTGCCAGAAAAGCTGATAGAACATTGTCGGACCTGGAGTTGGTAGTGGAGGAGGTAAAGTAGATTTGTGTGTCATCCGCATACATATGGACATTCACCCTATGTCTGCGAATGACATCGCCCAGAGGGAGCATATAGATAAGGAAAAGAAGAGGGCCAAGTATGGAGTTCTGGGGTACCTCGCAGGTGACCGGACAGGAGCAGGAGAAGAAACCATTTGCTGAGATGAAATGGAGGCTGTTGGTTAACTAGGATTTGAACCATATGAGTGCTGTCCCACTAAGGTGAATAAGGGAGGAAAGGCAGTGGAGGAGGATGACGTGGTCGACTGGTTCGAACGCGGCAGAGAGATCCAGGAAAATGAGGAGGCAGAGGGAGCCCTGATCACAGATAAAGAGAACATTGTTTGTGACTTTGACAAATGCTGTCTCTATGCTGTGTTCTGGGTGAAAACCAGACTGCAGGGGCTCGAGAGGGAGGGGGGGGAGAGGTATGACCGAAGTAATTCCCACAAACAGTCATCTGGTGAGCGACCAATTTTATCTGAAGGATTGTTGGCCAAGACAGGAGAAACTCTTCTCTTTTTGAACAGTGAGATCTTTAATGCCCACCTGAAGAGGCAGATGAGGAAGGCACCTCTGACATTGCAGTGCTCACCCAAGACCACGTTAGACCATCATCTTAGGCTGTGTGAGCTCAAGGTCCCACCATAGGGCTGGAACCCATAACCTTCTAACTCTGAGTCATTGGTTATACCAGCTGTGCCAGGCTTTTAGATGACTAATAAATCGTATTAAAAATGTGTGAATCCCGCATTTTGTCACGTGGTAGAATGGCCTTTGAGAGTTTCTCACATGCCAAGCTGTCTTCAATTAAATGTCATTCACAGTGGTTTTGAGAATTATAAAACAAACTGCATAAATGCATTTTGGATACAAGGACTGAATGCCGCAGTTGTTTAGAATGCGCTTTACCTGTGAAAATTTACTGTCAGCTTGAAGGTAGTTGATCAATTTCACAAATATTAATAAGCTGCATATAATAAGATTATAAAGCCAAGTCTGGCATTATTTATTTCACTGGGTTTCATCATTCTTCCAAGAATACCATTGTGAATATTTTTAGAAGTTCAGTGCAGACCTTTACAAAGCTGTTTTACTTGTCGTGGGTGCATTTCAAATTGATCACTTTATGCCCCATTGACATGCATATTTCACCATGCTGACAGTAAAACAATGTTATAAATATCCTACAGCAATATTACTTGAGTCTTCCATGCATTCAGGAAGTGATAGAACAAACACCCCCGCTCAGAAAGCGTTGTCAAGTCACCTCTCTAAAAGCTATTACAGTCTAGCCTTGAGAGGATTTTCTGATTTGCAAGACAGAAATTCCATCTTGTCAAATGATTAAGCTGTTACTGCATAAAGTCATCTGTTGATATCTTTGAATACGTTAAATTAGCTGAGTTTTTTAATACAGTTTTAGACAGTCTCATGTTCAGGAGCTTAATAAAATCATTCTAGTTTTACAAATATTCGTGTTTTCTAACCCCAACTCCCATATGGCTTGATCTGTTTCCCGCTATCTATGATGCGCTATCAACTGATTTTCTCAGCAGCTGCAACGTGTTTGGACATTTTGCAAACTGAAATGCAATTTCTATTTTCACATATGGTGAGCAATATTCAGCCTCTGTGTCCTGGGGAGATACCAAGCAGAGGCCATGACCGTCCCACAGGACTGGAATGGAAATCAAAGAGAGTCACCTCCAGCAGCTCTCACAGTATTGGCAGCTCGTCACAGAGTATCTCTAACAGTGTCATGAGAACAGGCTGCTTCCCTACACTCTTAAATGGGGTTAATGTATAGCACAGGTGAGCTGGCAACCTGATATCACGCATTTGCTTTACAATGCTCATCAGTTGTCAACCGAGACACCTGGAAGTGGGCTCGATTGATTCAACAACAACTTGCATTTAAATAATGCCCTTCATGCAAGGCATGGTCTTGGAGAGTCTTGCCTTTTGTTTTCTTTTCCTTTCTCTATGGAAGTGCCTCATGTCCACATACGAGTTGCCTCTCCGACTTTGCCACGTTCCCTGAATGACTACCTGAATTCAAGGATTTAGCAGCTGAGAAAATTGCTGTCAGCCTCACAATGCACAGCCTACCTTATTTGTGCCAGTAGGTAAGGTAGTGTATTGCTGTGATGTGCCACAACATCTACCATTTCAGAGCTGGCTAGGTCAGGTGTATCCACAGTGTAGGAAGCTGACTAAGAGCCCACAACAACAACAAGATTACGTTTGTATAATGCCTTTCACATCAGGAGGATGTCCCAAGGCCCTGGACAGTGTACAGCATTTCAGACCCGGAACACAAGACACAACAACAACAACAACTTGCACTTATATAGCACCCTCCACACAGGGTAGTGTCTCAGAGCACTTAAGACTCCAGCCTTATAAGCAAACCAGTCCATTAACAAACTGTGATAATGGGGAGCATTGTAGCTATTTTCAAAGGTTTATATGCCTCAGACCAGGGGATTTCAAAGGATTAAGGTATTTCAAATTATGAGCAGAATTGTCAGTTTAGATAGTGTACAATACTTTTGTTCGCAAGAGGGTTTAGGGCTAGTAGCCATTACAAGGGGAAAGAGGCCAAAATCAGAACCAAGACAGTTAGAACTGAGGTCAGGAAGCATTTCTTCAGACAGAGTTGTGGAGTTCTGGAATGCTCTGCCCTGGAAAGCTATACAGGTGGAATCGATAGGATGTTTAAAAGAGATTTCCTCTATCACCCTCTCACTTTTGCATAAAATAATGATACAAGCTTTCCAACCTTCAGCAATCACTCTAATACAGTATTAAATAGTGCAAATGTTTATCAAACACACTACATGGATTTATAAAGGATTCAGCTAAATTTGCATTATTTTAATAATACAGAATCCAATCAAGCAATATCTGCTGCATTAAGGTGTGTATCATCCAAAGCTTTAACAGTGTTTGTTATTTATTTTGTGAATAGACAAACAAAGAAAGAGGATAACTTACAGATACATCCTCCTTCCTGGAAATTGTAGAAGCCAACGCCACATCGATCACATTTCGGTCCTGTCACTCCAGGCTGACATCTGCATTGACCTTTTTCATCACAGTCAAATGATTTGGATCCAAATGAATTGCAGTTACAAGGAATGCAACCCCTTGAAGAGCTCAGATCGTAGGTTCCACTCTACAAAAGTAAAAGCAGCAAAATCGTCAAAAGGCTGGTATAAACAGAGGAGACACAATCAAGGATAATGGGACACATATTTGTTGCATGAGTGAGAATGACTTCAGTAGTGAAACAAAATGACAATTAAGTTATAAACCACCTAACTCCAAAGCTAATGAACCAGTAACCTATATTTTAACCACTCTGTATTTTTATTTATATGACAAATTTAGTCATTGAAAAATAAATTACTCTTATTAAATGTTTAATTACACTGAATTATTTATGCTGCTTTCAGCCTCAGAGGCAGTTGTTGACACCGAAGCCAGAATAAAGATATAATAAAGTGTTGTCCCACTGATGTGACACAATTGTGGAGGATAGTATGTTTACAAATGGGCTCTTCAACAGCAACTAAAATGTGAAGAGGAATACAAATTCTAAAATTAGCCTTAAACAAGGACAAACTGCCTGTTAGCATGGTCTGCTGACATTCTGCCTGTGTTTATTTATCTCAAGTAAATAATGGTAATCCTTGCATTTGATATACAGTAAATGCCCATTTACTGTGTATCAAATGCAAGGATTACCAGTCCTGAATTGCAGGACTTCAGGTATCTGGAATTTAACGCTGACTCGATGAGGCCCAAAACCCCCAAATTTATAAAATTCCCGACTCCTAACTCTGAATAGCCTCATCATCTTGCCAACATCAACTCTGATTGTTTGAATCCCGTGAGCAGAAAATTGCTTATCTGTTATGTTCTGCGCATGGCATTAAAACAGTCACAACGCCAGAAACGGGAGGACATCTCAAAGCACTTCATAGGATTTACTATGACATGTAGTGACTATGTATTTTGTACAGAGTGAATGCAAGAATGTTATAACTACAATTTGTTTTCAATCAATATTCTAAAGATAATCTTCCTCTTAAACAAATTTGCTTTTATTTGCCTTATCGCATCAAAATGTCTGAAAGAGCTTCACCAGTAATTACTCTCAAATGTATTGACTATGGAAGTAAATGCAGCAGCCATTTATTTTATGAGCTCAACAGCCAATCAATGAAGCTAGTAACTATTAACAATGGTGTATCAGTATTCCTTTGACAGTCTTTTACTTTGGAAAACTACAGCCCTGTATAAGATGATTTTTCACAACTGGTCAGGACTGGTCATGGATAACTGATCAATATTATAATCATGGCAAACCACCTGAGCCAGACAGACACTGAAGCATAAGGAGACAGATGTGGTTCACGAGTCATGGTTTATTAATACAGAGGGAGTCCTCAGTGGTTTCCAACATTCCTGCAGATGTGGACATCCCTAACAAGGGTGCAGGTTCTGGGTTCACGATTTGACCACCTGCACCCCTTCTTATAACAAGCCTCACTCTGCTTCTCACCTGCTCAGATATCTAGTCTCTCAAGCTCTGCACGCTGCAGCGCCTACTTTGCAACACCCTCAACCCATGTGGCTGGACCTCAAGCTTTCCAGTTCTCTCAGGAACTCTGGCCCAAGATTTTCTACATGCAGTCCATCTCAACGTCAGAAACGGTGGAGCGGGGTGGGGAGTGGATCGATTTACATCTCCTAGGCTCCATCATCTCTTCCTGGAGTACAGTGTAAGGTTATATGGACAACATCTTGGGTTGATTGGTCACCACATTGCCAGACTAAAAAGCCACTTACAATATTTTCAGTGTTTATAATCTGCAGCAGCAAGGGGGAAAGGACATCCACTAATACTGATGGAAGCTAAATAACTTGCCAGATATGAATAGATAGGTAGAAATTGGGTCCTTCAAAAATTGTAAATCCATTTCAATATGGGTTGTCATTCTACTGCACAGAACTAGTTACCATGGAAAAATATGCCAGCAGCATCAAGCATAAGCAATGTAAAATGAGGCCATGAATGATCTAGAACTGTACAAGGACAGCTATCACTCCACTGAGTGATGTGCTGTTCTCACTATAACAAAAATGTAATTAATATGCTGCTGTGACAATCTCTGATGTATTTTGAATTGAAATATCAGAGTATGTTTATCACTTGTACAATCCACTCTGTGAGCTAATTTGATTTGGTTCCATAATTTCTTCCCTTTTTGATCACCACAATGGTAACTGTTGTCCAAACACTAAGCTTGAGGCTGGGATTAGGTACAATATTCAATACTTACATAATTTTAGGGAAAATAATTAAGTTTATAAATTACTGGAATAAAGCTTGGTTGGTTCAACCATCATATTACTGCAAATATATGTGGAAGACTTGATGCAAATAAATTATACATTAGTACATTTCAGTAGAGATTTTGAAGTTTAGTTTTCTCTGGCTATTCTGAGAGAGACGCTAAACTAAGGTCCCGTCTACTTGTTCAGGTATACATTAACAATCCCGTTGTACTATTCATAAAGGGAGTTTCTCCAGCTGTCCTGGCCAACAGTAATCCAGATTAATTGATGATTCCTCTCATGGCTGTTTGTTCGACATTTTTGGCACAAATGGGTTGCTGCATTTGGCTATGCAAAACAGTCATCATGTTTGCCAGTCATTAACTGTGAAGCACTTTGATATATTTGGCGTGATAAGGCACTATAAGAATCCACTATAAGTATCCACGTACATTCTTTCTTTCCATTTCCAATACTAGGACCACATTAAATAATTTCACTTTTGCAGGGGTAAACACTATTCATATCATATTTGATGTACATATATGAGTAAAAGGAGATTAGATTTTAACCTAACAGGATGCATCAGCTAACAAAATAAAATACATCAATGGGTGCCTCAGTATATTCAATTTCAACTTGGCATTAGCTGTCTTCTGAGAGTTACACATGCAAATTCAATTTGCAGTATCCCAAACCATGCAGAATTAGCTTTCAAACATTCAATCATAAGGACACAAAATATTCAAATTGGTTTGTTTGCTTCACTAAGCAAAAAAAATTTCACTAATGATCCAAGAGTATATATATTTCCATTGCTAATGTTACCTTTTGAGAGTTACATAACATTCATAAACTTGTATTGTTTAAATTATACCATTTTTAAAACAATCTCTTGCTAAGGAAGCAATGTAATATATTAAATGTTGTTATAACTTCAAATCTTTAGCAATTAAGTCTAGTTCTAAAACACTATCGATAAGGTTGACTGGAAATAAAGAGTTGAGAACACATTAATTTGTGTGATACTTTATGAATTTCCCTAGCACTAGATTGTTTTATTCTAATGGGTCCTCATGCCACCACAGGCTATATTGGTAAATGTATTTGTTGTTTATTCTGTTTGTTAAACCAAAATATTTGGAGTGGAGCATTCGGTGGGGGGGGAGTGGAGATGGGGGTGGAGCCGTATATTAACTTAAATAGCATCTCCAAGCGATGCACAGTTGCTGGGTTTGACTCCAAAAAAGGGGACAGGGGAAGGTGACCACAGGTGCAGTTGAAGAGGTGGGTGGTACGGTGGGATTTATAAACCTCAGATGTTTTTTTCTGCCATTACTGAGAATGGAAAATAGAAACCATGCAAAACCATGAGAACCAACAAAATTCCGATTGTCACTTGACCGTAAAGGGAACTGCTGTCGACATATCAATCAGATATCTCAACACAGCTGGGAGCTGGGAGTTGGTGATGTTTCTCACAGGCTGAAATGCCACTCAAATGCTTGGAATTTCTTCTAGAATGGAGCAGTAACAGTAAGAAATGACAAACAATCTTTCAGGCAACTGGGGAGGATGGGATTGAACACTTTTCTCCCCATTTTACTAGCGTACCAATGGGGCCAATCAAAAGCTACTCCAATTATGTAGTCATCTCAAAAACAAATGGTTACTTTTAGCATTCCCACTCCAACAATTGTATTTATCTGGGATTAATCCTGAAAACACTGTAATATCATTTTAGTCCGAATATCATATTTTTCATTTCCTCTTTGATTGTTGATAATGACTGATGATGATATTATCAAAAGTAACCATAACAACTATATTAAAAATAGTCAAATCTTTCTTTCAAGTGACCATTTCTACAAGATGTATTGAAGTAAGGCCACGCTCACTGCTATTAGCTTATTTACTTTGTGTGCATGTACAGGATGCCCAAATTGGCTGTCTGCTTTGAACATAAATAGAGTCTATTTAAAATGTGTGTGTTTAAACTGCCTTGTTCAGACAGCATTAGGAATAGAGCACTTGTTTGTAATCTAATTTGTTGGTAAATCTGGTTATTCACCGTCAATGTGCAACATAAACACAGCATTAGTTATCAATTGGTGCTGTATTGTGGAATTGTTTTGTGGTTCAAGCCTAATTGCAACTGTCTTGAGCTCCTTTTACAACACAATCCAATATATATTTATACACTGCTTTTCACATCCGGAGGATGTCTCTAAGCTCTTGAAGCTTTTATTCTTTCTTAAACTTTTTAAAACTTGTATGCATGACCTTTAGAGTCTAAATTGAAAGAGGTAAAGGATACAAGAGAGAGAGAGAGAGAGAGAGAGTGAGAGTAAAGGAGAGAGTAAAGGAGAGAGGGAAAACTCTGGGCTTCAAATAAGCTTCAAATAAATCCAGCTTCAAATAATTTTATATCCTCCACACAAATGCCTGATAACAGGTATTATCAAAACAAAAGCCTGGATTTCATTAGAAAATCAATGCAATTATTCTTTTTCAATCCACATGGCAGTTATGAAGAAGTACACAGCACACGCATGCTTCATCATTTACCCCTCTAATAGGAGGGGTGGCAGGTTTGTATGCACCACGTGGACAGCCACCAACGCCACTTGCCCACCACCGCCGTTCCGGGAATCGAATTTGCTTTGCAATTCGTGTGTTCCCGCTGTACTGCCTTTCAAAGATCTGGCTGCTGTGTTCGCACCGTTTCCCCGTGAAGCCAGGCTTACAGATGCAGCTCCCAGTTCGGTCACACCGAAGTGCCATGGAACCAAAGGGACTGCACATACACGGCTTGCAGAGGTTTTGTTCATGGTCCCACCAGCAGTTAGGCTTTAGAGTTCACAGAACAGAAAATGGAAAAGAGACAGCGGTAGAAAGTAAGAGCAAACATAGGATAGGGATCATTGGCAGTGACAGGCAAAGGTACTGTATGAGCCCAGCCCAGAAATTATCACAACAGGTTCATGTGACAACAATAAAAATTGGTGAAACTCAAGAGAATGTAAAAGAAGCTTTAAATTATTCAATGGAAGCAATTGGTTCAAAAATAAAATTCTTTAAAAAAAATTACAAATGCACAGGAATCTTCAGCAAGATGTCTTCAGGTTAATAAAGAGCCCATGTTCCTATACTGAGGATAAACAAACACGTTGCACTGGGGCTGAATGGCGACAGCCAATTATTCTTCATCTGCATTCACTGACAACTTTGCACAGGAAGTAAATTCCCAACTCCGCACTATCAAGTGACTGTAAAAGTATGAACCAAGAACACCAGCCAACAGCACTATTTTCAATGTGTTCATCATCGTTAAACTACAAAGGTCAACAAAGGTCAAGAAAGGACAAACAATTCAAATTTATGTTTTATGTTACTTTTATGATTTTTTTTATGCAAATCTTTGAACTACAGCCTTAAGAAACCAAGTATTTCTATTTAAATCTGTTGGGTCTCGCAGCCCTCAAAATCAGGTTAAAGTTCATCATTGCTATGCATCTTCAAACATCAAAATAATTAGACCAGGACTTTAATGATGCATTCATAGACATTTAGAGTACAATCCCAAATGAAAATAATGAAATATTACAATGATGGCTGGATGTGGAGAGAAATGTGGGTGAGTACAATTTTTTAAAAACATTCTCCACTTAAATGAGTTTGAATCTTAAACTCTTTAAAATGTGCTGGATTAAATGACAACCTTCATTATATTCTTCGGCTATTTTAAATTACTTTGTAAAAAAAAAGCTAAGTGGATTAACTCAACTATGCCGAAATGAACTAGAAACATATGCATCAAAATCACATATCACCATAAACCTGTTCCCTGCAATATAATGTTTTGGGATCAGCTGGGTGTCTGCCACGTGTGGAAACCCTGTGTTAACCGTGCCTAACATTATCCAAACCAGACTGAGAGTTTCAAATATGTGTCCACCCACACATGGAAATTTCTGTGTGTCTGGAATGGAATGCTTAGCGCAACACACCCTGTTTACCCAATCCCAGAGAATATAAAATCCCAGGGAGAATAATGTATCAATAAATGGCAGATAGTATGATGTTATTATAATGTCCTCTTTGGCACTAACGTTATTCTAATGTAAGTTGTATTACAATGGAAAAGCTACTTTTGTCTTGAATCTTGATTAATTTCTTGACCTGCAAAGTCATTCACCAGATCATTTCCTGTTATGCATTTATGCACAACTTATCCTTTATCTTCATCTATTACCACTTAAGTTTTGTTTTTCTATTTCTTTGGAGGGTTATTTTACAAGTATTTTAGATGATACTGTTAACTCCAATGATCTGATCACTGGTGCTGACTTGGATGAATTATTCAGCCTGAGAGTGTGAGGGAGATGAACAAATCATTGTTATCACTGCTCAAACAAATCTATGCAAAACAAGACAGAAACAAACAAGAGAAAAACTACTGTTAATTGTAACTGTGATCACCACAACCTGCCCCAGATCTCTCACTAAAAATCAAATACTTAATCCACAAGATCTTTCTGTGCAATACCTACCATACAATGGTTGCACTTTCTTCCTTCAACATTTGGTTTGCACTGGCACTGGCCTGTCTGTGTGTCACAGGCATTGGTGGTGGAACCATTCACATGGCATTGACAGGCTGTGGAAACACAATGTCAATGCAATCACTAGATGAATTAAATACTACTGAGCTGTTACAACATATGGCTCAGATATCACTGAGTTTACAAAACTTCATTGAGAAATAGGTAATACATTGGATCTAATTCCCATCACCTCAATACTCACCTGTGCTCACCTCAAGTATTCTATTTATATACGTTCATTCAGGACCTCTTCCTGCGTGTCCCAGCTTGTGGAACAGATTCACTAGTTATGATTTTAGGAAACAAAGCCTTTTCTATTCTGCTGATCAACTTGCTATTACATTCAGCAGAGATTTGTCTCCATAATCATGAATCTAATGAGAACTGCTATAACTGGTATTGAAGTTTATCGTCTCATGCCTTTTGTCTGTTGTTACTCGCGCCCAAAGGCAATGATTCATGCTGGAATACAGTGTTGGCCAACTTATTGAGCCTGAACATTGAACGTCAACAAGCTATGCAACTATGAGACAGCACACAAATCCCAATCCTGTCCTTTCCAGAAGAAGCCACTCAACATTTAATGGAAACAGAAACACCAGTTGATTGTTCTTTCTCTTTCCCAGGGGTGAAGAAACTAATTTGTTTGCCTACAAATACATGATTACAACACTTTACAGTAAAAGTCCTGTGAAAAGCTTTGAGACATTTCCACAATGTGATAAATATTATTGCTATATCAAAATAATAATAATCCTTACATTTGATATAGCGTCTTATCACAGCTTTGAGACATCTCAAAGTGCTTCACGGAATATACTGCAAAGTGAATAGACTGTATATTTTGTGGGTGAAACCCAGCAGCCAATTATGCACAGAAATGTCCCACAAATAGTCGTGATTGAAGTAAACAATTTTTTTTAAAAAGGAATTATTACCCCTGGAATAGCCAAATGACTAACAACCGGGTTCCTATTTACTGCTAGGTAAACAGAGGCATGTGGAGTAAGGAAACTTACCCAAAATTTCACCCTGCCGAGAATCGAACTCTTGAGCTCAAACCACTGAGCTGCAGCTTATTATTATTATTAGCTACAGGACTCCACAGCCAATACACTTTACAGTATATTTTGTGAAGTACTTTTGAGATGTCTCAACAACACCCTATATCAAATGCAAGGATTATTATTATTAAAATATTTGATACAAAAATATTATTATTATGACCACTGCAGCTAAGATCGGTTAACTAACTGTGTACTTTGACCCACCTGCTTGAAATGCCTAAATTTTTCTGAATACTGTTTATCCCCCTCATATTACAATGTATATTAATTATGGACCATTTATAAGAATTAAGCAGAAGCTCAACTATTTCTACAGGGTTATTTTCAAGTGTTTCTGATTCACAAAGGTTCCAAAGGGTCTTGTCCACTGTTGTGCAACACACAGTTAAAATGAAAATGTTAGCTGAACTGCAAATGTTGAGATGGATCACTCTACTGATTGTTGCAAACTGCAATGGAGAAGTTAGCATGCGCAAATCATTGATTATCCTGGTTCAGTCTCATTATTTTCTGTGAGTCTGAAATTCCTATCTTGCTTGTTCAGTCTGTGCTGGAGGCCAAGGGGTAATTGCTTTTTGTTTCTTCCGGGTGATCCTATCCGTATTTTTAATATAGATTTCTTCCAGCTCGTATGTTTATACACCTGACACAGGAGTATAATCCATGCCAGACATGGGGCAACTTTTGTAACATTTCCAATATTATTACTGCTGCAGTAATTAAAAATGTAATGAAGACATTTCTTTGAAACAGCTGTTGATCCTGCTGAGAACATGATATAATAGAATGTTACACAATAGGGAAAGTGGAACACAAGAACAGAAAGTATATAATTTAGTTTGATTTCTATTGTGTTTTTGTTTCTGCAATTGACAGCTCTAAATTGCTGGCTACACAAATAAGGGCACGTATCCAACCCGGGGCACGTATCCAACCCGAGATTCTTCGTGAGATCTGAACATAGAAACATTTAAAGATGTAACATTCAAACAATAGAGGAAGACTAGTTTATTCCTAATGGATATATTAAAGTGTACTGGCATAACAATCGCATATCAGTACAAAATAAGAGAGCCTTTGATGCAATATCAATTTAGCAGTGGAGTAATTTGAAGAGTGAAACCTAATTTAGGTGCTCTGAAATACTTTCAGGTGAGGAGAGTCTGTCCATGTGCTTCTTAGTTCCACTAACTGGCACCAAATGTCACTCCGTTTTTATTATTATTAAAGTGTCACCCAAGAGATTATTAGCAGCTAGTGTTTATTGATGGAATGTAAAACTGTCCTCCACAATCCACTGTTGAAGCAGAATTCATAAATTATTTTATAAAGGGAATTAGATGTTTGTGAAGAAGAATATTAAAATGTGTGTAAAATGAATGAGATCAGACTAGGTGGGAAAATATACGAGTGCAGACTTGCAGAACGATCCTTTTTGGTGCTGTAACATTCTGTGATTCGAAAATGTTTCACACCTCGTGCAATTATACTTAAAACTGTTTTCCTGGCAAAACCATTCTTTCAAGGGCTCACAGGCTGAGTTTGCTGTGTTTCTCCCATTGATTCACTGGTTAAATCCTCCCAAATCATAGTAATAAATAATAATCCTTATATTTCATATAGCGCCTTTCATGTCAAAAGTGAAGAGATTGCACAATTTGTAGGAGAATATAGAATTGTGGAATCGGCAGGAAAAGCAGAGTTTAGGTAGCACATGGCTTTCATTTGGGTAGGGCCAATTAAGGACCAAGGCGGAAATCTTATTGTAGAGGCAGAGGGCATGGCTGGTGTACTGAATGAGTAATTTGCATCTGTCTTCACAAAAGAAGTGGAAGCACCAAATGCCGCAGTATCGGAGGAGAGGGTAGAGGAAATGGATAGGATAAGTATAAACAGAGAGGAAGTACTGAAAAGGTTGACTGCACTGAAGGTAGATAAGTCGCCCGGTCCGGACAGGATGCAGCCAAGGTACTATGGGAGGCAAGGGTACAAAGAGCGGAGGCTTTGGCTATAATTTTTCAATCTTCATTGGACACAGGAGTGGTGCCAGAGGACTGGAGAGTGGCCAATGTGACTCCCCTGTACAAAAAGGGAAAGAAGGACAAACCTGGGAACTACAGGCCAGTCATCCTAACATCAGTAGTGGGGAAACTCCTGGAGACTATAATCCGGGACAGAATAAATCTTCACTTAGAAGAATATGGGTTAATTAGGGACAGCCGACATGGATTTGTTAAAGGCAGATCTTGTCTAACAAATCTAATAGAATTTTTCGATGAGGTAACGGAGAGGGTGGATAAAGGTAGTGCAGTTGATGTAGTTTATATGGACTTTCAAAAGGCATTTGACAAAGTGCCACATGAAAGACTTGTAAGAAAGATAGAAGCCCATGGTATAAAAGGGAGAGTGGCAGCATGGATCGAGAACTGACTGGGAGACAGAAAGCAGAGAGTTGTGGTGAACAGTTGCTTTTCTGACAGGAAGGAAATTTACAGTGGCGTCCCCCAGGGATCGGTATTAGACTACTGCTCTTCTTAATCTACATAAATGATCTGGACTTGGGTATAGCAAGTACCATTTCCAAGTTTGCGGACGACACAACGTTAAATAGGGTGGTAAACAGTGAGAAGGATAGTAGCCAACTGCAGGAAGACATAGACAGAATGGTAAAATGGGCAGACACATGGCAGATGAATTTTAATGTGGAGAAATGCAAGGTATTGCATTTTGGAAGAAAGAATGAGGGGAGGCAATATAGGCTGGTAATACAATCTTAAGGGGGGTGAAAGAACAGAGAGACCTAGGGGTGCAGGTAAATGACTCCTTGAAGGTGGCAGGACAGGTAGATAAAGCTGTAAAAAGGGCATATGGGATACTTGGCTTCATAAATAGGGGCATAGAGTACAAGTTAGGAGGTTATGATTAACCTATATAAAACACTGGTTAGGCCTCAGTTAGAATACTGCGCCCAGTTCTGGGCACCACACTATAGGAAGGATGTTAAGGCATTGGAAAGGGTGCAGAGGAGATTTACAAGAATGGTACCAGGAATGAGTGACCTTGATTATGAGGAAAGGCTAGAGAGGCTGGGATTATTCTCATTGGAGCAGAGAAGGTTACGAGGAGACCTAATAGAGGTCTTCAAACTCATGAGGGGATTTGATAGTTAGAAAGGGAAAAACAGTTTCCACTGGTGGGTGTGTCGGTGACGCGAGGTCACAGATTCAAAATAGTTTCTAAAAGAAACAGAGGGGAGGTGAGAAGAAATGTTTTCACGCAACGAGTTGTTCGACTGTGGAACGCATTTCCTGAATGGGTGGTGGAGGCCGATTCAGTAACCACTTTTAAAAACGCAGTGGATTGGTATTTGAGGAGGACAGGTTTGCAGGGTTATGGGGAAAGGGCTGGGGAGTGGGATTGACATTACATTGCTCTTCTCAAAGAGCCGGCACAGACTCGATGGGCCGAATGACCTCTTTTTGTGCTGTACAATTCTATAATTCTATGATTTTTACCTCCTCTGCAGTTCAGGCAAAAACGTGGTCTGGGAGATAGAACCAGGGGTAGTTTGCTTACATTTAAGCGTAAAATCATACTGTGATTCTTATAATGAAGCAATATTCCCCTCATCACATCAAAGCTAAATCTGATGATGTCAAGCTCTAGAATTCCAGCCCACAACTGGCTGAAAACAAGTCTTTGGGATTCATTTTCACACAGTCTGAAGAAAATGTGCTGAATATTCCCCAGGCACCAAAATAAAGCAAAACAAGTATGTAAAATATTTTGAACCTGTTTTTAGAAAAATGCTTTGGAATAGATAAACATCTTATTTTGGAAATAAAGCAAAGGTAAGAGTAAAATGAGAAAAATAAAAGAGAAAATGGAGGGGAAAAAAAAGAAATGATAGCAGCACAGCTTAGCAATGAATTAAACATTTCATGAATCCCAGAAATTAGTTAGGTTACCATACGCACCTCCAAATCCTATTGAAGGTTTAACAATCTTGTTTGATTTTCCAGACCATCATTAAGCAAAGCACTACAACAGAGCCTCAAGATATGCATAATATTCAGTACTAAAAGGCTAGTTTAAAACTACACCAGAATAGGCTTTGGAGTCCAAGGACAGAGTTGTTATTCCATAACGAAAGATGCTCTGCAGCTTTGAAAAAATTTGTGAGACATTTAAAATGTGAAAAATGTTGCTTCATTATAAGAATTGCTGCATGACTTTATTTTACTTCTCCAAAAATGCATACCTTTAAAGTTTTTCCTTTAAAACTGTCCAAGAATCTAACTGTTTCGTGAAATCTGGCCGTATTACAAAGGTTTTCACTATATACATCTTTCTCAGGCACACTTCAAAGGTAAACATGAAATAAAAGGCCCAGGTCACTTACCCTGGCAACTCTTGGCAACAGCATCCCCAAAGAAGCTTTCAGCACATAGCTCACAGAACTGACCAGTCGTTCCCTCAATACAGTGTAGACACTCTCCTGTCATTGAATCACAGCACCCAGGGACTGATAGATCAAGGTTTCCATTGCACTGACAGGGCTGGCATGATCCACCTGGTTCAGTGGGATGCCCAAAGAAGCCAACAGTGCACCTAGTTATCAAAAGCAAAACATCAAATTAGTTCACTAGGCAACAATCAAATAGGTTTCTGAAAATACAGCCAGATTTAGAGCAATAATCTTAGATAGTAAAAGCATTTAATTTTATAAGACATTGTTTCTGAATTCCATATACTCTACCAAGTTACAAAACTGTTATTTAAAGAATATGCTTTCCTATAATGTAGTAACTTAAACAGAGATACAAATGAATGTTGATTGAATAAATAAATTGGCAATTTTTAAAAAATAATTGGGTTGTAGCAATTACTTGTATAAATCAATGATATTGAAAAGGAAAGAACGCAAGTTATGTGCGGTTTAGGTTGGAGTATAAAGAATGAGCAGCACAGTTGCTGAAATAACTTTCCTAGTTCTATACCAACAATTTTTGAGCAAACAAACATATTGCATTGAGAAGCAAAAAGCATATTGTATATTGCATAACAGATATTTTCTGATGTCACATATCACAAGAGAGCTTTGGATCTTCCCGACCATCTTCTCGTTTCAGCAACAAGCTGTTTCTTAAAGAGTCCAGGGTCCTGGGCTCAACCATTCTTCTTGGTAACCCATTCCAGGCATTATTTACCTTTTGGGTAAATAAATTATACATGGCATAATAGAATGTTAGACAACAGGGAATGTGAAACACCATAACAGAAAGTATATCATTTAGTTTGATTTCCATTATGCTTTTTGTTTCTGCAATTGACAGCTCTAAATTGCTGGCTACACAAATAAGGGCACGTATCCAACACGAGATTCTTTGTGAGATCTGAACATACAAAGAACTTACCCTGTGGGTAAATAAATACTTCAGGGAGCTAGTCCTGAAACTGCATTTTGCAATTCTAAACTATACCTTGTTGTTCTGGTGTCTTGGCTCATCTGAAAGTGCTGTTTTACACTTTCAATACCATTTAAATCATATATAACTCCATAAAATTTCCACTAAGACGTCTCCTTTGAAGACTGAAGAACCCTTTCTTGTCTGATCGTTTCTTATAGCTGCTTCTTGTAACAGTGGGAATCGTGCTTGTTGCTTTCTTTTGCACTGCCAATCGGGCCTGAGCAACTCCCTTATGTCACAACTACCAGAACTGTTTACAGTACCCAGATGTAGCCTGATCAGTGCACTATACAGTCGGACCTCTGGGGATTTGAACTCAACTCATTTGGCAATATAGCGTAGCATTCTGTTTGCCTTGTTTTTTGCCCCCTCACGCTATTTTAACATGGTGAGAGATGAGTCAACTATGAGTTTCTTTTAGCAATCCTCGGCAAATTCTATCCCATCAATGGAGTACATGAGTCTCCTATTTTTACTTCCTACGTCGTTGAATGGAAGGTCGTAAAAGTTCAAGTTTAGCCGAAGCTGAGAGACTATTGTAAGATTGGATCCATGTGCTGTGAGGTAATAGGAAACCAAGTCAAAAAACAAAAAGGCCTATTTTTTTAGCGATAACAGTAAAAGATCCTATTATTTACAAAAAAACACTGGGAAAGCTCTCTTTCTTGAGTGCTGCATTCTCATTATAAGAATAATGAACTTTAAATGATTTGATATAAAAAAAATTGAATATATTTCACTCTCCCCCGGATGAATTTCCATCAACAGAACATCACTAGGCATTCGTATTTCAGAATTCTCCCTCAATCATAGCTTTGGGTCCAATTCTGGTGCCTTTACAAAGTGCAATCAATCTTTCCTTACATGTAGCAAAAGTCATTACTTTTGTTTTCTGTCTAAGGACGATTTCCATTCTTGGAAAAAGGCCTTTACAAGCCAGTGATATGAAAAACAGACAGACCAGAAACGTATGGCTGCAGCATGGTGCACCTTGTTCCTTGCTGCCCTAGATGCTCTTGCTTCTGGGGCTGTTGTCCAGCCCCACCTCAGGACACATTGTTGAGTATCTCTGCAGACAATAGAGCCACCGTGGTTTATACAGTATTACATTGCTACCAGTGACAGAAATGCTGCAATGTAAATAATAACTAAATGTATTGAACCTTTCCATGGCAGTGCAGAAAATTACCCAATGGTTGAATTGCCTTTTCTAAATCTATGCTTCAAAAGAAGAATGTAGTTTCTCCTGGTTTCTTGGCCAATAATCCCCCAATAAAATTGATCATTCATGACATAACTGTTTGTGGGACAAGGTAGTACACAAATTGTTTGTGAAGTTTATCTACAAAATACACAGAATATGCTGTGAAGCACTTTGACTTGTAAGGCGCTAAACCAAATTGCACATCGGCAACTGGAGAATTTAAGTAGGAAAACAGTAGAAGAAACATTAACTACACAGGGCCTGGGTAAAGGAATAGCTCCCATCTCTGTCCTTTCACATGTGTCAGACACTCAGCTGACCAAAAAACAGACTGATGTTTACGTCTGGCCAAGACAGATGGGAATGAATCAATGGCTGTTAAAGATCTTAAGTGAAATACAACTGGTAAGTATCAATCTTGTTTCCAGTGGAAGCGAGTGTAAAACACTAATTGATACCAATTAATCAATCACATGCCCTTGTTATACATAGAGTTTTGCACATTTACACTCATAATCACATGAATGTGGTGTAAACCTTCCAATGTACAGCAGTTGAATATAAAGTGGTTCTGACTATATGGAGTCCCAGATAGGGTTTATCACTGGAATAACTATAAGTCAGTTAGTGATAGAGAGTCAGTGCAGTGTTGGGCTGCAGTATGTACACCTGTGGCGATGAAAGAATTTTGTAGCAATCAAGTCCGTATCATCCATTCTACTGAGCGGACCCAGTGTAAGGAGAGAAGTGACCATAGATCTGTATGGTCACAATCTTTAGTATTGTAGTTAGTAGTCTAGTGAATAATAATATGCAATAATAATAATAAAGTACAAAAGGTTAACTGTCCCATTTTGAAGTTGCAGAAAGCTTTTTCAGCTCCTATCCAACAACTGGAGCTCACACAACAATTCAGAATTCAATGAGTACCATAATGTCCTGACAAACATTCATTTATATTTACGTACTGAAATATACCTGACTGCTTGAGGATCACAGAGTATGTGTTGTGGAACTAACTGGAGTTTAACCGGTTAAAACCACGCATCTTATTATGTGATTTCTGGCAAGCTTTCCACTGCTTATCCAGTCTAATGCTGGACAGAATCCAAAGTCTCCACAGGGAACTTAATCCTCTTACACGCTACACCTGATGAGGAAATACTTAATGCTAATACTGGGTCAAAAAAAAGCTCCAAAAAAATTAATTTCCCGGCAATGATATCCCTCATTCTGCTGAACACAAATTCACCCTAATTAATTAGGAAAAAAACATTTATACAAGAGAAACAGACCCTCTACTTACAGTAGCAGTTAATGTTCATGCACAGAATGATGCCAACAATGTGTTATATCACGTACTTGTAAAGTGTCACCGCCACAGATGGTTAGATGTGCCCCAGTTAAATGAGAATTAACAAATAAATAATTCCCTCAATAATCAACTAAGTACTTAGAGGCTGACACACCATTAGTAATTATATATCTGGTGGTTGTTTTCAGCAGTGCTTTGCTAAATTGTGCAGTGCTATGGCTTGCATAACAAATACTTATATGTGCATAACATTTAGATTGTCAAAGTAAATTGAGCATAGACTCAGATTTTTTTAAACCAATTAGCTATTCTGTAATATTCATACCAAGCTCTTTGTATCGTATAATGAATCATTGAAGCAAGCATTTCAATGATACACTGCAGTGACAGCTGCAGAAAAAACGGCAGAAAATAGAAAATAGGGTTTCACTCAGTTTGTTGCCACAATCTCATCAATTTCTAGCAAGTATAAAGGCAGCTAGTTTACAGCTCTGATAAAATAAGGCCTCCCTTGAGCATGCTGTTACTTTCTAGCCAAGGTTATTCTGCAATTATTACTTCAGAATCAAAGAGCGACGTGGCAATCAGTGTGACAAACTCACTGCAGCCGAGTCTTTTACTTTAAATTGACTGAGCACTTGGAGACATCCTGTGGGGAGATTTCAACAGTCCTGCTTCTGATTGAAATAAAGGAACCGAAGTACATGAGAAATATCTTGGTTCCATGCAGTATTTCCCCTGGCAGGTCGAACAGGTTCAAGTATTTTTTAAAAAAAGGAAAATATCTTTTCCTGACTCCAGGGCAGGGCTGCCAAGTGCTTTGTTGGTATTATATTGTTCTGACACACAAGACCAATTTGTTTTACTGAAGTTCAGTTTTTAGACAATACTGACACTATATTGAGTGCCATGACAACAAATTGGAAATCAACAGAGCTCATTTTTTTAAAAAAAAACTAAAACTATACACTTTGCACAATTGCACAAATTCATTAAGTTTTTTTTGTTAAAATGGAAGGAGCAGAAAATAACTTTTTGCACTGATTGTCATAAATGCATCAGTGGTTGACAGCATTGACAGCACTTTACAGGGTGTTTACAGGGTGTCATTTTAATCTGAACCAAACATTATAGGTATAGTTTGATGCAACAGAATATTTATTACAATCCATAAACTTTATTCATTTGCAAAGGTGGTTTGACTTTGAAGAAGGTGGCTCGAACGGTATCCAAATTTAAAGTCAATTCACCTTACAGTTATTCTGTGAAGTGGTTTGAGACGTCTAGAAGACATGATAAGGCGCTATATCAAATACAAGGATTATTATTATTAAATGACAATCCTGTGTCCCTCTCCTCAACCTTGAAGAGTGAGTATGTGTGTGTATGTGTGAGGGGGGGAGGGAGAGGAAATGCAGTGCCTCCTTTTACTTCTTTTAATACCCTGCTGCTGTAATGTTCTTTATTTATAGGACTGTAGATCTTTTACTCCTAAAATAACAAATGGCGCCACCATTACTTACTATCCTGCAAAATCAGCTGGAAAAGTTTGACAGAAATAGCTACTGCAGTGATGCATAATGTCAGGTGTCTCTTTGAACACTAATGTTTACAGAGACTCCCGATATAACAGAGGGTTTCTTATTTAATGCAAAGTATATGTCAAAGTGGAGCCTTTAAATGAATCCTCTCCAAATAAGGTATGGAGTTTCGTATTTTATAATCACTCGTGTCATAATTCTACCTTTTGTGAAACAGAAGCATTTTTTCATGAAAGCTACCACGTTAATCGAACATTGCTTCATAACAGTGTCGCAAACAAACTATATTTTATTTTCCGTTTATTTTAACAAGATTTAAAGGTGAGTGAACTAAGAAGCATTGATGCTTCAAACACTGCAGCTTCCAGTGGATACAAACCATTTTTGTTTCCTTTTTTCTAAAACGCTACGGCACAGGCCAATTTTTGGCTAAACCAGAAGTTTCCTCAAAGCATAAGTTCATCTCCATAAGACGGTTAAGTTACTCAATGTTACATTGCTATAAAATGTGAGGTCAACCACTTAAAAAGTTGATAGTAAAAGTAACGAATGTTGAATGTTGAAACTGGTCCATTTTTACATTGTTGCCAAACAACATTATATCAGCTGCTGCTCTATTTTCAGTAACTTAAAGCTTTTTGGAACCAATGTAGGTGTGCATTTTGTAAATTTCAGTGGAAATACGTTTAAAGGACTAAATGGCTTTTTAGTTCTAAGAAACTGCTTTAAATCCCTATTGTACATTCCACTCTCTTCTCCATTTCACTCTATTCCAAAATTATGTGATGTGACAATCATGAAAAATGACAAAATAACGTATGAGGAAAGAAAGTAAAGATTAGGTGGGGCATCTCTATTGATAATACTGTATATGCCAAAGAAATGGAAATTTGAAGACTGTTATATGTCAACACAATGGCAAAATGCTACTTACCTCTCTAAAGAGTTAACCCACAACATTTTTCTGTAACGACATTACTTCTAAGTTTGAACTTTTCTCTCCAATAATGTGCATTACTGCATATAGAAAGACTCCCTTTCACTGATTCCTTACCTGTTGCACTGAGGTCCTGAGTACCCAGGTGCACACTGGTCGCATATTTGCTCTCCCCTGGAATCCAGGTGACAAGTTGGGCTGAAACTGCGTTGTTCATGTTGTGCAAACACAGGCGACAAGAGAAAGAACAAAGAAAAGTGTATTAGGTGCATAGTTCGTTGCTCTTTACTGAAACCATCACTGGGAGAGGACAAGGAATAACTTTCTGGCACCAAGATAGAGCAGGGATCAGTTCTAACCAATAGTCTATCAAATGACCGCTGCCTATTTCGACTGACACTGAATATAGTATAAAGGGCAGCAGGATATCAATGGCATTTCAGTCTGAAATTCTCTGTAGCTGTCACTCTGTACTATATAAAAACGGAATGTACAGCTGCTCGTCTGTGCCCCCAAGGGCTCGGCATGACATTGTATCTGACTGTAATTGGTAAGCAGTAGCTCATTCGAAGAGTAAGATGTAGCAGTTGCTCATTTTTCTATCACTTTTGTAAAAGGCATTGATCATGCGTGAATGGCTGTTAAAAAGATTCTACCTTATGAAGAATTTCTTTCTCACATGGCTGTCAGGAAGCAAAGAGTTTACATTTACTGATTTTTTTCCTATACATTCTACCTTTTTACAACCAGGCAGGTAAATGGCAAAACTTGTGATTTCCTCTAACAACACATTTCCCTTACTGAAATTCCCTTCTCGTGGGTTTTTGAGCTGGTGGGTCAAGCAAACAACATTTCATGCAGTATTTACAAACTTCCTCTCTTTGTTAATGTCAAGCTCCTCTGCACACCCAACAGTCAATAAGATGGTCCCCAGGCACTTCAGTGTTCTACCTTTCTCAAGCTGGTTGGATTCATCCTCACTCATAATTTTCTGTTAACTATAAACCACTTCTTCCAGATTAAAGATGTTGTCATGGGAACTAATATGGAGTCCTGTAGCTCAGTGGTTAGAGCACTCGCTTTGCAAGCGAGAGACCTGAGTTCAATTCCAGGCAGGGCGAAAACCTTGGGCAAGTTTCCTTACTCCACACGCCTAATAATAATCCCTCCAAAACCAAAAACAATAATAAAAAATTGGTCATTTTCAATCTACGACTGTTTGTGGGACATTGCTGTGCACAATTGGCTGCCGCGTTCGCCCACAAATATACAGTCAATTCACTTTACAGTGTGTTCTGTGAAGCGCTTTGGGACGTCCTCCCGACGTGAAAAGCGCTATATCAAATGCAAGGATTATTATTATTATTATTATTATTATTAATATACATCCAAGCTAAAACTGTGATTTGGTTGGTACTATATACAGAACGTTACAATTCTAACTTGCCTTATTTCAATTGTACTCAGGTCTAGTGTCTGATCTCTTCCACTGCTAAACTCACTGTTTTTTTTTCCCCTATTCCCACTCTCCTGGAGAGGTTCATTAACATCGCTTTTCATTTCCAACCATTTCTCACCTTCAGAGGATCCATCAGTGTCTGTCCCCTTTCCTAACAGAAACTTTGGTTAGCCTAAACTTCAACATTTTCTTATATGCATCAGCCTGGCTCAGTTGGTAGCACTCCCACCTTTGACTCAGAAAGTTGTGGGTTCAAGCCCCACATTGGGACCTGGAACTCCTAGTTTGGGATAATAATAATCTTTATATTTGATATAGTGCCTTATCACATTTTTGAGACTTCTCAAAGCGCTTCACAGAATACACTGTAAAGTGAATTGACTGTCGGCAAAATGCAGCAGTCAATTGTGCACAGCACTGTCCCAGAAACAGTCATGGATTGAAGTGACCAATTTATTAAAAAAAATTTAAGGAATTATTAGCCCCGGAAATGCGATCTACTAATCATCTAACAACCGGGTTCCTACTTACTGCTAGGTAAACAGAGGCGTGTGGGGTAAGGAAACTTGCCCAACATTTTGTCCTGCCGGGAATTGAACCCAGGTCTCTCAGGTGTAAGGCAAGTGCTGTAATCACTGAGTACAGGACTCCACTCCAACACAATGCTTGGGTGTGCTATATTGTTGGAGTTGGCGGCCTTTAGCTAATGTGTCAAATCAAGGTACCTGTCTACCTGTTTAGCTGGATGTTAAAAATCCCATGGCATTACTCAAAAAGAAAAGGGAGTTTATTCTGGTGTCCTGGCTAACATTACATCAAATAAAATGGTCATGGTGTTTGTAGGACATTGCTGTGTGCAAATTATCTATCCACAAAAATAGAGTATATTTACAGTATATATTGTGAAGTGCTTTGAGATGTCTATCGGACATGAAAGGCACAATATCAAATGGAAGGATTATTATTTATTATTCATGCATTCTTCAGATGGCAGTTTTCAGTTAGGACAGGGGGTTCTGGGGAACTCAACAGGTAAACCCGAACCTTGAGGAAGGAGATTTATATTGTTACAATATTAATGTTTCAAGATATTGGCTTGTCTGACTCTTTCAGATGTTATTTTATCTGCTGTGTAATTACAGTATTTGTTATTTTCACTGTCAGGTTTTGAAAATCCTGTTTTTCTTTTTATCTATTCTAACCTAAACAGCCCTATTCTTTATCCCACCTCTCCCACAGATACGTTTTTGTAGTTATGCTAGGCTTCACAGAATATATTGTAAAGTGAATTGACTGTGTATTTTGTGGGCAATAGAACTCAAAAAAATGTTTTTTTGGATACTGAAACTCCCTCCCTGTACCTTCCTATTTGTCTTTAAATCTCACCTAAAAACCTAGCTCTTTGACTATAATTGCAGTCACCTCCCCCTTCCTCAATTGCACTAAATGAAAAGAAAGGAACAGCATTGGATTAGCTCTGTTTCAGCTCTGCTGCTTGCCTTTCACCCTTTCAAAAAAAGGTGAAGGGTTTGGTGCAAAACTGTATAGGTCTGTAAATATACAAGAACATTCTTCACTTTTATGAAATGAATGTTTTTTTCTGCCTCAAACTCTGAGACTTGAGTCATTTTACTCTTGTGTTCCTTTCCAGTGTCAAATCTTACTGCTGAGACTTAATTTGAACATTTGTGATTGTTGGCTCTTTTTCTGTCCTTGTTTATGTAAATGTAAAACAACATGATTTTCTTGTACTAAAATGAAGGTTATCTGGTTTTGTAGGGTGCAAGTGTAGCTATTATCAAGTTGCTACACTGAGAAAATAAGCTCAGCTAGGATGGGGGTTGGAAAAAATGTGCTTCGCATAGCATGAAACAAAGCAGCAAAGCATCCTCTGGGAATTACAATTCCCATGGGAAAGTGAGTTTGAAAGAAAAACAATACAAAAATTGGCTGTTTTACAACACACAGTATATAGAGGAGAGTGGAATGTGAGCGCCCTTTTATACCACCAGTAATCTTTAAACTGACTTTAACATCAACGTAGGTGCCATTATATGGAGGAATAATTAATTATATTTTGTGTTGACATTTTTGAACATTAGACCACTGAATGATGACATTCTTCTAGCATAAGAAATTGCAATGTCTGTCTTTGTCTGAATTTTAGAATTAAAAATATCAGATTGTTGAACTAGACATCTTGTTCGACTCTCAACTGTCCTTTCTCACCCACATCCATGCCATGATCCGCTCTGCCTGCCCCCACCTCCACAACATTGCCCAACTCTGTCACTGCCTCACCCGTCAGGCCGCCGAAACTCTCATACATGCCTTCATTACAACCAGGCTCGACTATGCCAATGCCCTGCTTGTCAGTCTTCCCAACTCTTCCCTCCACGAGCTGCAGATCATCCAGATCTCTGCAGCTCATGTCCTCTCCCGCAGCAGGCTTTGTGTCCCCATCACCCCCACCCTCGCTCGGCTCCACTGTCTCCCCATCCCTCCGAGGATCAAGTTCAAAATTCTCGTTCTCACCTTCAAGGTCCTCCATGGCCTTGCACCCTCCTACCTCTCCAACCTGCTATCCCCCAATCAACCTGTCCGCTCCCTCCGCTCAGCATGCTCCAGCCTGCTCCATGTCCCCCACCCGGCCCGCCCCACCATCAGCAGTCGGGCCTTCAGCCTCTCTGCCCCCACCCCCTGGAACTCCATCCCATATTCCCTTCGCCTTGCTCCCTCCCTTGCCTCTTTCAAGGCACGACTTAAGACTCTCCTCTGCGACCGAGCCTTCAACCACCCTCTTACCCCCACCCTCTCCCTGCCCTCCACCCTCCCTGATCCCAAACCCTCCCCACCCCACTCAGGTCCTATCCCTGACTGTTCAGCGCCTTGGGACATGCTCTCCACATGAAAGGCACTCTACAAATGTAATTTTGTATTGTATTGTAGTATATATTCAAGTCAAAGAGACATAACTCACTGTTATGCATGTGTGATTTGTGAAGCATAAAATTGTAGAATAAACTTCAGGCCCACCAAGTGCTCAAAGGTTATTCCTCACATAAACCATATAATCTATCTACACTTACCTATTCAATCTTCACAATCTCTATAATTCCTCTGTTTGAAGTATCTATAGTTTGAATCGAATCAGGCAAAGGTAAATCAAGGTCATATCTTTTAACCGACAGCTCTGACGTTTCAGTTTGACTCAGTTCTTAGCTGCTAGATCTCTTTGTGGCTTTGTGCTTTGTGCTCACTAGGCTAGGCTGTTAAAACCAAGAGCCTGTACACTATTTTAGGTTCAGGTTAAAGATCTCTTGGCACTACTTGAAAAGAGAAGGGATTTTTTCCTGGTGTCCTGGTCAACAATCTTACAGATAAATTGGTCATTCAGTTCATGAGAGACATTTTTATCAAGGAATCGACTGCCACATTTGTCTATGTACTTTACGTACATGTTTGTCTAACTACTTTACAGCAATTCTTTGTGAAGCACTCTGAGATATTTTGATATTATAAGCGCTATATCGAATTTTTGGACTATTATTATAAAAGATAAAGTAGGTTATGAACTCATAAACATTTTGCCAAGTAGAGCTGGAATGAATTCTGAGTCCTCGATGTCCCGACACTATAGCTGTAGATAAAATCATATCTTACTTACTTGTTTGTTGAAATTAGTAACGGGCAGCTACAAAGTTGGCAATCATTGGGAGTACCCTGAATTGGATATCCATAAAATCCAGGCTGGCATTGATCGCAGTAAATTCCAGTGGTGTGGTGCTGGCAGCCCTAGGATAAATAACAGTTTCCTTCAGAATTGTCCTTTTAAAGGCATATTAAGTATTTGTTTCATTTTTTTAAAAAAATCCTTTATATTATTTGATTAAATCCAAATTATGGCAGAATAAAAGATTATGATTTACATTGTGCTATTGTAAAGTATTTCACATTTCTACGTATGCTTCATGATCAAACCCCGATCGCAATAGAGATTGTAAATAAGCAAACTATATCCCCATTGATTACAAACATGAATCAGTTGGTTGTAACACTGAGTTACCAATAAATGGTTGAGGAAGTTGCTATTGAACCTCAAAAAGTTACAAAGATTGCTTGTTTTCCTTCAGCTTTGTGTAAATGTCCCTGGTCTCTCTGGGCATTGCACACCTATTCTTAGGTGACTGCCCATGCCTCAACTCACAGCTGACAATGGGGATTGAAAAGCTGCAGATATCGTTCTATTTCTCATCATATCTTCAACTGAACTGCACTTTTACACAAACACTCAGATACTGTTGCCATCTAGCTCAAAATAAATAACATCCCTCAGTAAATATACTTCCCACCTTGAAACACATTTCCTTAGGTAAGAGTTATTCAAAACCTCTTTAAGTGATAAAAAGGATATGTGGAACATGCAAAATAGCTTTAGTAAAGTAAACCTATAAATTATTTAGTATTTCTTCTCAGACGTTGAAACCCTCTGAAATGTCAATTTTGCATTATATTTTACATCTTTTGTCCAAAGGAAATGCCTAGAAATATATACTATATAATGCAAATGTTTTCTAATAATAAATGAACTATGGCTAAATAACCTGCAACAGGCATTACATTTCTAAAATTACTTTGATGTTGAATTCCCTCGATTGGCTGGAATTAACCTTTGGTATTAAAATGTAAGACAATCTCAAGAGAGGAACACAACAGGAATCCAATCACTAAGAAAGATGAACAGAGCACAACAGTTTAACACAAATTTCATCAGCCTGACACACTGGCAGTAATCCATCCAGCATTATTGAACTAATAAAATGAGAAAAGTTGCTTTAAGCTTCATGCCTTGTCAGACTGGATAAAAACAAACTGTCTTTGAGTTAATGAGAATAGTCAACTTGGCATATGGTATGCAGATCACAGAATTTTTGGAATAAAATGAAAATTGCATTACTGCAACTTCACCCTTCCTATGACGCATCTGATGTCAGCACTGCAGGGATCAAGAACAGAAGGACTGTCAAATTCAGGTTTAAAAATTCCACCAGTTTGATTACTATGAATAATAAAATATTACACTATTAAGCTATTCATGGAAAATGCCCAAATGCTATTGTGGAAAAAGAAATGTTCATGAAACTCAACGGAAATAGAGTTTAAGCTCTAAATTGTCTACAGATATGTCTGACCATAACATTTCATGCATCATTTGGACACGTTAAAAACTTCAAAGATACAGTAGCTCTAAACTTTAATTTAATATTTGATCGTCATTTTCCCCTACAAGATAAAGGCATTATCCCCATGTGCACAGAATATGCAATTTAAAGCCTGAGTTTGGGATAATGTGATGCCTCTTTACACATTTGCTAATTTCAAAAACAATACCACAAATTCTTGGGCAGAGTCCCCAAAATGTTTTCAACAAGATAAAGAATAAAGTTCACAGGCTCCTCTCAAAACCAAACAGCAGATATTCAGTAGTCGGGCACCAAAAAGGGCAAACTTTCAACAATAGTAATCTTTACATTTGGTATAGCACCTTTCATGTCGGGAGGACATCTCAAAGTACTTCACAGGAAATACTGTGAAGTGCAGTAACTGCGAGTTTTGTGTTTTAGCTCAATATATAAATACTCTAATAGATAATGATAACAATTTACTTCCAAAAAAATCAGTTTGGTTGCTAAATGAAATAAATGCATTCATACTGCATTCATTCTCTAAGGCAGGTCTCTACTTTTGATAATAAAACAACATATTTTTCTTCCTATTAAGTTGTTGGTGCAAAATATCATCATGAATCTAAAAATATTCAACATGTTCTGATATGCACTGGAGGCAGACAGTGCTGTGAATGTCATTCTCCATTCCAACAAAACACAATTTAAAAATTGAGGCCATTCACATCTATTAAGATCCCTTCCTCACCTGTGCAACAAATTGTATTTTTACTTTTGCACCTTTTGGGTACGGTATTCATAGACAAGAGTCAGCAAGGAACATGGTACTATGATTATCCTTAACAATCCTTAGATTTGATATAGTGTTTTATCACATTGTAGATATGTCTCAAAACACTTCACAGGTTTTACTGCAAAGTGACTATCTGCAGGCAAATTAAACAACCAATTTGCACTTACAAATGCAAATGAAGTGAATAACCAATTTTGTCTTGCGATTGATGGCCAGGGGACACCAAAGAAACTCCCTTCTTTTTTTGATGGGATCTATAATATCGGCTGAGCCTCAGTTTATAGTCTCAACTGAAGGACAGCAATTCTGATAATGCAGTTTTTCTAATTTAATTGCTCAAATTGGTAAATAATCCTAAACTATTTTTACTGGTTATTCCGTGAACCAAGATCCCTTAATAACAAGAGCAAATATGGAACAAGAAAGGTGCATTTGGCCCATTGAAACCTAAGCTATCATTGACTATTCCACTCCCTCAACATCCTGGACAGAAAGCTTTCTCATTGTACTGCATGTTTATAATGGAACTAATTTACATTTCTCGCCCACTGCACCTTAATCTACTCTGTACTGTAACTCTAATCAGAGTTAAAGATCAATGCATCGTCATATTGCCATTGATGTGACTCCTACTCCAGTCACAGTTCTTTACCTCACCATTTCAGTAAAGACTACAAGGGAGAATGGAGGAAATATATGGGCAGAATACTTTTCACTGCAGTGTTAACATTCAGAACTGCAGCAGACATCAGCATACCACGTCAGAATGTATGGACAGTTTAGGTCACAGTTGAGTTTACAATCTAGGCTGAAGCTCAGTACAATGCCGAGGGAGTACTGTATTGTCAGATGTCCCATCTTCCAAATGAGATGTTAGACCAAGGTCCCATCTGCCTTTTCAAGTAGATGTTAAAGATGCCATGGCACTATTTGAAAAGAGAGAGGAGTTTCTCCCGATCACAGGCAAAATACGTTCCCCAATTAATAGAAAAAAATTGTCATTCGCTTCATGGCTGTTTGTGAGAGATTGCTATGTAAAATTGGCTGTTGCATTCATCCCCAAAAATTACAATCACTACTCATTACAAAAACCTCTGCTTAGTGCTTTGAAACACTTCATTGTGATAAGACGCTATATTAAATGTAAGGATTATTATTATAATTATGACCAGAGCACTGATTAACTAAATCTTTATTTGGGCTGCAGAGAACATAGTGAATCTTCACCAGATAGTGGTTTAAATTTTAAAGTAAATATTTGAAGCTTGAGAACAGACTTAGTGACTAGGGAGCAAAAGAAGGATTCTGTCTGCCAAGTTAAAATCCAAGATGGTGCTGAATCAGCACTATAAGGACTGGAGAAATAAATCATTCTCTGTAGATGGGATCTGGAGAAAGGAGGGGATTAGGCCATCAAGAGATAGGATACAAAGAAAATCTATCCTCTCTCTAATTAGCATATCATAATACTGCATTTCCTCCATCCAAGAGTGAGAAAACTGGACAAGATATTTACTATCACATTGCAATATTAAAATAGACGTATGCAGAAACAAAAAAACTGGTTTTATTTCCTATACACACTAAATTACAGAAAATGTCACTTTCCCTATTTATTGTTTTCTTCTTTGAACAAAATACAGGTGAAGGGTTAAAAGCAAAGATATCGATCTCCAGCATGGAAAATTATGTTAAAGTATTACGATAGTGTTAAAACCTGATTACCCTGTAATTAAATTGAATACTTTTTTTTGCAAAATAACATGGTGCGTTAACTGACTGCTACAACAAACATTATGTGTAACAGATGGCTCAATCAGTGTTACTAACAGAGCAGAACTGTGGGTGGTGTTCCTAGCTATCCAGGAATGAATACACTCCAAATGTTCCACTGGCATAGGAATTCAGGATTTGCTATGAATAATGAGACAAATCAGACATAAATTCTCTCGTACCCAGCTGGGTAAATATCTTACATTGATCCACACTTACCAAACATTCTCCAGTAATGTCATCACAAGACACTGAATGGCCGTGGCATTTGCACACCTCGCATATTCCTCCATAGAGGGTGCTATTTACTCGTCGGAATCCAGGCAAACAAGACTGAAAAAGAGAAAATGCCGTTGTTATTGACTGCCAAGTTTTAACTAATGTGAAAGGTGCAGCCTTTTTCTATAGTAGGTTTTCATTCAAGTTACCTGAAGCGGTGCATTTTAATATCAATAACTAATATTTTTTTGGGGCAGTCAGGTGTCTGACACCTATCAACCTGTCTGCTCGCTCCACTCAACATGCTCCGGCCTGCTCCACGTCCACCGCCCGGTCCGCCCCACCATCGGCGGTCGGGCCTTCAGTCTCTCTGCCCCCAAATTTTGGAACTCCATCCCATGGTATCTTTCTCTTGCTCCCTCCCTTGATCCTTCAAAGCGTGTCTCAAGTCCCTCCTCTTTGACTGCGGATTTGGCCACCTTCCTATCCCTACCCTCCCTGCCTTCATCCCCCCGATCCAAACCCCTTGCTCGGGTACAAATCCCTAGGATGTCCTCCAGACCTGAAAGGTGCTATGCAAATTTGTGGTTGTTAAACATAATAAAATGATGTAGGACTTCTGTTATTTGTTTAAATAAAAGTAATTTTACAGCACTGCAAATGAGAAGCCTGATGATTCTGTATGATTGAGAAATGGCTCATGTTAGCATCCCTAAAGATTCAGTGGGAGTTCTTAATGCTTTAAAATCTATTTTAACACACTAGTTAATTGCTACTTTGGGAAAACAAAGCAATGCACTGCAAATGATTGATGTGTAAATACAATTGTACTGGCTTGTTATGTTGAAGAATAGGAGCAGCAAAAGGTATGTTAATTGTTCCCGTCTTCTATTAGATGACAGATAGTGTTGAGGGAAAGAAAGGTACAGTACAGTTCTAGCTCAGTTGATAAGGTAAATTTGTGTTCGAGAGCACAGACAAGCAGAAGGGGTCAAGAACAACAGAAAAAGAATTTAACGGTGAAACATTTTTGGAAATTAGCCATTTTACAATAAAAATCTGACACCAGTCTCCAAATCTCAGCCATTAGAGCCACGAGAAAGCTATAATGATTTGTGGATAAAATGTGTGCTGTGGCTTAAATATTACTATTGTACCCAGGAGTTTCCATAATGATCTGTCAAATCTGCTTAAGTAACTTGATCAACTTGCTGGATGTAACTTCTGACCATAATAGATAGAAGTAGAGATGGATATTCCAATGCACAATAAGAGATGCAAGTCAGGAATTAACTCACTTAGTTGAAATCAGAAGTGTATAAGTGCGGTTCAAGTAATACAGTCTCAGAATAAAAATAAATTGAATTATCCCTTGAAATCTGTACGTTCAGGCTTGTTATTTTTATAATGAAGTTGAATGTTTCTTAATATTTTTTATTCAATGAAAGGATCATTATTATTCTGAAGCTTGAGCCACAACTTTTTTCTTGCCCCCTGCCTTCAGATTCCCCCACCCTCCCCTGAGTCTACGTTCCCCTCTGACTGACACAGGAGGCAAATAACAGTCAAGAAAGGTACCCCTTTAGGTGGATCCATCCTCTGCCCTATAAGGGAATGTCTGACCTCCACCTGGCAACTCCCTATAATAATGCAGTTCAGATCAGAAACTCAGCACGTCTCTAAATATCCCAGCATCTAACATACAGCAATACGGTTTGATACATACCATAGTTTCTAACTGAAGAAAATTGTTGTGAATACTCATATATGGCCCTAACAGTGAATTTGTTTCACTGAGGATTCTTTCTTTAAATAGTGCAATTGTTTGAAAATATAATTGTTTCCAATAGTTTCACTTTTATTGTTTTGATAAGAAACCTTGACTAAAATGTTAAATAAAAAGAGAAATGTGCCATTTTGTCAAAGGCTTTAGATCTGATAGTAATAAAATGAAAAATGAATCCTCACATGCATAAAGCAGGGAGTCATTAATCATTACATTGGTTTAATACAATGAGAGTTTGAAACCATCCACATTTATTTGCAGCCTTATTTACAAAGAGATAGTCAAATAAATATCCATCATCATGATCTGAATAAACAATGACAATCTTATTACTCTCTTATTTATTTAGTCATGCCCAGGGAAAACTAGGTTGGGATGAGTATCTCAGTTATGCCAATATTTCATTGTTTTTGATTTTGTTCAACTGTTTAGAGGCTCAATCTCAAATGGAACTCTTATTTCAGAAATCAAGCAATATTTACCTTTCTTGATTAAAACAATGTAGGAATCATTGCTGATCTCCAATACGATTCCTACATGTATTTAGCTAGGCTAAGATCAAGGGGGTGTTTAGAGGTTAAAAGTGAAAATGGATCTGGTCCAAAATACTAGAATGGAGATTTGCTCAAATTCCTGAGGTGATGGCATGTTTGTATCCCAGTAAAAGTAGCAAAAGGGAAAATTGTCATCACTATATGTGGAGAGATGCAGGTTGGACAGAGTAGGTTGTTCTCTGTTGTATCATAGAATTCAGCTTTTTTGGAAAAATATTAGGAAAATAGATAATGCCATTGATAACAGGGTCTGGGGTTGTGCCATGGGAAATGGTTTGCTTCCAGCACAGCCTTGCATGTGTGGTGTGATAAATATCTAATCTATAAGAATAACAAATTACATTTGTATAGTGCCTTTCATGACGGGGGAAATGACCCAAGGTGCTGGATAGTCAGGAATTTGGACCCGAGCAGGGGATTGGGATGGAGATGGGGGTGGTGGAGGGCAGTAGGGTAGTGGAAGCAGGGTGGCCGAAACCACGGTCGTAGAGAAGGGTCTTGAGACAGGACTTGAAAGAGGCAAGGGAGGGAGCAAAGCAAAGGGACTGTAGGGTGGAATACCAAAGGGTGGGGGCAGAGAAGCTGAAGGCCTGACTGACAATGTTGGGGCAGGCCAGGTCGGGTAGGAGATGTGAAGCAGGCCGGAGCCTGCTGAGCAGAGGGAATGGATAGTTTGCTATGGGGTTAGCAGGTCAGAGAGATAGGAAGGAAGCAAGGCCTCAGATGGCCTTGAAGGGGAGGATGAGGATTTTTAACTCTATCCTCTAGGGGATAGGGAGCCAGTGGTGCCAGGCGTGGGTGGGGGTGATAAGGTCAGGAGAGGACACAAGCTTCCAAGTTCTGATTGATATGCAGCTTGTGGAGGGAAGAGTTGTGAAGGTCAAGAAACAGGGAATTGGGGTAGATGAGCCTAGGGATTATGAATGCATGGATAAGGGTTTCATTGGCCTGAGGGGAGAGGAAGTGGCAGAACCGGGCGATGGTGTAGAGGTGGGGGAAGGCAGAGCAGGTTATGGCACGGATGTGGGATAGAAAGGACAGTTGAGGGTCAAACAAGACACCAGAGGTGGTTGTCATCCACATACATGTGGAAATTTACCCCATGTCTGCAGATGATGCCACCAAGAGGGAGCATATAGATATTGAAAAGAAGAGCCTTGAGAAATGCCACACAAAGTGATGCAGGGCCTGGAAGAGAAGCCGTTTGTGGAGATGAAGTGGAGACGGTGTGAGAGGTATGAACCAGTCAAGTACAGAACCATGAAGGCGGAGGTGAGAGGAGAGGCGGTGAAGGATGATATAGTGGTCAACGGTTTTGAAGGCAGAAGACAGGTCAAGGGGGACGAGGAGACAGAGGGAACTCTGGTCACTGGTGAACAAAATGTCATTTGTGACTTTGACAAGGTTGTGTCTGTGCTGTGGGCACCTGAGGAAGGAGGGAAGCAACGACTCATTTCAGGACCTTGGAAAGGGAAGGATGATGTCTGTGAGTAGATGGGCAAGGAGGCGGAGCTGGGCAGTTAGGGGTAGGGATGGGGTTGAGGGAGCAGGTGGTCAGTTTCATATGGGTCATAATGGTGGTGAGAGAGGAGTGGGAGACAGGTTCGAAGGTATGGCGGGAGGGATGGGTAGGGGCCGGGATGTGAATGGGAGATGGGGAGGAGGAATCAGTTGGAAGGGGAGGGAAGTAACAGTTGCAAGGGCAGAGACAGCTGAGCGAATCTGCTTCATTTTGGTCTTGAGGAAGTCCAGCATCCCCTCACAGTTGGCGTCGGAAGAGAAGATGGGCAAAGCGTGAGAAAGTGGGCAGAGGAGCCGGTTGGTGATGGAGAAGAGGAACCTGGGATTGTCCTTGGCCTCAAAGATTATCTTGGAGGAGAAGGACAATTTAGCAGAGGCGAAGGCAGAGTGGTAAGTTTTAATGAGGTCCAGTCAGTTCTGCCAATGGACTGTTAAGTTAGATTTGAGTATTATTTGTATTATTGTACTATTAAAATGACTCCAATGCCTGTATATACTGTACTAAGAAAGTATGTTTTCAAATCACAAGATTTGTTTGGATCAAGAATGTCTTGGCCCATTTGATCTCAATATATATACTATATATAATATATATAATAGATAATGACTCTGCCTTCCTCCCATTACAGCATCAAGCTGTTTCTTAAATGAGTTTAATGACCTGACTTCATCCACCCTTCCTGGTAAGCACCATTATTCCACATCATTAATCACCCTTTAGGAAAATAAATTATGAAATCTCACACCACAAACATCCGTTTTGCGTGACTAGTAACAAGTTCTGAGATCAATGTTCATTTATGAATGTTGTACTTCATTTGCTTCTTAGATTACTGTTTTAAGGTTAGTTTTTTCCAATAAACAAGTATCAATCAAATAAACTTTCAGTCCATTGTCTGTTTGGAATTTTCCTAACTTTTTCTTCTATCCTGTACCCACCCATCTGTTGACACAGGAAGAATATTCACGGTGTCTCTGTTTTCATCAGCAGCTCCTTTTTCTGATACTGTTGCATCACTGTCAAACAACTAAATCAGGTTCCTCAAATTCTTTTGTGAACTTCTAGTACTTTGGGTATCAAAATGCTGCACACAAATTAGTGTGTAGTAATTATTCACTGACTGGAAGTCCATTCACTGCTGAGCTTCGCACACGTGCACACACACATACATATATTTTGACTGTATATATAAAATATATCAGCATAAACAAGCTGAACCTACTAATCAGTAAAGCAAACATGGTTACAAACATTGATGTTGTTGATGTTTTAGCTCTTTGATATTTTGACAGAAATGACAGAATGTGTGACTGGGATTCAGGTTAGACAGCGTACCCAAATTGGCAGGACGAACGAACCTTTCCTAAAGGTTATAAGAATAGTAAACAAGGTTCATTCATGGATCAGTGAGTAAATCCAGTGCATTGTACAATAGACTGACTAGATGGGGGTGGGACCTAACAAATAGCTTCAATATCTTTCAGCCCAAGAAGTAAAAAAGACAAACCACAGTTCCCATTCCTGATTGTTACACAGTGACTTATGCTTGAGAGAATGTGTGAACATCAAGTGGGGGCAGAAAGAGACTTGTCTCTGACCTCATTAATTATTGAATGAGCTTGTCACACTTACTGCCTAAACTCGAAAAATGGTCAGTTATGCAAGGTACTGGAGGGATGCTAATGCTGATACAACCATATGAATGAATTATTCATATCATTGCTTTTGCGGAGGAGAACAATTGGCAAAATATAATAAAAAGCAATATGTGTAAAATAGCAAAGTAACCTAATATATGTTGCACTGGATAAATAAGTGCATAGCTCCAAATGTTTCTCAGACAGACCTCAATTGCTGCACAAGGAAGAATACACCACAGAGGAATTGAAGTAGGTGGAAAGGAATAGTATTCACTATACTTCCCATTAAACTTCCCAGTGCAGGCAAACAAAGATTTGTCTTGGCAATGGGACTTATTTTCTAATAAAGCAGCAGGATGTCATGTTAAGGAAACATTTTTTGTTATTTTACATTGTATTTGAACTCCAATTTTCTTTTAATCCAGAAAATCACATGAGCACTGTAATGCACTATAAAGTGCAGTATGTGATTTGATAATAAATTTGATTCTCTAGAGCTCAGGGTCCCTCCAACCCGGCCCCTCCCTCCCCATTTTCAAAGCGTGCCTCAAGACCTACCTCTTTGACTAGGTTTTCAATAATTTTCTCCCTCCCCCATCCAATCACTCTCCCCTCATTCGGCATGGGTGCCAACTGTGTTAAGCACTTTGAGATGTCCTCCTGACGTGAAAAGTGCTGAATAAATGTAAATTGTATTGTGTTGTATAATAGGATAATTCCTCAATCCAGAATTCCACAGGAGGACACGTCTCCACTAAACTTCATTAAAATTGTTTTGTCCAAATCCGAATGCTGCAGCTCCTGACCCTGGAGCTTCTCATATCCCAATATCTCAGTGCTGGTTCAAAGCACCCAAGCTTAACTCAACTTTAAAAGCTTCCAAGATTACTCAAACAGCAAAACTAAATGTGATAATAATGATTCCTAGCCTAAGAAAAGCTATCAGAAAAAGGAAGTGAATCGCAATTTTCTACTGCTTTAAACAGAAAACAATTTGCCGCTCACGGTGAACAGCATCTCCCTTTACAGTCACATCAGGATTTCAGTTCATAGTCCAAGGGGATGGTCCAGTGGGAAACCAGAGATTGCATTAATGTGTCATGCAAACTTCAACATCTCCACCAAGATGGTAAGAAATTCAAGTGTCAGTTCTCCAGTTGGCTCTGGTCTGAAATGCTGTACAATGTCCAGCGCCTTGGGACATCCTCCCGATGTGAAAGGCGCTATGCAAATGTAATCTTGTTGTTGTCGTTGGCACCGTGGTAGAGCACTTTGAATTCCAGCATTTTGTGGCTTTATAGAAGGGAATTACTTTTTCTCTAAAATGTTTCATACCATGAGTTATTCACCTGAGCCATCTCACCATGGGAAGCCACTGAATAAAGGTCAACTCTGGCATTCCCGTTGTTTCTGTTTTCTATCAGAAGTACTTAAATACACTGTCATCTTTTCAATCAGTAAAAAATGGTTTGAAGTAAGAAGGTTGTGCAATTTAATTTAGATTATTCTAAGTGAAGCACTAAATCCATCATTTTAACTTTTACTCTGTTTATTTACCAGTAACCCGCCCACCTTGCTGATTATGTGTCTTGGCATTTTAAGCTGATACAATTGTTCATCAATCATTTTGTTATGTATGTGAATAGAGATGAGACATTGGAGATTTGGGGTTATTTTCTGACTGAAAATATCCAGCTTCTGCATTCATTACTCACTTCACAAGACGTGCCGGAGTACCCAATGGGACACTCGCAAATCTCAACGTCTGTAGCCACATCTTGGCCCAATGATTGTGAATCAGCAACATGGAGGAAAACAGATCTCAACCTGTTCAGATAAACACATGGCAAAATACAACTGCTTCGTGAAACTGAATTCAATTGAAATGCGTTCCTGCAAACAGCAAGGTGAACCTTTGTAGACATATTTGCCCACTTGGCTCATAGCGGATTTATTCTCATCTGTACCATAGTTAGTAAGACATCTGCAAGAAATGCATATTCTTTCACTATCATCTGCAGGTCAACCAAATTTAACAGTAGTTTTATTGCTAACATCTGTATGTACAAGTTACGGTCATAAAAACTTATTTTACTTTCCATATAAGAATGCTTACCCAGCAGAGAGTAGAAAATATGACTTAAGATGTTTGACTAAATAGGAACATAGGTTTAACATATTTACAATTAAAAAACTATAGGATGGGCTGAAGTAATTGCATTTATGCATTCCCACTCACCTTGACCTATTTTTCGGAAGAGAGTCGTAAGGATGCTCACTATTCATGTATGTCATTATTCTCATATCTTTGCACAACATTCAAGACAAAGTTTATAATTATTATGTCAAGACAGCAGTTCTCCACTGAACCAGTAGCCCCGTTCTAACCTTACTACTTGGTATCAATGCTCCGAGGTGCTATCCTGCATGAAGGGCATTATACAAATGCAAGTTGTTGTTGTTTTTAACAGCGTCCACAAAATATACAGTCATTTCACTTTTCAATGTATTCTGTGAAACCCTTTGAGAAGTATCAATGACGTGATATTAAATGCAAGTATTATTATTTAAAAAAACAATATGAACAACAAACAAAAACAACATTGTGCTGTGCCATTTCATCTATAAAATACAAAGTCTATACATTTTATGGTATCTCCTGTGAAGTGCTTTGAGACGTCTCGATGACGTGATAAGGTGCTATATCAAATGCAAGGATTATTATTATTAAACACAAACACTTTATCTGCAGTGGCACCAGTATATTTCACAGTACTTGCCCAGTTAGCACCAGCCTATTAGACTCTGGCTCATAGAACTCAGAATATATCTTTACCTCAAAGTCTTATGGAAGAGTCATATTGTAGAGTTGTAATATACCAAATGGGTTGAGCTTTCAATTTGAAGAAAGGAATTGCTGTAAACAACAACAATTTGCACTTCGTTTGGATGTCTTAAAGCACTTAATAAGTAGGATATGGAGAATTGAATTGGAAGAAACCAGGGAGAATTAACGATATTACTAAAAGCTGCAGGGTCATTCGGTTGTGATTTATAGCAGAGAGAGCGAGCGAGAGAGAGGAAACAAGATGAAAAGACTTTGGAAGAGAGTTCCAGGGAGCAACAGTGAAAATGCTGAAGGCTTGGCCACCAATAGTGGGAATGGAGGGCGAGAGAAACAAGTGGTAATAATAATAATAATTGTGGTAAATCAGAAATGGAACAACATAAGGTAAAAGCAAGACTGGATCAGATTACAAAGGTAAGGAGTGAGACTGTGAAGGATTTGAAAATTAGGACAAGGAATTTAAAGTTGATCTCTTGAGGTATTGAGGTGCCAATGCGTGTAGCTCAGTGGTTAGAGCACTCGCCTCGCAAGCAAGAGACCTGGGTTTGATTCCCGGCAGGGCGAAACCTTGGGCAAGTTTCCTTACTCCACACGCCTGATAATAATCTCTCAAGAAATAAAAATAATAAAAATTCAATCCACGACTGTTTGTGGGACACTGCTGTGAGCAATTGTCTGCCACGTTTCGCCCACAAATATGCAGTCAATTCACCTTACAGTATATTCTGTGAACTGCTTTGAAACATCTGGAAGATGTGAAAAGGGCTATATTAAATGCAAGGATTATTTATCATTCTTATTGAGGTGCCAATGGTGCCTGGTAAGCAGCAATACGTCTGTAGAGTGTAATACAGGAGAGAATGCAACCAACAGAGCTTTGGTTGAGTTTTAGCTTGTAGAGGATCAAGCAGTGGAAACCAGTGAGGAGAACTTTGGAGAAGTCTATTCTCAAAGTAATGAAGGAATGAGTGAGGAGGGGGTGAGGTATGCGAGCTATGGACCATATGTGGACTTTGAACCATAGATGGGAGGTCACAAGAGAGTTTCAGATGAAAAACATCCTTCAATTCATTTTATCTCATCTTTCCAGAATACCTACCCTATTGTCCTTACATCACAGAATCAAACTGTTGGATGAAGCAGAATGTCCTATCAAGATCGCAAACATATAATAATAAATAATAATAATTCTTGCATTTGATATAGCGCTTTTCACGTCTTCTAGACGTCTCAAAGCGCTTCACAGAATATACTGTAAAGTGAATTGACTGTATATTTGTGGGCGAACGCGGCAGCCAATTGCACACAGCAATGTCCCACAAACAGTCGTAGATTGAAAATGGCCAATTTATTATTGTTTTTTGTTTTGGAGGGATTATTATCAGGCATGTGGAGTAAGGAAACTTGCCCAAGTTTTCGCCCTGCCTGGAATTGAACTCAGGTCTCTCGCTTGCAAAGCAAGTGCTCTAACCACTGAGCTACAGGACTCCACTATATGAAAATATAGTGAAAATGTAAAGTAAATCTAATTTGTACCTATTAATGGCATTCTGGTCACTGCTATAGGTGGCCCTTATTAGAAGACGGTTCAAGTTTGCCAGGACAGTCATGAAGTCCTTTTTGCTGACAGGCAAACCTGTTCCATGAATGACAAAGTTTTCTGGCAGCAGCACAACCACCTCACTGTGCTCTGCATCTGGATAAAGCAAGATTCCTTCACGACCATTGCTTATGCGGATACCATTTCCCTAAAAAATAAAATAAAAGACAAGAGTCAACATAGCGCAAAACATTGAAGAAAACCACAGCACTGAGATCTGTGCTTAAAATAAGTGTGAAGTTATTTTGCTAATAGCCGCATATTATAACTCATATAAGTGCCTTCGGCCTTCGGCTCCCCTCTCGACTCTCTACCCACTCCTCGCTCCCTCCCTTCCCTCCCCTCACCCTGACCATTTCTCCCCTGCTCGGGTCCCCTGCTCAGGTCCTGACCCAACTGTCCAGCGCCTTTGGACGTCCTCCTGACGTGAAAGGCGCTCTATAAATGGAATCTTGTTGTTGTTGTATAATAATAATAATCCTTGCATTTGATATAGCGCTTTTCACGTCGGGAGGACGTCCCAAAGCATTTCACAGAACACACTGTAAAGTGAATTGACTGTATATTTGTGGGCAAACGCGGGAGCCAATTGCGCACAGCAATGTCCCACAAACAGTTGTTGATTGAAAATGACCAATTTATTATTGTTTTTGGTTTTGGAGGGATTATTATTAGGCGTGTGGAGTAAGGAAACTTGCCCAAGGTTTCGCCCTGCCTGGAATTGAACTCAGGTCTCTCACTTGCAAAGCGAGTGCTCTAACCACTGAGCTACAGGACTCCACAAAACATAACATCTTTAGTAAAGCGGTTGTTAGCTCTATAATATATGACTTGATAATGTATATACATAATATGACTGAATGACAACTCCATTTTCTTATCCTGAAATCTTTCACCATTTTCTGTTCAGAATAATATTGAAAACTAGGGCTCCCAAGCATCATATTAATTATTTTTCTATCATTCAGACAGTCCAGCAAATGCCAAGCATTCCTCAGAAGATATATTGTTTTTTCAGTCTAAAACCCTGGTGACCATAATTTTGTTCACTGAATACAGTACTTCACTTTTCTATAGATTCTTTACTTCGTTTCTGCATTTCTTATGTGTTCTGCTAACAAGACTTCACTGGAGCAAGTATACTTACTCTTGGGGAAAAAAATCAATTCTGTCAACAATGATATCTGGAGGAAAACAGCTTTACAAGGACAGAAACTGATCAAGCAAGATAGGGAAAAATTGACACATTACAGTTTTTGTTTAACCTGAATTCATTGATCTCGGATGATTTTCGACCCTCCTATCCCCCACACCCACTACCATTAGAGGGTTTAACATTATATGCAATACAACTACAGATAGTTGTCTCTACAAAGCACAGCAGATTTTAAACAATTTTAGAAAAATTGAGGAATGTAGAGACCTAGTTATACATTTTAAATATTGAAGAGGGGAAAGGAATTGAGTCCAATATTAGTCCTCAATGATACTTTCTAGTCAATGTGAAGATGTTATCAATAAAGTTAATCAGATTCTTGGTTTCATCTCAAGAGGGTTTGCCTATCAGTCAAAAGAAGTTATTGTAACCTTTTATAGGTTGGTGGTGAAGCCACATTTGGAATTGAACTGTATGCAATTTTAGGCACCCTACCTTCAAAAGGACATTGATGTATTTTGAAGTCCTTTAGATGTTCAGAGAAGAGCAATGAGAATGATTCCAGGACTTAACAACAATAAATCACACTCACATCATGACTTTAGCATGAAATGAATACCCTGAAACTCTTGACAAACATAATGGTAAGCAGTGAGCAGGGAAAGGGGAAGATTTAAAGATTTTGACCAAATGCAAAGTCAAAGCTTCTTTTTTAAGTGGATTTCAAAAGCGAGAATAAAGAAAGTATAAAGAGATATTCGAACAAAATTGTAGAGCACAAGATGGGTCAGCCATTGAAGGTGGAACAGACAAGTGGATACCAAACAATAATAATAAGAATACTCCTTGCATTTGATATAGCGCCTTATCATGTTATTGAGACATCTCAAAGTGCTTCACAGAATATACTATAATAATAATAATCCTTGCATTTGATAGAGCGCTTTTTACGTCTTCTAGACGTCCCAAAGCGCTTCACAGAATATACTGCAATGTGAGTGACTGTATATTTTGTGGACAAAATGCAGCAGTGAATTGCACACAGCAGTGTTCCACAAACAGTTGTGGATTGGGTGACCAAATTATTATTTTTTGTGTTTTAAAGGCATTATTATCCCCAGAAAAGCGATCCGCCAATTGACTGACAATCAGGTTCCTACTTACTGCTAGGTAAACAGAGGCATGTAGAGTAAGGAAATTCGCCCAAAGTTTTGCCCTGCTGTGAGTCGAACCCAGGTCTCTCACTTGTGAGGCAAGTGCTCTATCCACTGAGCTACAGACAATGAACCAGAACTGGGAAAGTGGAGGGTATGGGACTGGGGATCCAAGTTGTAAGAAGAGGCTTAAGGAGAGGTGAAAATTAAATGTAATACTAACCTCTAAGATAACATCTTCATGGGATATTGTGTGGATGCCCATTTGGTGTTCTATATCATAAGAGATGATGAAAATCAATTCCCCTCCATACGATGTCAGCTGCAGTATAAAAAAAAGTCACAATAAAATAATACATCAGGTAGTTGTATGGATTTATATAGCTTTCACTTGTATTGATTACAACAACAACAACTTGGATTTATTAGCGCCCTCCACGCCGGACGGCATCTCAGAGCGATTAAGGCATAATCATGGAGGGTATTTCAACAATTGAGAATAAAACACTTATTAACCATTAGACTGCAATCATTTTTAATATGTCTGTGGAAGCATTTGAATGTAAATCATTAACCTTTGTTGAATTATTTAATGAACAGATTTATAATAAATGCCTCAATTGGACTTTGTATGCAAATGTACCATATTGCTCCTGTTTTGAAACTATAACCGTACTGTTAAACAATGTAAAGGAATTTTATTTTCCTTGTTTGGATTGTGAGATTCGGGTGAGGTTCGCTGATCCATCAGAGATAGGAGTGGGGTAAGCGCTCCGGGAACTGCTGGGCACAACAACCAGCAAGATCCTGGTGGAGGGTCACCATCTTAAAGGGCAACAGTGAGAGTTTCTATCTTTGGAGGCCTCAGAAACAGTGGAGGACATCGGGAGCCTTTGGTCACAGTGTCAACCAGTAGCTCAGAGAAACTCCATTACCACAGAAAGACAGTCCAGGCAGACTCCCCTACTGGAGAGGGAAGAGTGGAAGGGTCCATAAGTCTTAGAAAATAAATAGAGTTTCTTCTAGTTTTCTGGTTAATGATCCTCCAGATAATTGATAATATATCTCAGGCCTGTTTGCAGATCCTTGCAAATGGGGCAGAATTTGCCTTCAGCAGCAGATTCCACAGTTGACAATACTCATGAAATGCTTTGACAAGTTTCATATTGATGTGACTATAAACTGGAAGGTTTTTTTAATTTCACCAATATTTAGATTTTAAAGATTGTTAACAATTTATTCAATCTCATATGAAGGCTTAAGTACAACACATTTGTATCCTGAATTTAAGGCTGAAAATAATACTTAACCTAGGTGCAACCAGATCATTTATGTCAGCATAGAACAAAGGGATAGAAGTGTAAAATTAACCATCTTCAGGCATGATTTGACATTGGAAGCAACATTTTTCTCAGAGTGATATAGATGTGGAATAACTCTGATGATTAACAATGTTAAAAAAAGAACTGGTTTAGAATAGAATTGAAGGGTACAAGGATAAATGCTGGAATAATCAAATGCGCTGTGGAACATAATTGCTCCTAAATTGCCAGGACCATGTAAATGTCATACAACTGTCGGCAACTGATCAGGGAATAATGTAGGACATTTTGCTTGATTTGCCTTTGGGGAAGGGGAGAGAGAAACATTGCAGAACTTTTCTCTGAGGCTGAAATGCATTATGTAGAATCAATGATATAAGGCCTGTGTAAGGGATGGAGTTGATGGAAGATTTAGTCCATTTTTCAAAACTTTCTTATGTTCTTAATCTTTGTAAAACAAATTGTGTTTCCTATAACTTGATAGTCTTCGAAGCCTCCACAGAAATTTGAGTAACAAGTGCAGCACTATAGACAAAAATTCCAAAATGTTTTATCATTGAGTGCTGTGCAAATTAATTTTTCACAAGTTGAGCCATTGTGGGATGCTGAAATGTGGAGTCCTGTAGCTCAGTGGTTAGAGCACTCGCTTTGCAAGCGAGAGACCTGAGTTCAATTCCAGGCAGGTCAGTCAGGGCGAAACCTTGGGCAAGTTTCCTTACTCCACACGCCTAATAATAATCCCTCCAAAAACCAAAAACAATAATAAATTGGTCATTTTCTATCTACGACTGTTTGTGGGACATTGCTGTGCGCAATTGGCTGCCGCATTCGCCCACAAATATACAGTCAATTCACTTTACAGTATGTTCTGTGAAGCGCTTTGGGACGTCCTCCCGACTTGAAAAGCGCTATATCAAATGCAAGGATTATTATTATTATTATATTACAAGGTAAGTGCTTCCTCATTGCCCCACAGGCAAATAACCCATTGTTTCAGGTTGTTGCCATTATAATGAATTCCCCAGGTATTCTTCTCTCAGATAGCACTGAGGAACATCCGGGGAGAATCTAGGCATTTGCTCTGCATTTTGACCGTTTACTCAGGACAGATGCTAGCAACATCATCTTTGAGAATGCTCATGCAAAGAAGCCAACATATCTAAATGTAGAAGCATTTCAGACTTGCTCTGAATTTAATGTCTGCATACCCTGCAGCTGAGTATCCATGTTCTTTGATGGCAGTGGAGAGCATTGACAGTAATTCCCAGTGTTAGAGGGATGAACTATGAGTAATGACAAGATTAGCTCTTCAGTTTTGAAGAGAAACATCTCAGTGGGGATCTAAAAGAAGCATATAAGATGCTAAATGGGATAAAGTAAATCCAGAATAATAGTTTTAGATATTCTAATGTAGCAGGACAGCAGGGGAGGGGGCACAGATTCAGGGACGTGAAGCCCAATTTTTAGTACAAGCACAAAGAAGCATTACTTCACAGAGGATAATTAACTGTTGAAATGGTTTACCAGGAAGGGAAAGAAATGTGGAATTCTGTAGCATATTGGTTAGAGCACTCGCCACACAAGCGAGAGGACCCCAGTTCGATTCCCGGAAAGGCGAAACCTTTGGCAGGTTTCCTTATTTCACATGCCTCTGTTTACCTAGCAGTAAAGTTGGAACCCAGTTGTTAGTCGACTGGCAGATCGCTTACAGGGGGTAATAATTTCTTAAAAATATATAATAATTTGGTCACTGAATCCATGACTGTTTGTGGGACACTGCTGTGCCCAATTGGCTAATGCCATTTGCCTACAAAATATACAGTCGATTCACTTCACAGTATATTTTGTGAACTGCTTTAAGCCATTTCAATGACCTGATAAGGCACTTTATCAAAGGATTATAATGGTGGTAGAGGCCTGCCTGCTGGGTCAGACAGTTGGTAGAAGAAGAAGGCTTAAAAGTTAAAATAGGGAATAAAATAACCTTGAAATTTTAATAACATTGTAACATTATGTGTGTATCTTCTTACAAAGGGAAGTGAATTGAGTCAAATAAGTGAATGATGAGCAATTATAATGGGGAAGTCTCATAAATAACTGACATCACCAGAAGCCGATCAGAATTTCTTTCAAATGAACCAATGTGCTTTTTGAAAGGAACCGGATTGTAGGTTCAAGCTCCACATCAAGACTTTCAACTCACATAATCTAGGCTGACACTCCAGACACTCCAGATCAATGTTGTATTGTAGAAGTGCTGCCTTTCAGACAAGTTGTTGAACTGAGGTCCCATGCTGCCTGTTTGGGTGAATGTTAAAGATCGCATGGCACTATTCAAAAACAAAAGGCTGCTTCTCCCAGTGTCCTGCCCACCAATTCTCCAAAATAAAATTCTTCATTCACTTCATAGTTGTTCGTGGGATACTGCTGTATGTAAATTGGCTGCCACTTTGTCCTGCAAAAATAAAAAGTTGCTACACTACAAAGTAAAGCCTGTGAAGTGCTTTGAGATATCCTCAATGATGTGAAGGGCTCACTATCAAAATGCAAGGATTATTGTATTGTTATTGTTATTATTATCTCAGTTTAATGAACAAATTTGACCTTTAACTGGACTCAACTCAAAACCTGAGACAAGCAGCTGGAGTTACACTGAAGTCAGTTTACGTTTCTGAAATATTTCAGAAAATTTGTCCATCAGGAAGACATCTTAAACCTTATTCTGTCCAAATTTCTGGAAAAATCCATTATAAATTCAAACTGTCAAGAACGGTAAATTCATTGACCTTCAGAAAATCACCTTTAGTGTTTTTCATGGACAAAGGATGAAAGAGATCATTGCACATTTATTTAGTTGTAGTTCTTATTGTTTATCCACTTTTTGTAGAAAGAATCTTAGGATTACATTAATTGTACCATATTTCTAGTATGAAAATTGACATGCATTAGCACAGATTGTTTACACAACTAATTTTCATCTCAAAGCACTTCATAGGGTTTCACTGTAAAGTGTAGTAACTGTGTATTTGTACAGATAGTTTTTAAGTAACATTTTGCCAAATGTTTCTCTGTGATAATGTTGAATGATAGGTGAGTGCACCAGTCATCAATGGATGGAACTAGAATTACATTTTTTTAACTTCCAATCCATTGAAGCAATCCTGTCCTGAGGGTATAGTGATAGAATGTGTATTCTGTTTCACCAATGGTCTGGAGTGGAAGATGAGAGCAACGTCTCGATTCCAGTAGCCCTTTGGTAGGGAATGTATCCATTTTTCTTGACAGCAATAGCAGGGTAATCCAATCACTAGCAAGCTGGAGGTGAATGTGCTTATGTTTCCATATGAGGAATATAGTGGAAGGAATATATGAACAGGTGCAAGCATGCCCTTCTTTGATACACGGTGTGGAATCTAGTCTTCTTCTCTAAGACCCTGATTTAATCAACTGAGGGAAAGTTTGCAAAATCTCTCCTAATGCCCAAAGTTCACCATAGCAAAACTCCATCATCATTCCTCCAATATTCATCCCTGTGCTATGGGCTTCCACATACAACATATCCCATTTTCCTTATACCAGCAGTACAGGACTACCATGTCCTATCAAGGATCTAATCATTCCAATCATTCCAATCTTTAAAAATCTTTATAACTTTCCCATTCATTCAACTTTTTTTTAACAACCCAGTCTCAACTTCTTTGCTCATTGTATACCTATGTAGTATACTGGATAGTTTGCCCACAGTCTAAAAAAGAACTTCCATTTTGATAGTGTCTACAATGATGAACAAATTCATAGGGTGAATGTTGTATTTGCGAGAAAGAGCTTTGGTTATTTGTGACAACCTGGTTGCCAACAGCTATGAGGTGAGGGACCAATTTATCTACAGGACTGTTGGCCAAAGGACTGGCAGAAACTCTCTTTTCTTTTCCTTAGTGAAATTCCACTTGAAACTGAAACACTGAGTTCCTATATCCCTCACAACAAAAACCAATCAGGG